TTTTTTGATCGATTCTATGCATACGAGAATCGCTGACATTAAAATTTGAATTGAAAAAGATTTATTGATCCGTAAATTTATACATTCTGGGAGAAATAGCACTAATAGGCTTCCAAATAAAGAATTTCTATTCATTGAGGCAAAATTAAGAGCTATTAAATGATCATAAATAGTAATTCCATCCATTTTATCGCCCTTCTAAAAAAGTTAAAATGTCCTTACCTATGATATAAATAATCTGAGCCAGAATTAATGCCGTAAATGTCCCCCAGGCCGGGGCCGTGTACGCCAGTGAGTCTTCCTTGATCGCAACAATCGTCAGGTTTTTATGATCGCTGTGGATTTTCAGCGCATATTCTCCGTGTTCATAAAATCTTCTGAAATCCCCATTGGACATGTTGTGTGGTGGAGCATTAGCATTGTCGAACGTGAAAATGAATCTCTGAGGCCATCTAGTGTCAATCCAGGCAGTTTGATTCTCCGTAGCTGAGAATGGCGCGAGTTTGTTTCCCATTTTATCGCGAGATCTGTTTCTTGTTTTATTTCTTGTGAAATAGTCTCTTGATTATTGATTGTAAAACGCTCCTGATCCAGCTGCATTGGTGGCATTCTCTTGAATTCTGCCACAATATAAGCCCTTCAAACTCTTTGCAGCCGACAACCGTAAGATTTGCTCTGTCAATATCTCCATGCTCCGTCCATCTTGAGCCACTTGATAAATTCAGTAAATAAATTAAGATTATTAATTCCATTTCTCTTGAGATCGACAAATAAAAATGCGGGTCAGGAGCTCATAACTTTGAATATGACACAAATTTGGAAAAGACAAATAGAGTTCGGCTGCTTGAAAATCCTCAAGGAAATTCGTGATCATTAAAAATAATTTAGTTACGTAAAATATCATTATGCTAATTTGTATCATTATAATATGTAACATAATGATATTTTATATAACAAAAAAAGTTAACTTTATTTTAGGAAATCTTTCAGAGATGTGGATATATTGAGAACTAATAAACCTTAATTATCAGTTACATAAATTTGCATAACCGATCAGATTAGAATATATTTAATGTCCCTAACTTTAACTCATTTCTGATTATTATCTTCTGATCGTTCTATTTTTATCTAAATTCTAAATTTTAAACAGCGCCAAAAAAGCTCTCGCTCGCTACTTTCAGCTCATATAAAATACAAAAACTTTACTCTTCTAGCATCAGTTGCGTTTTGTTTGGTATAATCTTACAAAGACAATCAAAAGGAAAATTTTTCCAAAATGAATTTCCTCGCCATTCTTTCCGCACTCCTTTCACTGTCAGCCGCTGATCTTATCGGGTTCAACAGGCTTGGCAACAACGTCTACTCATTCAACAAAGCGGGACCAAACGCCCTTTACGGATCAATTGCCAACATGCAGCCGAGATACAAGTTCAACGCGCACTCCCGAAGATCAAATGGACTCAGAAGATATTTCAAGACTCTCCCACTGAGATGAAAAAATCATTGATAAATTCTAAAATGAAAATCTCTTCCATGATTTCTAAAATAAAACAACACGTGTGTAATTTGCTTGATAAAAATTGTTTTTTCAAAATGAATAAAAAATATCAGATCATATGACAAACTTTGCTCAGAGCTCACTATCCAGGATAAAATTCTGATTTTCTTGTCTCCCTCTTCTGAGCATCAGAACGCATTCTGATTGGCAGAGGGCAGAATGGCGCGCAAATTTAAACGTTTCTGTTTTCCACGTTTTCTCTAGATTTTATCAGATTTCGAGGCTGCAGACTTTTGCTGCTTTCACTTTTTGCCACATCAAAACGCCACTTTTTTCAAATTTTCAGAGAAATCGAGAAAAAAATGGACGACCGAATCAAGCACCATTTGGACCGAAACACTGCATGGGGCATTCTAAACGAAGGGGGAGTCGAGAACATACGACTAAACACTCCAAATGAGCGAGAAGAGTCCGTTCGAAAGTTCCTCGCTTTGGGCAAAAAGTCGGAATCGCTCTTCACCCTCCTTAGCGTTTCCAAACACGACGCTCTGAGAAGAGATGTCGTCGCTAAACTGGCCGAAAAGAAGTGTACAGAGGCGATGGAAACGTTTCAGCAGGCGCCGGATGATTTTAAAGGAACCATTCTTGAGGAGGTTCTCTCTCTAGCTGCGGTTATGCCAAGTAATGAACCGATTAGGAAAGGTTTTCGTATTGATTCTCTATCTTCAATCTTATCTCATTTATTATTTCTAATAATTCTTATTACGTCAACTAGAGAAAATCAATTATTTGAACCTTTGAAAGAAATTCGTTCATCACTTTTTTAAAATGCAACAAGTCCTTGTTCAACGAGACTCAAGAAATGCGTTTCCCCTTGCTCGTGCCTGAAGTAAAGGAGGAAGAACCTGAACGACCTCTTTTGGAAGATTTTCTCTGGGATCGATCCTTCACCGATTCTCTCGATGGCGCGTTGATCCATGCTTTGACGCTCAAGAAAATGATTGGCGAGCACGAGGCCGATGTCAACGATGGTGCCGCTCCTGCGAGGGGAAATCTAACAGTAGCCAATTTGAACATCACTTGCGCCGGGCCAAAGACCTCATCTTCGAAAGCGAAAGTCCAGCGCTTCTGTCGGCGTCTTGAGCTGGCCGTCCACGAATATTTGAAGTCATACGACCGTTCTTGCTTCGAAACGCCTTTTCAAAAAGTAACAGACGAAGACTTTTCGACAGATCTTCTCAAACTCAACTTCGAATGCCTGAGAGCCGAGCTACTAGGCACCGATCAGCAAAGAATGGATGAACTCATCAATAACGTTATTGAGGACTCTGTCAGGAGGAAAATCAACGAGGACGTAATGTTCGGCTGTTTTCATACAAAACCCAAGGAAGAGGTTTTCATACGCTTGAGAAATTGTCAAGGACGAGCAATTTTGAAACACAAGAGCGGATATGCAAACTGGGAATCAAATATTTCAAAAACAATCAAGGTAACTCCATGATAAAGACATTTAACAACTTCATTTGAAAATTTAGGATATGCCGCTGCTTTCAAACAAACTCTTATGATGGGCTCTTGGTCGCGTAAAATATCCGAACTTCTTTCCATTCCAAAAATGAAGTAAACCTGAGAGACTACCGCGACGAATACTGCCTCAAGCTTCTCGCCAAGCCGCAAATACCCTTCGAAACAGTCAACGAATACATCGACGCTTTCCAGATTTCAAGGAACAACATTTTATACAGATTCCTGCAATGGCAATTCGTCGGTGAAGATTCTGGCATTGAATCGAGTGCGCTTGTTGTCTCGCATAAGCCGAAAATTGAACTTTTAAGCTACACCAAGGTACATTTTGCCCTTCAAAGAAACCTCTCAGAAAAAATTCAGAGCATCAACTCAAGCTGGAAAAGCATCGAGCCGCGATTGAGATGGGCGCTGCGCAACTTTAACATAAAATCGCCTATCAAAGAGCTTCTGGAGTGGCTTGGTCTGACCGTACGCACAAGCTACCAGCGAATTCGATTTCTTCTCGAGGAAATTATTTTCATGAAGAAAGGCAATCCAGAATTAGAGAGCGATTCGCGCGCGGAGGTTCGATTTTCCTTCAATAGCAGATATCTGTAATTTCTTTTCTAGCAATATTTAAACGACTTGGAAGAGTTCGAAAAGTACCGGCTTCTAAAATCGACCGATGAATGCGACCGTCTTCCATTCCACTGGATAGCTAGCGAGAAGCCGAAAATGCTTGAAGCAATCCGGAAGGAGTGTCTCCCAACCAACTACGAGAAGATCATTTGGGTCGCAAAGACAAGCATTGTTGGGCTGAGCGAAGCAGATGTCAAGATGAATTGCGTCAAAAATCTTGTCACGAAGATGCGGGGCGTAAGATCTGATGAAGGAACAGAGCTGAATTCTCTTTTAGCGGTTCTAAAGGTAAGAAATAGCCATGAAGACATAAAAAAGTACCGCTACCTTTATTAACTTTGCTCTAAGATTGGGTCGACCGCAAGAGAGCAAATAATTGGAGAGCTATCACTCAATTGCCATATGTACATGCACACGGCTCGTTGCATCGATAAACCAGCTCAAGCGTCAAAGTTTCTCAAGGAAGCACTCAAAGACCTGGAGCAATACCGTGGGATAATTGCTGAAATTGCCGACATAAGCCAGAAATACCAGAGCTTGCGCGACTACTCGAATCTGATTGAAACCAAGCAGGTCTTGTCACGAAATCATTTTTACGATGAGAAGACGCGGTCGTTCTTCAATGAGGGCAGACAAGCCCTATCTTCGAGCACAATTCTATCTTTATTTTTACAGGTACGGAAGTTCGAAAATGATCTTTATTAATTGATTGTTAAGCTATTCGAGGATACAAGCAACAACAAAAACGACCTCGGATTAGTGCTCACAGAGGTTTGCAAAAATGCGGACATCCCCGTCGCCGTTGTTTATCAAAATCTCGTCGAAACGTGGCTGAATATGACCCCGATCCCAGTCCGAAATATCGTCGGCATATCCTCAATCTGGGACAAGACAAAAGTAGCCAAGGCACTCTTCAACCAAGCGTACTCTGGGTCGCTGGAGCAGCGCTGCGAAATCATGGATCATCTTCTCAAATCTTTCGACGAAGAGGAAATGGCCGAGATCGCGAATACACTCGGGATGGATTCGGCCGGCTTTGGCTCCAAAAAGCGCTCATCAAGCAAACTCAATCCTGGAAAGATCAATGCCGTCTCAAGGTACTTGGCATGAGCTCGAAGAACTTGGTGGCTTTTATAAAACTGACGATAAAGTAGCCGGGCTCAATCAAATGTTGGACGCGTTGGAAGGCTCGCACGAAGCCTCAAAGGCGCTGGGCGAGTTGGCCTTCAATAATAAACTCGTCGACGACGATTTGTGGACTCGTATCTTTGCCAACTTCGTTGTCGGAGAGGAGCTCTTCGCGTTTATACGCCGTCTGAATCGACAAAAATGGTTCAACACGATGCTTGAAGAAAGCGTCATGTTCGACCGGACTTTCCGAAAAATCTGGACAGCGTGCATCGAGCTTAATGTTGATACCCGGCCAGATCTGGTGGTCCAAGCGCTTTACGAGTACCCGAAAGCCTTCCTTATCGACATCGAGAAAATCGCCTTCAAGCTCATCAGCAAGGACAACGAAGTTGAAGCTCTCCAGATCATTCCACGCGCGGCTACGTTTGATCAGCGAGAAATATTCGACCGAATCGTCAAAGCCGTCACCTGGAAGAAGCTTGTGAGCTCAGTTGTCAAGAGAAATCGGCTTCTACTCTCGCACTGCGAAGTTTCCCAAATGCTGCTTTGGACGGCTACGCCAGAGAATCTTCGCAAATTGACGATGGATGAGTATCGTTGGATAAAGGTAAAGTGGGAAGGGAGATTCAGTTGAATCATATTTTCTTTTAGAACGAAGCGATTATCCAGGGCTTCATTGATCCCCTTGTGCAAATGCTCTTTAGGGATAATAAATTTGATGAAATCAAGGTAAAAGTCACATTTTTGCACATTCTTTGGATGCTTTTCTAGTCGCTTCTTCTCCTTTATGGAAAGAAGAACCCCGCGATAATGTCTGAATTCGAACAAATCTCACGTCTGCAGCGAACCGAGCGAGATCAAAAGCTTCAAGCAATGTTCGACTCTAATGGGATTCCTCAATTCTTCCGCCCGATCCCCTCTGCCGCTGAAATCTTCCCTGGAAGCTCATAGAAGATCACTGTTTTATTATTTTTTCAAAACGTCAGTGTCTTACTCTCACTTAATGTCCCTTCACTTATGCCATTCCCCAGTAAACACTGCCCTCTTAATAAAATTAAATTTATAGAAAGATATTTTGTTATTATCTCTTTATTTCGTTGAAGAACAGCAGGAAGCTTAAAAATTACCACCCAAAGCCTTCATCATTGCCGAGCATATTTTGGAGACCCAAAAGTTTCTCTTGAAGTCCAGTCTGGACTCCGGAATCACGGGTGTTCAACTTGAATATTTTGAGTTGCTTGTTTTAACGTTTTGGTACCTTGAAAAAATTTCTCTTCATTCTTGAATTATCTTCAAAATTAAACGCAGCGGCGCAGGAAGCAAGGAGGATTGAGAGTTTCATTTAGTCAAGTTTAACTTTTTGGATAATCGTCTTTTTTTGAAACATTCAGCATGGATGAGTTTATATGCCGTGAATAATAGCGCCCTCATGCAGAATATGGAAGAACGCCGAAGAGTCTTTAGTGATTATATCTGATAGTTTTTCTGGTTAAATTATTTATGATTATTTATGACTTAGCCTAACGGAGTGCAAATAAGTCAACGTTTAAATAATAGTCGGCTTCAATGAAAAACGACGAAGAATAGCTATTTTCGGGGAAGCAGATAATTAATCATGCTTTTTCGTGGGACATAATTAAGCCGCTATGAGATTTTTGGATTGTATCCGGTCTAATTTTTGATATATCCCCTTTCGAACACATTTATTTTTTACAAAAGAGATGAGCGACGTTTCAGGATTAAAGCTGCAAATAAGCAATATTAATTAATTGACGTGTGCACTGCTTTTTGCGGCATTGAATAAGTTCAACTCATCATTAAAACTATAAGCAACTTTTTGCATCAAAAATTAGAGCCTTCTACTCCAGTGCCTTCCAAAAGGCGAAGATTGAAGAGCTTGACCCAAAACCGATAGTAAGGAGTGGAGGCTTTTTGGGGGTGGATATCGGGCAAGGTTCATACAAAAAGTCAAGGATTTTGTTTATCTTTTTTAAATATTATGCAACCGTCAACAGAAGAAACGGGGTTTTCTACCAAGATAGGCAGCCAGACGGATGGTTTTTTGATCAATTCGATCAGCAAGTTTTCTGGTGGCAAGAACCTGATGGAAGAGTTGTCTACACAACGAACAACGATGGCCGTAATCACCCACTAAATGCTGGAGCTAACTGGAATTATTAGCGAATAAAGAAACTATGATTCAAGTTCAAGCATGAATTTTTCCCTCAATATTGAAGAGCTAAATTATAAATAAGCACATTTATTGAGCGGTATAATTAAGAGTGAATGGACCTCCTTCCTACTCATAATGAATTAAGATTGATTTCTTTTTGCAATTCATGCAAGGCGTCAACTCCAAGAATAACAGTGAACAAATCTGTTTTTTTTTTGAAAGATCAGTATTATCTTTCTTTATTATCCTCAGTATTCAGTAATCTAAGAATTTGTTCTGCTGAGTTGACTCCAGTTAGGTACGCTCCATGCGCATAACCAGCATTCGATCCATCGAAAGCCTCTCCAATCATGTAAAAATTATCAACTGAAATGAAATTAGCAAGTTATTCAGTTTGAATCGTAATTGCTTCATTTACCTAATGGAACGTTCAGACGCGAGTAAAACTCGTCAAATGTCTTTCCCGGACACAGAGCCACATTCGTATAGCAGCCCTGGAAGTTTTCTTAATAATTCAGGAGTCAATTTGAATTCTGCAAATAAGCAAAAAACCTTGTGCAGCCCAAGTTGGGTTCGAAAAGTTTTCAATATTCGCATCAAATCCAAATACTCTCTTGATGGTTGTCTGAATGTTTTTCTTGATCTCTTCTCTTGAAAGCGAGTTGAACTTTTTCGCCTTTTCTGACGTGGTTCTGAATGCGATCGCCTTTCGCCCGTGAAACCGGAGTATCATTGGGTCGAATTCGATAGACCGGAAGATGTTCTCTTCGTTGTTTGGAAGGTAGATGAAGTCATTCTTGTCTTAGAGAAGTTGGCATAGGTGAATATAATCAGAATTTACCTGGGAGTAGATGCTCCTGATCTTTTTCCAGTAAGACAAAACAATTCGCAAAGTGCACAAGTGAAAGTGCTGATATGAGCTCATCTTTCTCCGGGGTCATAAACTCAAGCCTTAGCCTTTTGAATGATACTGACTGATCGGGACTGCCGAGACGAGAAAGTCGCAGCTCATCTGTTCCACTGATCCTTTTGAGTTTCTCAAGGATAAATGAAACTTTATCAGGATTTGAATACATCTACAGAGCTCTTAAGATAGACAACACTGTTGTCGTACTGACAAGTTATTGGCATTTAAAAAATGTCTGCTCCAGGCGCAAATAAATAATTAAAAGATTAAAGTTCTGATTTATCGGGGCCCATTGAAATTTTCAAATCCTTCCTTGTTGTTGTCATTTTTGACAAGGAAAACATCTGAATTGAAGATAATGTTCTCATTCGGTACATCCTTTGCGATTTCGGCTACGCACGCACTTATGTTGGACGTTGCTTTCTATGGGTTATAAATCTGAGAATAAGTACTTCAACTTGAGGTTTCACTTGACAGAACTTTTGTCTCAGAAGTGAAGACTCAGGCGAGTTAATTTTAATTCGATCAGAGTTCATGCACTAAGTGGATGAACCCAGAACTATTGGTGTTTCTCCAAATCTGTCTTCCATCTGTTTCTCGTCGGCATCTCCGATGGAACACGACGCAGGCTCGCTGGCACAGATTTGCGAGTACCCGTGGATATAGTGGAGCGCCTCGTAGATATCTCGTGGAATTTTCTCGGGCGAAGAGTCCGTTCGTTTCATGAATTCCTCGATTGAAATTAACTCCTCCGTCTGTTGAAAATACTCCGTCATTTCGTGCCAGTCGTTTAAAAATTGTTTATGGTAGTCTTCCATCTTCTCCGTAATATTTTCATATTTTTCGTCCAAAACAATAACCTTCTTTTCTTCGCTGAAGTATTCAGGGTCCAGAAGAGTCTCAGAATTTCCACTGTCTTTCAAAATCTTTAGCAGTGGATTCCGCTCGCCCATGATCCAATTTGCTCCAAGATTGACAGATATTTCGGGGTGAGTTGAAAAGGCCGCAATCTCCCACCAATTCTGTTCGAGTATTCGAGAACTCGATAATTGTTGACACCATTTTTGGATAAAACACTCGCGCAGCCGATTCCCGCTATTCCTCCACCGATGATAATAATTCTTAGCGTGGAATTTTCACTTTAATCAAATCACTGAGTCTTCCTATAAACGCGTTTAATCCCTAGCTATGATGATCCATATCTTGCACCCCGTCCGCTTCGACTATCGATTCTCTCAGTTCTGAATTCTGACAATTTCCCATTGATTGGCAAACAAACGCTTATATTTGCTTTTACGAAATAATTTTGTCACGATTTTGAGCTCAGTTTTACTTTATCCAACAACATTATTGCAAGCGGAAGTAACTTTCTGTATTTTTGTTAGCGCAAACCTTCTGTCTCCACCTTCCAAGCTATCCTTCAATTTGCTATTATCCGATTATTATCCTTCTAAGAGTTGACGATAAGAAACGAATTTATTAGCTGCCTGCCATGCTATTTTACTCCAAAACAATCAAAAAACCAAGGTAAAAACAACCAGAAAATGGAGTTCAATGGTTCCTTTTTTATATTTTCCAGTTGAATGAACTTTTATTAAATGAGCTGTTCATCAGAGGACTTTTGTTTATTCAGCGATATCAATTCCACGGAAGCTTTACCCGATGTTTCTTTCGTGAAGATCTGTTGAATCTCTTTCAGTTGGTGCGGCATGATCATAATGTTGAGCAGGATCTGATCATCCGCTTCTTTTTCGTCAAGTATTTTGCTAGAAAGATCGCCTTCAAGCTCATCAGCAAGGACAACGAAGTTGAAGCTCTCCAGATCATTCCACGCGCGGCTACGTTTGATCAGCGAGAAATATTCGACCGAATCGTCAAAGCCGTCACCTGGAAGAAGCTTGTGAGCTCAGTTGTCAAGAGAAATCGGCTTCTACTCTCGCACTGCGAAGTTTCCCAAATGCTGCTTTGGACGGCTACGCCAGAGAATCTTCGCAAATTGACGATGGATGAGTATCGTTGGATAAAGGTAAAGTGGGAAGGGAGATTCAGTTGAATCATATTTTCTTTTAGAACGAAGCGATTATCCAGGGCTTCATTGATCCCCTTGTGCAAATGCTCTTTAGGGATAATAAATTTGATGAAATCAAGGTAAAAGTCACATTTTTGCACATTCTTTGGATGCTTTTCTAGTCGCTTCTTCTCGCACGCACTTATGTTGGACGTTGCTTTCTATGGGTTATAAATCTGAGAATAAGTACTTCAACTTGAGGTTTCACTTGACAGAACTTTTGTCTCAGAAGTGAAGACTCAGGCGAGTTAATTTTAATTCGATCAGAGTTCATGCACTAAGTGGATGAACCCAGAACTATTGGTGTTTCTCCAAATCTGTCTTCCATCTGTTTCTCGTCGGCATCTCCGATGGAACACGACGCAGGCTCGCTGGCACAGATTTGCGAGTACCCGTGGATATAGTGGAGCGCCTCGTAGATATCTCGTGGAATTTTCTCGGGCGAAGAGTCCGTTCGTTTCATGAATTCCTCGATTGAAATTAACTCCTCCGTCTGTTGAAAATACTCCGTCATTTCGTGCCAGTCGTTTAAAAATTGTTTATGGTAGTCTTCCATCTTCTCCGTAATATTTTCATATTTTTCGTCCAAAACAATAACCTTCTTTTCTTCGCTGAAGTATTCAGGGTCCAGAAGAGTCTCAGAATTTCCACTGTCTTTCAAAATCTTTAGCAGTGGATTCCGCTCGCCCATGATCCAATTTGCTCCAAGATTGACAGATATTTCGGGGGTGAGTTGAAAAGGCCGCAATCTCCCACCAATTCTGTTCGAGTATTCGAGAACTCGATAATTGTTGACACCATTTTTGGATAAAACACTCGCGCAGCCGATTCCCGCTATTCCTCCACCGATGATAATAATTCTTAGCGTGGAATTTTCACTTTAATCAAATCACTGAGTCTTCCTATAAACGCGTTTAATCCCTAGCTATGATGATCCATATCTTGCACCCCGTCCGCTTCGACTATCGATTCTCTCAGTTCTGAATTCTGACAATTTCCCATTGATTGGCAAACAAACGCTTATATTTGCTTTTACGAAATAATTTTGTCACGATTTTGAGCTCAGTTTTACTTTATCCAACAACATTATTGCAAGCGGAAGTAACTTTCTGTATTTTTGTTAGCGCAAACCTTCTGTCTCCACCTTCCAAGCTATCCTTCAATTTGCTATTATCCGATTATTATCCTTCTAAGAGTTGACGATAAGAAACGAATTTATTAGCTGCCTGCCATGCTATTTTACTCCAAAACAATCAAAAAACCAAGGTAAAAACAACCAGAAAATGGAGTTCAATGGTTCCTTTTTATATTTTCCAGTTGAATGAACTTTTATTAAATGAGCTGTTCATCAGAGGACTTTTGTTTATTCAGCGATATCAATTCCACGGAAGCTTTACCCGATGTTTCTTTCGTGAAGATCTGTTGAATCTCTTTCAGTTGGTGCGGCATGATCATAATGTTGAGCAGGATCTGATCATCCGCTTCTTTTTCGTCAAGTATTTTGCTAGAAAGATGATCAGATGCGAATTAATTTTTGAAGCTTACCTGGCAAGCTTTCGGATCTTATCGGCGACGTCAGAAAATTCAGTTGGAATTGTAGCTTTCACTTGGCTTTTGCAACGATCAATCGGAAAGTCCTTGGCTTTCAGCTGCTTGATGACATCGATTGCTTGTACTTTCGCGTTCTTCTTCGTCTGCAAGGAATAATGAATCGTCTCCTTCATCGCCTTCTGTATAATCGTCGGTGGATACTTTCGTTCCGTTTGAGGATTGATGGACATTTCAGAAACCTTCTCCGCGATTTCAGAGAAGAGCGATTCATTTGCTACTTCTCGTTCTTTATCAGAAACCTGCAGGTCGCCTTTTGCCAGGATTTTAATTGCGATGTCTTTTTCATTTTTCGTTCCAAATGCCTTCAACTTTTATTGAAATTCACAAGGAAATATTTCTTACCTTGTCCAAGTCTTTCGAATTAGCGAATTCTCCTTTGCCGACATTTGTAAAGATTCTATCCGATTGCAACACCTCACCAAGATCTTTCTCCGTTCCATCCCTCCATGATTGCACCTTATTTTTGTAACACGCAAGTTCGAATCGCTTTCCGTGAGTCTTGAGCCGGACTACCGCCACATTAGTGTGACGCTTTTGATTTGTTGGAGCCTTGATTACAGGCATTTTCTGAATAAAAAAGAATCCAGTCGGAGCTTTTTTTAATATGTGTTTGGCAGGTGAAGTGAAAACTGCAGTGTGAAGATAAATGAGGCAGTTCATTTAGCTTAAATAAGTGTCAGTGAGGAAGATTTTCTATCTGGGATTTAGGTCGACATTCGCTCGAATTTCTTGAGGGTTTCGCGGTGGCGACGCTTTTGCTCTTCCCGCTCTTCTTGCATCATTGTCATTTCGAATGAATTTCCCGCTTTCTTCTTTTGTTGCTCTTGAAAATGCTGTAAAAATGCGATTTTTAGAAGAATTACCTTCGAAGCGGTTTTTGATCATCTCCAGCTTGGCGTAGTTGAACTTTGGCTTTGGTGGAGATGGAGCAGCATCATTTCCGTTTATTTCTGCATTCTTTTTCTTTCGTTCTTGCTTTAGCTTTTCCAATCGCGCTTTGGTTGACTCAGAGAGACTGTCATAAATCCGGTCTCTCGGGCTGAATCGAGGTTTTGATGAATTTTCCTCTTTTGATTCTGCTCGCGCGATGTATTCTTCCTTTACACTTTGAGCACTTCTGTACTCGGTATGCTCTGGTCTTTCAGCAGTCAAGTCTTGCTCCATCCTCCTAATGTTTTCTTCAGTTTTGTTCGGTTTGGAACCTGATCGTAGCTCTGATCGACGCTTTATATACTCGATATGATCTTCCATATTGTCCGATCCAGTTCGTGATCGAAGAATTGACTTCAGCGGAGTCAAAGGAGGATCGACTTTGATGCTGACCTTTTGACTTTGGACCATTCTTGGTTCGAGAAACGCTAGAAAAACTCTATATGGGTAAAATCTATCAAGAGATTACCTCTCCTAAGATGTGGATGGGGCCTCAACACATCAGCGCATTTCCTATAGCTGTCCATATCGAGGTTAGCGAGAGAAAGAAGCGGAGGCTCGTACTCTTTCTTGCCTGCGACAAAACTCATTTCATTTTCTTCCTTCTCGTAATACTTCTTTCGTTCATCAGAAACCTCGAGGCCCGAGAGAGAAAAGTCGAGGATTTCATACTTATTCTCCAGCTCTGAAAGAGAAGGCTTTTGATTTGGAAATACTTATTAACCCTACTTCGTTGACTGTCAATTATATCTTCCGAGCTAGGGTCATGGATCGATTCATCAAGATATCCAGTCATCGGAATCTCCGGCACTGGTTTTGGAAGCGAGATTGAGTTGGAATTCTCATCTTCTTCTAAAATCAACTTAAAAGGTAGAAAATAAAGTCCAATTACGTTTCTCCGAATCTTCTTCGAGACGACTCTCCTCAAGATCTCCAACGGAATCGTCCAACGAATCATCACTTGGCGGCTCATCAGAAAAGATCATGTCATCGATGGACGAGCTTGAAGCATCAGAGAAGATGGAAGACTCGTAGGAATCGTCGAAGTCACTCATTCTTAACGAAGAAATGATCTAACAGGAGGTCTTGAACTTGTAGGATCTTATGCGCTCATAGTCTTAATAAATAGTGTTCTCAATAGCGAAACAGGACAGAAAGGTGCTATTCTTTATAAAAAGAGCGCTTTTTACATAAGGAAGAATTCCCGGATGATGTGGCCACAGCCCTGCTTCTCGCCAACCTTGAGGTTCAAGTTGGTGAAGGCAACAGCCATGATGAGGCAGAATCCAACCCAAAGCCATTTGGCGACCTAAAATTTTATTTGGAGACTAGGCACATTCGCAAAAGAAAGCGGCTTACGTTGGCGAAGAAAACAGGGAGAAGAAGGGGAATGTAATCCATGATCATAGCTTCAACGCCCCAGTAGGAGTGGGCGATCCAGGTGAGAGCCAATGTCTGGTCGACAAGGAAGTTGCCAGGGGAGATGACAGCAGCGCCCATGGAGCCAAGAGCGACCATGGCGACGATTCGCTCCTAAAATCCATTCTAATGGCTGCAATCAAAATATAAAGACTCACAAAGTTGACGTGCTTGTGGAAACCATCCTTGGCTTTGATCTGGTGGCGGAGCCAAAACATGTTGGTCTCGGGGATCTCGGCCTTCGCAGAAAGCTTTCGGCTCAGCACTAGAATAGATTTAGGATAACATAATTGAAGCCTGATCATTACCTGGCGTGGCGAGCCGAGTGGTAAGGGTTCGGGTACTTCTAAGCGCGAGCATTTCTAAAGAAAGCATTGTCAAAAATCTATCGTAAGATATCTATTAAAATTAGAAAATCATTTTTGCAGTAGCCATTTATAAATCACATGAGCCGTCTTTCCAGCCATCTCGCCATCTCTGATCAAGCCAATCAAGATCACACTTGTAAGTCTCCTTTCCCAGCTTCTCATTCACTCGATTATGCATTTCGCAGGTCCAAATACTCAAACTCGCACGAGATTCGTTCCTGACTTTGAATTCTTTGAGGTCCTGGCGAAGGTCTTCTGCGCAATGAGAGCAAGGATAGAGCTTTGAGAAAGAATCGTAGAAGTTTAAAACAGCGGCTTTCTTCTCAGGTGATGGTTTATCAGGATAATATGCTGCCATTGTGTGGAGAATTGTCTGAAAAAATATTTGGAAGGTAAAATTGGTAGAAAGCTAAGTTTTCAAAACTTACCCAGCCAGCATTTCCAATTTGATTGACATCTGGGGCGCAGTCATTTCTGACGCTGGAATCACCAACCCCAAAAGCATCTCCAAGCCGTGCTTTCACATCTTGAACTGAACTACAAGCACGACATGGAGTTCCATCAGGGTTAAGCTGCACACCATTCGGGGCAGAACTTCCGGAAGACTCGAAAGGGTCGAACGAATACGAATCTTGCTCGTCAAGGCGTTCTCGATCTCTCCGAGATCTTGGCATACAACCTTCTGAAGAGAAAACATCGCTGATATAAATTCAAGATTTTATATTGAGTGACATTCTGGAACAGGCGGTATTGCTGTAGTTAAACAGTAAGAAGAGATTGTCATTCTTCATCTTCATCTTCGTCATACTGTCCGTGATAACCGTACTGAAAATCAGTAGGATTCATCGACGTCATTCCCTGCACGAGATCGTCTTCATAATCTTCTTCATCGGAGTACACCTGTCGCTGTACTTGAACTGTATATCCGCCGTAAGAAAAAGTTGACTCTTGGCCCCTGAAATTGATTCTAAAAAAATCTAGTGTTACTGAACTTACTCTGTATTCGCCTTTCGCCCGAACTTGTAACTCCTCGTGCTCATCGCCAAGTCCTTTGTTTCTCTACACTCAAATCCACACTTCGGACACGGGAACTTTTCATCCCTCGCGTACTTGACTCCTTTTCGCCGAACATGATCATCACAGAAGCAAATTTTACACTAGAAAATTCGTTACGTAACTCTCCTTGTTCTCGCCAATTGGATTTCGCGAAGCGAGAAAGTTCTTGAAACGCCCGGGCCTCAAAGAAAGTTTACCTTGAGACAGCTCCACTGGCCGAATTTATTGCAAGAGCCGCATTTGTCGTTTTCAGCGTCGAGGACTTGGCATTTGGCCTGATGCTCGAATTGATCATCTTCGCAGAGATACCCGCAGCAGAAGGAGCACTTGAACATTCGCCCTCCGTGATCCCACACTCCTCTTTCGCACTAGAATTCACTTTCTATGCAAGGAAGAAGAAATACCCCCACCTCAATACAGACAGCATCAATCAACGGACAAGCACAGCCATGTTTTTGTATACAATCCCTTCCATGGCAGACGAACGTTTCACAATGATCACAAATGGCGCCGGCAATCTTCACCCCAGTAATATAATTCGCACCGTGTTTGACCAGACATCCTCCTGGGGATCTATTCATGCACTTTGTCATCCCACAGCTTCCGCAAACAACTGTTTTTTGAATATGATTGCAGAAGTAGCAAAATGCTCGATTTTTTTGTTGTTTTCCGCATTGATCGCATTCTATCAGCGAGTTACAGGGATGTATTGCTAGCCCTCTTTCTGAGGATCTATAAAAAAGCTCTTGAACACGTCCAAAGACATTAGATAATGGATATTTCACTGATTTATATAGATACCTTATAGGAAAAAGCACCTGATGTCTCGCTGTCTTTCAGCTTGCTTTTCAGCCTTTTTTCGCTGCCCTGTCTTTTTCTTTGGCATTCTTAGAGAATAAAACGGTCAAGACGTGAATGCATATAATTCCAGAGCTGTATTTGTATCAGTAGTAGTAAACTAACAATTTGAAAAATAGAGGAGTAGCAGAAAAAATACCGGCATATGTTGACTTGAATATATGACACAAGGAGTTACTGTAGCTTTTTGTCAAAAAAAACAGGACAAGTAGAGTTGTTATAAAAGCGAAAGTGTGGTATGTTTCACAATTGATATATATGCATTTTTATATGAATATTAAAGTTTGTGGACCAATGAATGGTGGAAAAAGGAGTGGAAAGATTCTCGATATGTTGATATGGTTGTTGATGTTGTTTCAATAATGAGTTGGAAAGAGGCTAGGTTCAACAAATCGAAATCCGATGCCCGGAAAACCCGATATCGGATCGGATATTTATCGGGTTTTGTCGGGTTTTTTTTCACCCTACAAAACCCGATCCTGAAAATTTCAAAAACCCGACGTAGGATCGGGTTTTTGTCGGATTTTGTCGGAATTTCGTCGGGTTTTTCTTGCCTTTTCAGCCAATCACAGTCCGTCTAAATAGCCTCCCTTGCCCTTTTTTACTCTAAAAGCACTCGAAATAGATGAGAACTGCCTCCAAAACCGGGGAAAGGCATAGAACGAGCTCTAGAGGACATTTACATTAATCTTACCAAAGATAATCTTCTGGCGATTGAGAGAATGAAATTCAGCGAGGTCCCTGGCAATCAGCGATCCATTTCGAGGGCAGAATTTCAGAGAACGCCTGAGCTTGAAGGCCTTAGCAGAACAGTCTTTTAGGTTAACTCCCACTATTTTCAACCCCATGGGTTATTTAAAGCCATGTGACCTCGGCAAGGCCTAACCCCCTAAACTGTAACTCAGCAAGGTCCAAGCTTTCTAAACACATAAATAGGGTTTGGATTATTTATTCTATATTCTACCGTATTACTAATAATACGGTTTTAGACGAGGCGTTTTTATTGTATAAGGAGATGCACAATGGGAAAATGCACATTCTAAATAATATTATTAATGATCCTCGAAAATTGTTGAAAAAATCTGCTCAAGATAAGTTATTGACCTTCTTTTGACTTGATTTTTAATTTTTGCTTGTAGGAAACCCGACAAAATCCGACAAAAACCCGATAAAAACCCGATTTCGGACCCGACAAAAACCCGATAAAATCCAACAAAACCCGATCCAACAAAACCCGACCTCCTAAAAACCCGATAAAACCCGATCTTGGTTTCGGGCGATTTTGTTGAACCTAGGAAAGAGGAACAGAATGGAACAAACTTTGAACCTGAAGAAAAAAAAAGGAAAATAGGTTGAAATTATATTGAAAGAAGAAAGATCACATGATTGAGCAGCACCATGAGTTGGTCTTCTTGGCGGTTTTGTAGAATGCTTTTGACTGCTCTGAGAGTTCGTTACTGCGGCTAAAATAATTTTTTATAAATGATACCTATAGTTGATTATTACCTGACAAGATCGTCAAGCTTCTGGCCACGATCGAGAATCTTTTCGAGCGTTTCGGAGACGATTTGCTTTGTCTCATCGAGCTCGTTCTGCACTTTCATGATGGAATCAGCGGATTTAGGATCTTGCCATCTTGTAAGAATGTCCTTCAATCCGAACTCGACTGAATTGATGCTGCTCCAATTTGGATGCGCTGCGGCGAAGTCCTCTGTTCGAGAAAGAATGCCGTTATAAAAAGAAACAAATGAGGGCTAATTTACCTACTACCTTGCCAAGCATGACAAAAGCCGGTCTTTTTGGGTACTCTTCATCAGCGATGCAACAGGCGGAAAGACCATCAGGACCGACGTAAGAATGGGCCATGTATGCATCTTGTTTGACTGACTTTCTGTCATTTAGGGGTCCTTTCTAAAGAAATTATTAAAGGTAAGGATGGAGAAAAGGCCGTTACCGAGAACAATAGAATGGGTGAATCTGATAAACTCTCCAACAGAATTTCTTTGGAAGAAGCCAAAAGTACTGACGTCAATTTCTTCGCACAATTTTTGAACTTTGTCGCCGTTTTTCTTCGCGATCACGATTCCATAAAGTCGTACCATCTCTTTAGAAAAATTTAATTAGCTTTTATACAACAAGTGATTATCTGTGTTAGAACTTGTGGAACGAAAAGTAGTAACAGTGAGTAGTATTTTACGAGATATTTGTACAGTCAACGTGAGGCGGCAAGAGAAGGCTTTTAGAGTTCGACCATGTGAGAAGAATAGTGTTTTTCTGTCTCCTGTCTGGCTGAAGAACAGCTTTGAGGGAGTCATAGCCGTCGACCTAAAAATAGAGGAATTTTTTCGTTTCATTTTCGTTGTTACCTTATTTTGAACTTGTTCTCTCTGATACTGAATTTCGCAGCGAGATTGATCTTCTTTTGTTCTTCAGATCAAGGTCAATAAATCCTATTTGCTGGTCGAATGCAGCAATCAGTAAGTTTTCATTGAGAACAATGGCACCGCCATTTGAAGACTCTCCAAGTTTGAAAGATTGCTTGAAGTGGCCGCTGCGGTGAGTCCAAATTAGGACCCGCCCTGATTGTGTTATTCCGATCAGGATATCCCTGGTGGTAAAGTTAGGTACTGAAGTACTGAGCTGATAACGTACCTGCAAGGCCAGACATTTGAAATCATGCCAGAGTAATTGCCAAGCACAAATTGGCAACGGCCCGACAACAAGGTCCAAATTCGGACCTGACCAGACTGATCCGCCGACATGGCAGTGATGTCGCTTGAAGATTTTCCATTTTTGAAGAGATTCAGGGCAGTGATTGGATAATTGTGACCTTTGCAGACATGATCAGTCCTGCAGTCCTTGTTCAGAACAGTCACAGAGCCGTCTAATGAGCCAGAAACGATACGTTCGCACATGGTGCGGACAACTGTGACGCCAGGCGTGCTGTGTTGCACCTCGTGAGCGGAAAATTGACAAGTGGAGAATTTTCGTACGGTTCCTTCAATCGTAAGCGCGATGAAAGCACTTTCCTCGTCACGCGTAATTATGAATGAAACGCCAGATTCGTCGAGTAGATAAGTCGACTTGAGAAGCATTTCTGCTTTTGAAACCTGCAAAAACTTCACGTTCCCAGAAGATAAGCCAAGAATGATGTTGTTTTGATGAAGTCCGATAGACCAAACAGTCTCATCGTCAGATATCAATGGATTATCGTCCTCGGTAAAATGATGTCTCGAATCTGATGTCGTGGAAGCGCGATAAGAAGAAATCTGAGACAGCTTCTGAGCGACAATTTTGTTACTTGAAGCATCAAAAATCGTCAAAGATCCGGAAGAGTCAACTAAAAGCAGGTTCCCAGTTTCTTCATCTTGTGTAACATGATCGATGGTGAATTCCAACTCCAAATGTTTTTCCAGCGCGACATCTTCATAGAGCGATTTCGAGGACTTCCGGGAATCAAAATACTCCACAAATGACTTGTTGATTTCGATCTTCCTCTCGTACGCCTAAAAATAACTACTGAAATCAGGTCATAATCATTTCACAGAAAAAATTTGTTAATTCCAATCCAGGTGTTACAATAACAGGGTCACTCCCATGACACGGGAATTATTTGTTTTATTTCTCACCTTATAAAGCTTATAAATAGCTGCTGCAAAGGCGATAATCAGCGAAGCAAGTTTCCAGGAGACAAACTGGGTCAAGCGAGGAGAATCCTTCGTTTTCTGATAGATTGGGATCGGACGGGAGCCACTGGGATCGAAAGGAACACGAATTCGAGGAAGGAAGGATAGATGCTTTCCGCGAATATCTCTTGAATAGAGTTGGAAAGCATACGCCCACGGCAGTGTAGCAAACTCAGGTCATTGTCATCGTAGTCGTTGTTTATTTCACTTGGATCGACCATAAAAACTCGATAACCAATCCAAGTTATAAAGACAATCATCGCAATTTTCTGCAGAATTGCCTTGTGGGCCCATGTTTTTAACAACTTGATCCTCAGTGGCTGGAACATCCCCTCAATCGGGTCAATATGATTCTCCCCAAGGTCGACCAACGGGGTCACATCTACATTGAGGGCGTGAAAAAGTTCTGACAAACAAATTTCTTGTACGCTCGTAAAAAGTGATTGGTATATAAATTTACGAAAAGAGCTTACAAATCATAAAGCGGTGAGACTCGGAGACTCGGCACATCGTGAACTTATTTTGATGGTCTCAGACAGACGTATTTTTATCTCAATCAAACGGCCAATGTCAAAATTTTTGATTGATTCAAGATTCCTGGCTATTATCAAAAAGAGAAAAAACTCTAGAATATGCCCTTTCCTTCGAGAGTGTCCTCCCCGAACTTTCCAGAATTCCTGGAATTCCAATAACGACGCAATCTTATTGCGGCTCCAGATCTTTTGTGAATCCATTTTGGTTCTAAAAAGTTTGCGTAATGCTTCAAGAGTTTTTTTTTCTTTACCTGATCGCTCAAGTTGCTTGAGCTCGAGAAAGAGAATAGGGGCGAAGAAAGACTATCAATGGCTCGTAAATCCTTTATGAAGGTCAAAAACGAACTATTCTTGTCACAAATAAACAAGTTTACAAGCCATTCATGAAGAAGAGCAGAGTGCGAGAGAACCATAATCAGAGCAAAGATGGAGAAACTGGTAACAATTCAACATTTTCAACCTTTTTCTCCCTTGGCCCATAAGAAAATTATTTAGCCGTTTACCAGCTCTTCAAACTTTGAATACAGTGAGTCATAAAGCTAATGAATCCCACTCAGGTCAAGTGGATGACTTTCCCTTTGTCCTCAACGACAGAATAAAGAGAGATGAGAAACTCGTTTGAACCAATCACGGCTTGTGCTGGCCAAAAGAGCATCCAATCACCTGAGGCCAGGGGCGAAATCAATTTCTCCCGGTAGCTCTATTCCTCGCCGCTCCCGGCGACGGGAAGCACCGTTTATAACTCGAAAAATAGTAATAAAAACTTCAAAGCGCTGTCTCGCAGACAGGAAACGAAATACGAGTCATTCAATACTAACTTCTTTTAATAATCTAAGGACAAAGAGATCAAGTGGAACAGATGATTTCCTCACTCCAAAAAGGCTGAGAAATATCCAAGTAGCTCGAAATCATTGGTGATAAATCCGTGACTTGCTGGGCGGGGGCAGCTGACCGAGAAATACCACTGGAGGGCGGGAGAGCGAGAGTTCACGCGCGCGCTCCCCCCGGGCGGAGTCTCGTTTATCCCGCGCGGCCTATTTAGCTCGACCACTCAGAGAGAAAAATAGGGACAAAGAGAGAAAGAGCATTTCGAAAAAAATAGAGAGAAGAAGACAAATTAAAAAGCTAATTACGAAAGTCTACCAGTCGCGATTTTGTGCATTTGTTTTACTTTTCTGAATTAATATTGCACTGGTCCCGACTTGTAGAAATTCTGAAAACATCCGACTGAGAAAGAGAGAGGGAAATTTGATCGGTGAGAATTCTAGGTCTCGTCAGAGTGTCTGTACAGACGAATATCGAAGCATCTGTATTGCACTCGTCCCGGCCTTGGAATAATCGCCTGAAACTCGACTTTTTGCTAGAAAAAATCGACTAATCGCGGAAGTATTTTGTCGATTTTTTCTTCTCCCAATTTTTAATCACTCTTTGATTGGCCGCCATCCAACGCGGCGACTTACTAATTAAACCCCCAAACGAGTTAAAAGTGAAACTGTCCGAGCACTACTGCGTTGAACTGTATTCCTGCGAGAGTATTCGGAGATCGAGCCAATCATGGTCAGCGCTAATTGAGCGAAGAAGAACTTCGAGAGGTGGCACCCGCCGCGGAGCAATCCGTGCGCGATCCGCTCAGTTGGCCCCTCTTCAAAGCGAGTTTCGTAAACAATTTTGGAGCTCAGCCAGGGCTCTAGTAAGCGCAGATTGATCATATTCTTTGATCCCCAAGCTTTCCCTTCCCTGGCCGAGAATGAACATTACATAAGATATAAAAAACTGCTTCCTTCGACAGGCGTTTCTATGATACACTTCGTCAGCATCAGTACAGATTCAAACGCAATAAACGTAAAAGTGTAGTAGATGAAAATCCAGCCGATTCCGCGCTCGAACGGTCCGGACTCGACATAAATGTCCAGATCCAGCGCTAGAAAGGAGTAAGCTCGTTTACCAAAGAAATAGTTTTTACCGAGGCAAGATCCTAAAGCGACCATTAGAGACATTATCAGTGTTCCACAGACAGCAGCACTGGTGATAATACTTGGCCCGGTTTTAAAAGAAAAAATTGCTATTGAGCGTAAAAATTGCTCAAAAACCTTCCTGGATTCGAGAAAATTCATCTTTCTGACCGTAACGTAATAATAAACGTACAGTAAGATGCCCGCTGAGAGATAAACCAACCAATCAATCGTCGCGGGATACCCAAAATGGAAATTTATGTTGATCAATGGTTCGGTCCCGGATCTGCATACGAAAATAAATTCTTTGATAGAATAATTGGCAGGGGCACTGACCTTGGGTTGACACGTTTTCGCTAGCGCTCGCTGGAAATAGATCCCTTGCCAAAGTGAGAAGCCAAGGTGCTTGTGGATCAATGTCATGTCGCAAAACCACGGTAACAACGGGTGGATAGTGTTTCCACTTGGACCCCCATAAAATGCGCGCTGCCTTTTTGTGACGCTACTTGAATGGTTCCATCTAACAGATGTGCCATCAACACAGAGGGCTCTCATTATAAAATCACCCCTGTAAAGAAGGTAAACTGGCATCGTTATTTGTAGAATTAGAACTTTCCCTTGAATAACTGTTCAATATTTCGCGGAAATTCGTGATCAGAATCAGGAAGATTCGCCGGCGAAAAGATGAGACAGGAATGATTCGGGATCACTTTTGACAGCTCTGGTGGAATTCCCGACTTTAGCGATTCTCCGTGAACACAGTTGTTCGACAAATATTCATGATTCCGGATAATTTTCGTTGTTTCTTCGATGAGTTTTCTCGTAGGATGCTTGTTTTCAAATTCAAACTGGAGGATGTATCCTTCTGGCTTGTTCTCCGAGAAGTTCTCCGATGGGAGTGAGTGGATCGAATAAGGAGTTTTTAAGTAAAAGAAAGACAGCCTAGAACAATTTGAGAATGGATAGAAAACGGGCCTGGCTTACATATCAAGGTGAAAACGACGCTGATGAAAATGAGGCAGAAGGGATACTTGGCGATAACCGTAGCCCATCTTACGTAGTTTCGACGAATCAAGCGCCTCAAGTTTCTCTTGACCCAATTGCTCGTTGTTTTTCGGTTTTCTTTCATGCTCATCGACACCGATTCATGGTTTTTACATTCTAAATGGCCAAATGGGGGATTATCAAAATAAGAAGATGCGTTTTCTGAGGTATTTTAGGAGGAAAGGTAGGCCAGAGATAAATGTTGGCTCGAAGGCCTGAAAAAAGGGCGAAATCAAGCAATCTAGACAAAAGTAAATTAATTATTGATGACTTGGTGGATTTCCCGGGATTTTCTAGTGGCAAATGATCGACGATTATAGCCAGTTAGAAGTCAGGGTTTTAGAGTTTCGATAAGACGAGGAGACCGTAGCCTCCTTCAGAAATTGCCTATGTGGACGGTATTTCACGTCCGCATGGCGGGGTATTGGGTATAGTTTTCAATTAGCAATAATCGCAACTCGGATAAACCTCATCGTTTACGATACTGCCACTGCGCAAAGCTAAAGAACAACCGTTTGGAAAAAGTACGGAAATTCCAGCGTAAAGGGGCATTATGGTGCTTCGAGTCGGGCGTCGAGAAAATCGATCAACGGTAAAATATCGCCGCCGGAGTCATTTTTGAAGATAAAATCGTGGGTGTAATCGTCCAGGCCACATTCTGTCTCGCAATCGTCGATACCAGCAGTAAAGGTGAACCCGCGTGACTCTCGGGCCTCCCGGGTGGCTTCGATTCTGACTGTAACTATCGCCAGTTGGTTGTGATAGCCTGGATCATCAAACAGCTTCTTGATGCTTTCAATGTCCGTTTTTCTCCTACAATCGGAGACAACCACCAACGAGCTTTTTCTACGCGCTTTGTTAAACCTTCAAATCGTTAAAAACACAAACTTACAAATGAACATCCAAGTCAGCAAAAGAAAGTTTCACAAAATAATTCGGGTCAGAATTTCGCTTTGCTTCACCCCAGCGAACCATATCTGCTCTGTACTTTTCCTTGTACTCCCCACTAGTCTACAGTAGCTAAGATAAAAATTTAAGGGTAGATAAGGGTTTTTACCAGAAGTTGTTGATAGTCAACTCCAGGATGCTCTGATGCGTATGCTTTTTTCAAAGGTGCAGAAAGTCTGATGATTCTCATTGGCCGAGAAAAAGGGTTGAGAGCCTTGAAAGGGGGTTTAAAATAAGCCCTTATCCTAGAAAAAAGCAAACCTGAAGCTTTTCTGCAACAAAATCCTTCCCCGATTTCCGCTTTCCCGAAAATAAAACAATCATTCTGCAAGTAACACAAGTTAAAAACGGTTGTTTTTTTTTGTTGCGATTTTATTTTTCGTATTTTGGCGGTTTAAAAGTTTGTTTTTGCAAAAGAGATTGAACGAGTAAACTGTATTTGTGTGTGTCATGATAAAAAGTCCTTCGAAGGTTGAAGAATAAAAAGGCGTGAGTAAAATGACTGTATAACACGAGACGGTTTGATTTTATACGAAGAAGGAAAATAATGACTATCATAAATTATGAACAAAAGTGTGTAAAAATGACGCTTTTTTGCCGATTTCTAGCGGTAGGAATCGGCAAAGAAGCTCATTCTTGAAATATATGGATTGATACAAAGTTGGAGTACGATTTGCGTATTTTTATGAGCGACTTTTAAATATGACGATAATCGGGATTATGCGCGCGGTAGAATTTTATGCCGAAATAGACCGTTGCCGTGACGCCAAACGCTAGAACGGCGCCACCGATGAAGCTGCCGAAGTCGAAGCCGGATTCAATGGGTGCGCTAGAATTGAAGAAGATATCATATCTTAGCTATGTTGATTGATTAGGATAATTCAAAGAGCACTATCTATTTGATCATGCGTTTACGAATCTACGTATAATTGGCCATAGATACCTGGTAATTGGACGAACAAGAGGCGTATCTGTAGTCGTTCCATTTTTAGGAGATAAATCTGGACTTTCTGTTGCTGGGTTTGCCATGTTTTCGACCTCTGGCTCAACTTCTGCCTCTGTCGAGTTAGACAAGTCAACTGGGCTTGCTTTTGTGGTGATTTCGGCTTCTTGAGCTGTGACCGTCGCGTGAAAGATAAGAAATAAAGACGAGATATTCATTCTAAAATGACCCTTTGGTTAATTTTGATGCCTTTAAACTGGGGAGTTTTTAGAATCGATGACAGAGACATGAAAGTTTTCAACTTTCGGGTCTGGGTTTTCAAGTAGGGGAGGATAAGCCTCTTTTCTCTGTTTGTAGTCGCGAATAACCCGCTTCTTCCCAGCGCGGACTCTTTTGTAAGCGTCGGGAGTTTTGAATCCCCATAGACTTTCTTTCATCAAACTGTTTGCTCGCTGATTAATCCAAATTTCATCTTCGATGCTAAAAATCAGAGAGTATTAGAAGGATATTTAGAAAAGTCGGAAAGGCTTGATGGTAAATTTGGTTCGTTTGCAAGGATATATCCTAGGTATATACCAAAGAATGAAATCGTGCATGGAAAATTTCAAAATAAAACGGTTGACTGAAGATTGATTAACGCTCCTTCGACCATAAGAGACGCCTATATAAACCTAAAGCAAGAAGAGAAAAAAAATTATTTTTATTTCAAATGTGAGCTACTTCTACAGGTTCGATACGAGTTCCATCAGCCTGATGGCATCAGGAAGAACTATAAAATGACTTAAAAACTCTCAAAATCTACTTCACACGATCTGAGCCAGAATAAAATACTAGAAAAATTCTATCGTGTTTCTCTTACCTTGGTCTCTTTCTCCGCAGTTCTTCATTTTTCTCCAGGACATCATCAATCCCTTCTACTGGCACTCGAAATTGCAGGGCAATTAAATCCGCAGACAAACCTCCACGCGACAATTCGACGATCTGTCTTCTCTGATTCAGAGTAAAATACTCGACAGAAATAATACTTTCGGCGCTATTTGAAGAAGTTTCTGCTTCAGCGAGTTTTGAATATTTTTCGTAGATGCGTTCTCACAAGTGGATTTTCTCAATTAGAAATTGGTATATAAACTTAGTTACATTGTATGGCTCTTGAGTAAAAAACGATGTTGTCCACTCCTTCCCTTGTTCATATTTAGTAAGCTGGATAAAGTCGTCATGAAGGTGTCTGGGAATCTGTTTCGGTATTGTGCCCTGGAGGAAGAAACGCGCCATATCCGAGTCCGTTCTTGAGCTCAGCGTCTTTTTTACATTCTCCCTTTTTTCATTCGAGCTCGAATACTGCCGCCGGCTCGCTACACCGACCCTCAGCCAGCTGGGAACCACTCGGCCAGAGAGCATCAAAGTTGCGCGTTGCAACATTCCCAACTGCAACGAATACGTGCCCTGTCAGATTCCGATTCAATGGAGAAACTGAAGGTTTTTTTTGAGGAATTCTAAATAATAAAATACGCTCTTATTAGCTCTACTACAGTTTATAAAGAAAATTTCAATTAAAAGTCAATTTGTTTTTTTAATATTTATTATTTATTGTTTTAACAATTTCAATTAAATTTTTAACAAACACTTTTTTCTGCAACATTCAGTCTGTTGAAGATTCTCTTGTCTTAGAACTAATTTTCCTATAAAAATAAGACTGCACATTTTTCTTGTCAAAATAAAAATGCCTTGCTCTTTCTAATTCAATAAGCTCCGGCTGAAAAGGTGAAGACTCGCTACTCGTTTTTTTTCTAAGTGTCGCGTTTTTGTTATTAAAAGGCTGCTGCACGGTGGCGATTGGACCAACCTGGTGGTCATTCTGCGGTTCATATAGATACAGAGTTGCGTCAATAAAGAATCAGGGCATGCTAAAGCCTGAAAATGCTGCTGTTTATTTGTGCCTTTTGGGTTTTTAATGAATGTATTGAATATGAAAGGAAAAACAGAGAAAAGGAAATTAAGCGGCTTTTTTCTTCTTTTTCTTGGGGTTTTCATCGATTTGCCCTTCATCGTCTGTGTCTTTTTCCTTCAGCGATGGGTTGACTTCAAAAGACGTAACGCTAAATTGTCGGTAAATAAAAATTTGTATGCGAAATCAAACCTAGACGTGCTGAAGATTCGTTCAGAATTTCTAATTCTTTTGGCAGTATGTTTTTTGTCAACCTTGTTTCTGTTTCTGTTCGACTCAGCGTTGAAATTTTCCCAACCGATGACAACATTTCCAAAGCTTCAAAATTCGGTCAACTGGGAAAACAAAGAAAGACTCACTCTCTCGTATCATTTAGATATCCTTCTTCGAAACCATAGATTTGCTTTTCCAAGTCCATCAGGCATTTCTGTAGCTCAACTTTTTGCTTGTAGAGATCAATGAGTTCTTGCTAGAATACAACGTCAAAGAGTGCCTCGGTAAACGGCTCTTACTTTTTCGGCAGTGACGGGTTTTTCATCTTTCTCTGGCATAATTGGATTGACTGGAGGAAACTTTCTAAAATTGAGTAGATGGTAATGGACTATTTGTTTTTCTGTGAATGAGTAGTTTTTTCGGAAGAATTGAAAGCAGGACAGATCAGAAAAAGTTGAACCAGAGATTTGAAAAAATCGCGAAAAAGATTTTTTCGCAATTTAAATAAGAGAAACACAAAAATTATCAGTCGTTGTTGTTTTTATAATTTTAGTATAAATGCAAATAAATGACAATAAAATAAAAGAGGAGGAGGTATAAGGAGAGAACAAAGAAACATTCAGCCATAGATAGCTTCTGCCATGCTGGACATTTTTCGTGGAATAAGTTCGGCGTTTTCCAGATACGCGCAAAGTTCATTGACATTCACTTCTTCCTCGTAGCAAGGAGGAAGGTCTTCTGGCGAAAACTCAGTGGAGCGACTTTCGATCGAGCAATTTTTAAACACTGGAGAAGGACGTTTCTCAGGGATAGCTTTTGCCTCTTCCTGAAAAAATACAGATCGTTGAAATCAAGGAAGAGTTCAATTTCTAACCTTTGATGCTGATTTCTTCGACTTTCTTTTCTTCGATTTGTAAGGCTTAAATCTTTTGCTGGTTTTGTTCTGATCTGCTTTTGCTCAAACTTGAGCTGGGAGTTAAATGTGTTCAAGAGATCATCGACTTTTTCGACCTCTTCGGTTTCTTGTTTTTCCATGGCGGCCGATTTCTTTATCTGAAACAATCGAAATTTTCGATGCTGATCTGTACAAATTTTGTCAGTATTGTAAGTCGGCAAAGAAGAGTTGCAGAGAACTACCGGTAGATACTGTAAGGTACTGTTTGGAAATGGAGAAAAATGAGCACATGAATAAAATGTTATATAATAATTTCGATATACTGTAACTTGAAGGCATGTTATAATTGTTCTGAAACTGAAAATTTATATTCACAAATTTAAAAATTGGTTTGGAACAAGAAAAAACTTAGAAAAATAATATTCTATTCGAATTGTCTGAATATGTATAAATTAGGTCAAGAATCGAAAATATAGGAGGAGCTTTTGAAACAGAACTAGATTGGTTTTATAAAATATTTTGTTCGAACATAATCTGGCCAAAGCCGGAAGGAGGCATGTTTCGGAAATGGACGAATTCAACGTCTAAGATGGCGGATTCATCGACGTACAGAATTGGGTAGATTTTTCCTCGGATTCCTGTTACGGGATTCCCTAACAATAATAAGTTAGACTGATAAGGTTCTACAAAGAATTACCTAGAGGATTGCTATTGAGGTAGAACTGCAACTCGACGTGGTCATAAGTGACTCCGATCACATCTCCCTCGCAAATCTCATCGACGCTTTCTACATCTGTCCCTTCTTTTTGAATTGTCCTCTCCGACGTCAGCATCCACGACTTGTCAGTAGTAGGGACTTTGTTTAGGTCACACTGTTCTGCGGCCACGCCACACCCCCAGATCCCATCAGACTGAACCTTCACTAGAACACTCACATGAGCATCGTTTTGTCTCAATGTCTGTAATGTGGACTCTGTATCTACCTTCAAAATAAGCCTTATCCTGCATAATCGGGGCGGAAGCGAGAACTGCACCAGATCCACAGACGCGTGTGCCATTTTTAACGATAACTGCATCCAATCCCATGTTTAGGGCGTCGAGTTTAACTTGAGGCCGGCTTGCTGTATCTAGGATAGTTTTAGGCTTGTAATGAATTAAAGGAAGGGAGCCGTCAAAAATAAGACCGCAGCCTCTTTCAACCACATTCTTTCTCACCTTCAGGCTCCTCAACAAGCGTCTCCCAGCCAAAACAAGGGCCACAGCAACTTGCCAAAACATTCATCTTTTTGTCTTCACTTTTATCTTACCTCATCTTAAAAAACGATTGATAAAAGACTTGATGTTTTTTTTCGTATATTTAGTAATTGCACATTAAAAAATCACTCGTAGTTCAGGTTGAAAGAAATGGGAACAGAAATGGAAGGGCAGGTATTATTTTTCTTCTAAGTTGGGTTTTTATACAGTCACAGTTAGAGATTGTAGGAAGCAATAGGCGTGTAGCAAAAGTCTTTTTCAGAGTCCTACCTACTAGACTACCTAGTAGAGCTAGAGACGCTCAAGGTGAAATAAACGTAAAATGGTAGGAATGATAAAAGGAACAAAAGGCATTTTAGGAGGATAAGGGTTAAATATGAACAATAAATTGGTACCATTAAAAAGCGAAAATCGATAACTGATAAGGAAGCGGTCTGATCTCATTTCATAAAAAGAAAAAAATGTCGGGGTCGTCTATGAAAACACTTCAAGTTGTTATTTGTTTTTTCTTAAATTAAACTGTACAAATTGAAAATAAATTCTTTGGTTTGATGACAAGAGGTGCGTTTTCACATTTTTTTTTTTAGAAAATTGGGGGCACGATTGAAGAAAATCTTTTCAGGGTGATTCTCAATTTTGAAAGCGTTTTGGCGGATTGGTAGATCTGTTATTGCATTGTTGTCCGAAAATTGATAGTAATTGATCTTGAGAGGGAGCGAGAAAAATATTTCCAGATAGGAGAGAGTTTCTTAGAAGCCGCCAGTATCAGCATATTGCTTTTCTGCGCCGATGAAGAAGTCCTCCAGTTGATTTTGAAGAGCTTCGAAGGTTGGCCTACGGTCAGCTTGCTCTTGCCAGCACGACATAATGATTTCCCAAAGATGGGGCGGACACTGGCTCGGTTTTGTCATCCTTTCTCCGCGTTCTACAAAGTCCAAAACCTGAAAAAAATCTTGTAACACGCAATTTAGAAGGATCCTCTGACCTGTCTGTTGTTCATTCCTGGATATGGCGTCCTTCCTCTCGTTATAATCTCTGTCATCAATACTCCGAAACTCCAGACATCGGATTTAATCGTGAATTTAAAGTACAAAGCCGCTTCTGGAGCGGTCCACTTGATTGGGAATTTGATGTTTGCAGAATCGGGATTGTAAATGTTTTCGTCCAACAATCGGGCGAGGCCGAAATCGCCCACTTTGACGATTCCGTTTTGACCGACAAGCATGTTGTCTGCTCGAACATCTCTGTGGATGTAGTTCATGCGCTAGATCAATGTTCAAGAAAAACATAGAAAAGCTTTTATTCACCTCTATGTAGGCCATTCCTTGCGCAACCATCGTTCCCATATCTATGAGCTGTGGCAGAGTTGCATGCTTTCCTGCTCGATCTTTCAAATACGTAAGCAGGGATCCATTGGTCATAATTTCCGTAATGATCATCAACGGCTCGGATGAGCATACGGCAAATAATGAGACTAATCTTGGATGCCTCAAGGTCTTCATGACTGTCGCTTCTGCTTTGAAAGCTTCAGGATCCATCGATCCAGGCTTCATTTTCTTGACGGCAACGTCTACTCTTCCGTTCCAGATGCCTTTCCAGACCTAAAACGCAACTTAGAAAAGGCTCATAGAAAGAGCTGTTTACCTCTCCGAACATTCCACTACCGAGTTTATCGGTCAGCTGAATGTCTCGATGATTTACTTCCCAAACATCTCGCCCTAGATCTCGAACATCCGCAATTTCCTGTGGGCATGACTGAAGCAATCGACAACTAGAAAGCAAACGTTAGTTAGCCGCATTTTCATCTTGGGGAAGATTTACCAGAGTCCATCACTCGTCCTAGAGTAGTGTAAAACAAGATCGTCCATCGTTGCAAACGTCACTCTAGTTGAAATATAAAACCCACCATTATCTAATCTTCGTATTCTATAATGTTTGACAGCTCGCGATTCAGATACAACAGAAAGACTAAAAAATCGCTCATCATCCGTTCGAAAGAAGTAGCCGCAAACCTATAAGTATTGACCATGGTTTCAGCCTCCCGAATGAGAAAGGTGCCTGGAGCTCTGTTTCCAAGACATCGTTCGGCGTCCACTCTGCGAATTGGCCCGAAGAACCACTCTTTTGCCTTTATACTGTCAGCTTCGGCGACATAATTAGAGGGGACATAACCGCGCTCTCCGGTAGTTAGCTTCTTTGCCTCCCACCAGTCGCCTAAATTGGTATAAAAATGTATTTATTTCTTGATAGTTTTAACCTTGATTATTGTTCAAAATAATAAGCCTTTCTCCTTTGTTAAAACTCAAATCGCCTTCCATTCGAGCTTGATAGTCGAAAAGAGCAACGTAATTATTGATAGCGCTAGTTTCTGTGTAGGGATTTTGATGAGGAGGTGGTTGTTGACGATGTGTTTGACCCGGTTGGATATGAATTGGAGCATCTTGCGCCATGAAAGACTGTTGATCAGGGTTCAAAATCACCTAGTTTTTAGGTGAGGTGAGGTGAGGTGATGAGTACAAAAAAGGTGCACCTTTAGGTGCACCTAAAAAGTCCCAAATCTCAAAAATTTTAGGTGAGGTGGGTGAGGTGATAGATTGGAAAAGGTGCACCTTTTAGGTGCACCTAAAAAGACAATTTTTGAAAAGTATTAGGTGAGGTGGGTGAGGTGATATTCCGAAAAAGGGTGCACCTTTTAGGTGCACCTAAAAAGACGGATTTTGGAAGTTTTTTAGGTGAGGTGGGTGAAATTTAGGTGATAATTGATCAAGTGTGGGCACGGATTTTAATTGTAAGCGAGTAATTATTATAAAGCGTTAAAACTTCCGGGTTACCCGGAAAAAAGTCGCGGGTAATTTGAAAGGACTCGAAATCGACAGCCCTGGGGTAAAGGTTGAAGAATCTGCGGGTTGCCCAGTAAAAAATGTTGGGTATTACCAAAGGACTCGAAATCAACAGCCAAGTTTGAATTTCAAACTTTAAAACAACTCACCGAGAAAAAAGGTGCACCTAAAATCAAAACATTCCTAGGTGAGGTGAGGTGAGGTGATGATCACAAAAAAGGTGCACCTTTAGGTGCACCTAGAAAAGGCCCAAATCTCGAAAGTTTTAGGTGAGGTGGGTGAGGTGATGATTTCAAAAAAGGTGCACCTTTTAGGTGCACCTAAAAAAGCTTAAATCTGAAAAATTTTAGGTGAGGTGGGTGAGGTGACAATTTGCACCTCACCTAAATTGAACAAGGTGCACCTTTAGGTGAGGTGATTTTGAACCCTGCTGTTGATTTACATTGTTGAATGGGCCTCCCGATGGTCCAGGCGCCTTGGGAGGCTTTGGTTTTGACATGAGACATCCCATTTTACAAGAATGCTAATGACTAACGACTCGACTACTAGATGTTTTATTCTTTTCTGAAAATTTATAATTTTAGAATTCAGGTATTGAAGATAGGTGAAGCTGTAAGTATTATAAAGGAACTAAAATGGATACGAACGAAATAATTTCGTTCGAAATAACAGAACTTGTTTCTTCTAAAGAAGAAAACCCCAGTAACAGAAGTGTAGAAAGTTGATTTTTGCACAGGATACAAAGGTGTGAGTAAGGGTTGAATATATATAAAGAGTATTTTTCAAAAAAAGTACTTTGAGAAGAAGTATGAACTTAAATAATTGCACAAGGTGGTGTTTTCTCTTCAGCCAGGCAGGGATCTAAATTTTTGCCGAAAATCAATTGCGATTGCGATGCGATTGCGACGCAAAATAGTCCGGAAATTGCGATGCGATTGCGATTTTTTTCGCAAATTGCGAATTTTTCGCGAATTGCGATTTTGTCGCCATTTGCGAAATTTTAGCGTAAAAGTAATTTTTCAAAGGATTTAAGACTATTTTTGAGGTCAGCCTTACAATTAAGCCTTTAGAACACAGAAAATAGGCTCTGAGTCAAAGAAAACCCATGTCAGAATAACGAAGGAGCATCTTGACAAGACCAAAGTTCGCAAAAAATCGCAATTTGCGAATTATTGACGAAAACTGAGTTGCGATTGCGATGCGATTGCGATTCGATCAAAATAATTTGCGATTGCGAATTTTCTGCGAAATTTCGCATCGCAATCGCAAAATATTCGCAAATTGCGATTTTCGGGAAAAATTTAGATCCCTGCAGCCAGGGAGGATTCCCTGGTGATTATTTATAATTATATGGCAGTTACAGCTATTGAATAACTGTAGGAAGGCAATTGCGGCTAGACAAAGGGAAGGTCTTGAAATTTTAAGCAACTGGGTCTGCAACTTCGTTCTCGATCTTTACCGATGCTTCCGCTTTCTCTGGCGCTAGAAAAATGTGAATTTTGAGTGGACCGTGAGATATTTGACCTTTAGGAGTTTCCTCCTCGTCCGACCATCCTTCCTCCGGAGACTCAATCGTTGCCATTCTTTCCTGAAGAGCAGCAAGAGCCTTTTTCCGACGCCTCTCTGCATCTGCCTCGCTTGTTCCAGGAAGACTACAAATTGGGATGTTTATCATATGATTCTTCTGCATGTGTCGTGTTTGTCTTGCACTGGAAAAAATGATGATTATTACCTGATGGTAATGTTGGATGCAGCAGCAACGTCATATTTATAAGTGGCTCTCTGGCAAATTCGAAGTTTTACCAAAATGTTCCAAATAATGTTTGACAGGAATCCAACCGGACCCTACAAAAAGAATCGTAAGTTTTTATTTGATGGTCGTAAAACACCGAATCTGAATGCTATTGTTTTAACAACCACCAAGGAAGAGATTCTTTCACACTTTCAATCAAGCGCGGAAACGAAAGGAAGTTGAAGACTTACGCGGAAAATCTTAGGATAAAACGTAGCAAAAGCGAAGTGATCAGCTAGGTCACCTCTGCCGCGGGAGTGCTGCTGGAAGAATCGCAAATAAATCCAGGCTGAGAACATGCCAGTGTTGAGCATGACGAAGTACGAAAAAGAAACTTGAAAGAGAAAGAGTACTGTAAATATTTGTCCGTTTATTTTTGGCCTTACTGATTTCCGTCATGCAGAGAACAGCAGCACAGCACAAATAAGTGAACGGGATTTGTTTGACTTTGAGTCTGAAAATGACGGTGTCTTCTCCTCGGGATTGCTTGAGCGCTACGAAAACGCCAGCCTAGAAAGTGCTCAATAAAAGTGCAGCTGTACAAGATTACCTTGAAGCTGGCAAGTCCATGAATACTCGTAGCAAAGAGCAAGTCGTCATTGAAAACAACGGCGTAGCAGACGAGGTAGACAATGGCGCTCAAAAGCCTGACATCGCGCTTACAACAGCTAAAAATGAGGGCAGGTCCCTAATGAAAACTTGAAAAGGCTTTACCAAAGAAAATGCAGAACTCTTTCTCGCCCCAAAGTGGCTCAAGAAGTCGTGAAGCGCCAAGGATCACTGTCAAGCCGCCGAAAACCATCAGAAATGTGTTCTCGATCATCGGGCTTGTGATCAACGTCCAAACCCAAAATTTCGGTGGGAAGAGATAGCCGGGAGTGATCGCGAGCCCGCCCTAGAAAAAATTAAGAATGGAAGAGAAAAGGATGAGCTACCAGGATGTAACCACTGAGAGCATAGAAGAAAACAAGAAGAACGCAAAGAATGCGGGCCGATTTCGTTGACTCCTTCAAAGTCATGACGATTTCTTGACGCCATTGAGCGATTGTGTTCTTGACGTCTATTGCCATTCTAAAGTCGATATATCGAAGATTTAAATCGAATAAGTTAGATTTAATATACAGAAAAAAGCAAAGAGAGAAGTTATTCTTTCACTGCCTCGGATTGAGCAATCATCTTTCTTTTCAATTCAATAATTGCTATTTGAGGTTTTTTATTTGATTATTTTTTGTTAAAGATATTGTCTAAAAGAAGCGGCGAATATCTATTTTGAAAACCTTTCCTTTAGCGTCATTTTCGAGCATGACAAGCTCGTGCGCATGCAAATCCCCCAGCCGCCGTTTATTATTTTCCTCATAAACATATCTTTCGCCCATTCTCTCTGGATAGAAGTCCATTAATTGCGCGTTACTTCTTTTCGAAATGCCGTAATTATCCTCCAGCGCGAGCATAATACCATTAACGATCAAAATAAACAGAGCTTTCACAAGGATATGTCAAGCACAGTTCACTTTTGTCTCACAAATTTTAATTTTGCTAAAAGTTGTTGAATCCCAAACTAATGAGCCGAAAATTCTATATTTTGCTTTTGATCCTTCGAAAGGATTCCTCAGCATTGTGTCGACATCTTTCACGAAATGCGCTGGACCGTAGCCGGCGATAGTCGTTCGGCCCCGACGATTTCGCCAAGACAAGGCGCTGGAAGTTGTCAAATATCGACGAAATCCGACTATTCTATTCATCTTACGTCTAAAAATTTCTTTTGAAGTTACTTCGTGATTATGAACACTTATTTCTTTTCTTAATTTTACTGCAGTCTTAAGATTGGTGCAGCATGATGTAGTACAATTAAATTATTTTAACATTAACAGTAAGATACCTTAACGAAATAGCTTTTGCGTCATTTTTTATCGACAAATAAAATAAGAAATCACACATATTTATTTTTGATGCTGGCTTCCGCGTCTTCAAGCTGAAGTTATAAGCCTCATTTTATCACCAAGTCATTCTAAAAAAACATTTTAAGAGATGGATTGAAAAAAAACGATATATAATCAAATAAAAATAATGTGAAGAGCTTCGGGATATGAGCAGAGGTGAAACTTGGGGAAGTATTTGAAAGTTGGTAGAAGATTTGTTTTCATGGAAATGTTGTTTATATCATGACATGTTTGAAAATTTCAAATGGGAATACTGCTGAAAGCTTGTTCTAGGAACATAGAGATAGAAACTTTACATACTAAAAGAGGGTTTTACAGAAAGTTATTCAATACAAAAAACTAGGAACTAAGGCGTTCATTAGATCTCATCCTCAGACGAGAAGAGATCATCTTCTTCATTTGGAAAATCACCGACTTCTACCGAATCAGGTTTGGCAAACACACCGAAATTGTTCGGACATTCAAAATACTTCTGTCCTTCGACTGTTCCGTTGTTTTTGCCATACGGAAGATCGAGCTGGATTCCGATCCAGACGTTGGGCTGAAAAGACACGTTTCCAACAAATTTGACCTCGCCGCGTTGTTTGCCCTTTGATTTCAACGTCACTTCGCATCGCTGGCCAACTTTGAAGCTAAAAAATAAAATGAATAAGGCGAAAAAGGCAGTGAATTCTACTTTTCTCTTGCTTCTTTGTCCTTTTTCTCCTGCGCCTCCATATCTTCAAGCGCTTTCTTTTGGTTTTCTGGATTAAACATGCCCAGCTTGTGAATTCTCTGAAAACGAAATGAATATGAGCTAGATTTACTGATATACCTTGTATTCGCGAACAGTAGGCTTAACTGAAGTCGGCTTAAAAGTATCGTAGGTATCATCGTCCATTTCCTGTTTCTCGATCTTGTTCAAGTCGGACCAGTCAAAGGATTCTGGGTCAATGACCCTAATTCCGCAACAGTCCTCGACTGGGTACGATCCAAGAAGTCGCTCATCATCGTCCATGTCGCAAATCTTCTCGCCCTTTCTCGATTCAAGCGAGAGCTTCATCGAAGCAGGCGAGCATCCTAACAATCAGAAAATGAAATTCCAGCGGCTCAGCTGTAGATAACCTGTTATCAATTCAAGCTTGCCCTTGAGCTCCCGGATACTCAATCCCTTGTCGTATCGTTTTTCGGTTAATGAGCCGAGATTCGTTGACTGACATAAAATCTGGAAATTGACAAGTTCGCCGGATAATGAGCATTTTGGAAAGACTTGGTTATGTTTCCAGTGTTGTTACTTCTAGGCGAGAGTGGAGCTGCCATTCTATTACGAAAATAAAGTAGAAAAGCTAGAAAAATCCAAATTCATCCACGTTTTTTAGTAAACGAGACACAATTTTTGTATAAAAATATAGTTCTTTATTATAAATAAAAGATTTGTTGAATAGAAAAATATTTGAATAAAGAGATTGAATAATATATGGACTCAGAGGAATAGTAACAAAGTTGAAGAAATCGGAGGATTATTCTTCGGTCTGGCACTCTTTCTCGTCTCCATCGACAATCGGGAAGAGCAGATTTCGAGCAGCCTTGAGTCGAGCTTCTCGTTCTCGGTGTGGTTCTTCAAGATGCTCTCGTCGGACGACCTCGGGAATCAAGAAGTTGTGAACCATATCCGCAGCTTGGTCGCTAGGAAAGAATAAAATTAAAATTCAGGCATGTGAATTTCTATTGGAGGCGAAAATAAGCCGTGAAATCGTTTATAAGAATAAGAAATAAAGACTCACCGTGACGAGAGGCCACGAGGGTTTGTGTCAATAACATCGACCATCTTTTCAATTTGCTCTTCAGCGAGCTCAGCAGCAGCCAAGTTGGTTGCCTCGCTAGCGATCTTGAGCAAGTACTGGTCGACGGACTGGTGGCGAGTTTTGACGACTTCTTGCCAGATTTCGTCTTCTTCTCGGCGGCGGCGCTCTTCTTCTTGGCGAAGTCCAGCTTCCTCGGCTTCCCGGATGCGTCGTTTTCGCTCTGCTAGAATTGCGAATGCATGGCATCTAAATAAGAGAACTTAGGAGAGAATTTCATCGAAAATCTTACCTTCGCTCATCCTGAAGTCGAATAAGCTCATTCTGCAAGAAGTCCAAGATTCTCTGCGCTTTCTTTCCAGCAACGCCGTGGACAATCTCTGAGACCTCATTGTGCTCTGCTCGCATGTCCTTTTCGACCTTCCTTCGATCCATGACCCGTTGCTTCTCGGCATCTTTGGCCTTCTTTTCGGACTCGAGAAGAATGTGAGTAGATCTGACTTCTTCGATGAGATCGCGTCGTCTATCCAACTCGGTGAGAGTTTCTCGTCGCGAAGCCATTCCTCGCAGGAGTTTTTGAAGAAGAGTTGCGGCGATCTGTTTCTTTTGGAAGTTCTCGCCTGGCGCCTCGCAAGTAGGAGTAACTGGTCGAGGTGCTGGTGGAGGAACTTCAACGAGCAATCGCGGCTGTCGCTTGAGCTCTCGTTCGGCCTTTTGCTTCTGAATGATGTCGTAAGACTCCTTGAGGTCCCAGTCCATCCTGTCCTTGCGTCGAACGAAGCCGTCCTTGCCAGGTCCTTGTTTTGGTGCAGGAGCGCGGATGTACGTTTCTGTGAGACTCTTCCCGATGGATCTTTCGAGCGCGCAGAGGCCTTCATAAGTGTCGAGATATTTACTCTGCACGTGGTACTTGCTGCTCGTTTTATCGCCGATTTGACCGTGTCTAGCGATCGGTGCATATGTCTATAACAACACTAGAATTTCAAGTTGGCTAAAAAAAGCTCACCTCCGAACCATAATCAATATAATCCTTAACGATGTCTCGCTTGTAATCTTCTCCTAGATATGGCGTATCTATGTGTGCATATTTTTTTATTCGTCTTTGCTTCTTGACGTGTTCTGAAAGAAAAGATTGAAAATGGAGTTTTAGGGACGAATAGTACCTTTCTTTACTTTATCTATTTTTACTTCAGCTTCTTTCGCGAGCTTGACCGCAGTCTCTTCAAGTGCTTCTTCCAATAATCCGGCAAATTCTTCATGTTCAGCTTTTAATTCTTGTTTCATTATCTACAAAAGGAATAAGAAAAGGAAACCGGTTAGAAAAGAGTACATACGTCAAGTTTTTCTTTTTGGATTTCTTCAATTTCTCTGTCACGCTGTTGCCATTCAAATTTTTCGCGTTGCTCCATCATCAGCCGCCGCTTGTGAATCTGGGCCGGGTCGTTGAGCGGCGGGAGACTTTCCTCCCAGCGTCGTTTATCGCGCGCACGCTCGATCATCGTCACTTCGGCGACGCCCGCTGGCAGGCCACGTTTGTACTTGAGCCCTGCGAGAGAGAGGATCTCGGGATTTTGACCAGGGGCGACGGTGTAGTCGGGAGAGTAAGGTTCGGTTTGAGATTCTTGATCGCGGTAGTCGGTTTGTGTGGCGAGTGTACGAGTTCTTTGGACGACCGAATCATTTGTATGGACAACTTGGCGTGGTGGCTCAAGAATTACGTCTGCTGGAGCCTGAAAACACTAGAAAAGAGCCTTTGAAGGGGATATATACCTGACTGAATGGAACATTTGGCCTTCTGAAATACTTGTATCTGTCCTCGCCTCCGACATCCCTAGCTCCGTAGAACATCGTCTCCTGGCGGTCGATCTGAGCTTTGTCTTGATAATTCTTGTTGATAAACGAAGGTACTGGGTCTTTTGTACAAGCACCGTCTCAAACCGAGGATGATGCCGAAGTTCCGAGAACATTTTTCATGGCTTAAGTTTAAAATAATTAAAAGATATGAAAGTTTAAGCGATTTACCTGAACATTTTCTTAACATTATCAGTATTGGTCTTTGCCCGATAGATGGCGCGATTGTGATCCCTTGGCCCCGAAACATGATAGTCTAGCCAATTTTGTTATTACGAAAAATAAGTCTGGAGGGCTTACCTTTTGAGTATAAATAGTCATGCTTGCGTTCCGTCTGGACCACCGCCGAGCGATGAGGATTTGCAGCAGCCTTTTGCGTCATCGCTCACTCCTTTTACACTGTGAGCCTTTTATCAGTAATAACAGGAGCAATCCCGATGTTCTAGAAAATCGGCTCCGTAAGAGACTATTTTTAGGTCTAGAATATTTTGGTGGAGGTAGAATGAAATTCATTGAATTCAATGAATTACAATTTCATTACATTTTGAGTAATCAGTTTTTCTTTCAGGAGCGAATTAAAAATAAAAATTTCAAGGATTTTTGAACTTTTTCACATTTTTCTCGTACGATGCTTGAAATTGGAAAGAAGTGGATTGTCGGTTGTATTTTTATATTTACAAAAGTAGCAATATATTCAATTAGACAGCTGCTTGTGCGGATGAAGATATTTCAGGAATGAAGGACTGCGGAAAAGAGCGGAGAAAAAGTTGCGATTGTGAGGAGTTTTTGAACTGGAGAAAAATTGGTGGTGGAGAGCAGTTATAATAAACACAGTTAGTTATTAACAGAATAGGGGTCGCGGACGAGTTGTGTTAGTTCGGCTACAAGCTTGTCTGTGATTCCTGGGCGGATTTCCTCCAGCTTGAGTAGACTGATTCGCACTTCGTCCAGCGCGGAAGTCTAAAAAAGTAAATAAGACTCGTCAAGTTCAAACTTTTGACTTCAAAGGTACTCTATTCCTTGATTCCAACTTACACAATCTTGATATTTATGCTGCGTCTTCATTTCTGACAGAATTGGCGCCACGACATCATATAACGACGCCGACTTCTCAACAGTCGTGTCGTTTTGTCGAGGAGACGTTTTTGCTTTGGAATGACTGGTACTGGAGCTGGATCGCTGGGTGGAGCTGGAGCAGGATCAGTGGGAGGATCCAATGGGACGCGGTTGTTACTGTATGCAACTGCTGCTGCTGCGGCTGTTACGTGAGATTGTGGCCTTGTCGGAGCGGGTTGGGAAGGTTGAGCGGGAACAGGCTGCGCGGGAGCGAGGGGACTGACCGCGCGAGTTGGGCTTGCGTGACGGCGATCTTCTTTGGGAGATGGCTGTCTTTGAATGAACGACGCTTCAGGACGAGTTTTGGCAGGTTTGACCGTGTCGAAGTCCCAGTTAGGTATCAACTAATGGTAATTTTAGATTGAATCAAAACAAAATGTAAAGAAGTCATATTTTGGAAAGTCCAAAAAAGACATGATCTGTAAATACAGATTGCAATTGCAAGTTGGGAAGCGTTCCAACTAAAAGAAAATAAAAAACGTTGGTGTAAAAGCTGATAACCTCAAGTTTTTCAAAGTTATTGTAGGCTCCCTTTGATGAGAAACAATGATGAAGTAGGTTAGCGAGAAAATCAAGAAAACCAACCTTGATTGTGGCATCAAGCTCATTTTCTACGTCCTCTTCCGTCGGATTGCGTTTCTTCCACTTTTTGAACTTGTTAATTGGCTCTTGAAGAATCGAGTTCTTTTTCGCGTTTTTGAGGAATTTCATTTTGAGAAGGTCTTTTGGTGATGGGCGGTTTTGAGGTTCTTTGTTCAAGCAACTGGCAACAAACTGTTTAAAATCTAAGGATCAAATGAAGGAAAACTTTAAGAAATCGGAGGTTACCTCGGCTGAAATCACCGTCGAGTTCTGGAGCGGCATCATTTGGAATGCTCATCAAAGCTTTCATCGGGTGTTGGTCGGACTTGGGAGGCTCGCCTTTGGCGAGTTCTATGGCAGTTATTCCTGAAAGAAGTTTAACTTTCCAGGAGACCTTTCAAAGTTTACCTAGGGACCAAATATCAGCTTGATAATCATAGGCGGACTGTTTAATAACTTCCGGTGCCATCCAAAACGGCGTTCCTACAAACGTATTTCTTTTCATCGTCGTTTCTGAAATTTGCGCAGCGACACCGAAATCGGCCAGTTTGACGTCACCAGAGTCCGTGAGCAGGACGTTGGCGGCTTTTATGTCTCTGCAAACACGGGGTTAAATTTTAAGAGGAAAAATTGGACACCTGTGAATTTTGCGCTCCTTTGAATGAAGATAATCGAGTGCTCTGCAGACTTCGCGGAGGATAACAGCGATGTAGACCTCATCGAGCTTACCCACTTGAAAGGAAAGCTGTTGAGATCAAGGAAGAGTATGTGCATCTTACTTTTGAGCAGATCATTCGCCGATCCGCCAGTCAACAGCTCCATAACGATCCAAAGTTCCTTTGAGTTCAAATAGGAACCGTAGTATTTAGTTACATAGGGCGAGGAACATTCAGAAAGCATCGCGATTTCCTGTTGAATATCATCAATTTCATCTGAAATCAAAATTTATCGGACTTGTCTCTGTCACAGTTTATTTGCTCTTCACGTCATTATCTTTCTTTCAAAACGATTTGCTTTTGAGTTTTTACCGTCTGACTTTTCGAGGTCGATGATTTTTACAGCGACGATTTTCTTCGTTTTGATCTCTTGTGCTTTCCAAACTTCGCCAAAGCTGCCTTTGCCGATTTTTCTTGAAGCTTGAACAGATCTTGCGGATCCTTTCCGCCCATTTTCTGAATATTTTGGGTTGATAAATTGGTCGGGCAAAGGTTTATTTTTACGAAAAGAAGAATAGTAATGTAAAGTTATATATGAGTGACTCATCCTGAGTGTAAGTAAAGGTGAGAGTAAGTTACAGTAACAAGACTTTGTAGATTTTCAGTTGACAGTATTTGGGCAGTAAAAATTATAGTTACGTAATAACCTTATCGCAAAATATTTTGGATACAAGTTTTAAGTTGATAGATCTTTGAGATTGGGATACTGTCAGGGAGGATTTTTCTGTATTTATGAATTCGTATTTGCTCACATGTAGTTGTATGTTCACTCATATAAATATACTACTAGTAGATTGAAAATATGGTAGATTCTGTTTCTGTTCACCAGTTTCTTTTTTAGCTAAAAGAAAGCTCATGCTTCAAAAAAGCTAAAAAGCACCTTTTTAGTTCTAGTTTTTTCTCTTTCTGTACAGGCTAAATTTAAACATGGCCGGAAAAAATGTAAATGTAAATTTTAAAAATAGGGAAAACAAAAGAAAAGGAGCTAGCAGAATTTCCATCGATTACCACAGCTCATACAGTAAACGAAGGTCGTCATCGGCTCATCGGCAGATCGGGTTTGGAGCTGGGTGTATGTGCATTCTTTGCCCTTGCACTTTCGAGAGGTTAAAGATATTTTATGGTGGAGCGGGATTTTTTTATAGAAATGATATACGGATTCATTTTAGAACATTTGTGAATTAAAAAGAAGTTTCATTGAATATTCCTTTATCTGCGATTAAGAAAATACGAATTTCAAGTTTTTCATTTTATATCTCTTTCATTTTTGATTTCAATAAAAATGTCAATCACATCATTTTTTTTTTATTTTATCAATGGTCTCGAACGAGTGATCCTACAAAGTGAAAGGAAATGGAATGAAATTTCACTCGCTAAATATTTACTTGTAATGATGTCACAGATGCGCTGAGCAAACTGAAAATGCCAACTCCCTAGCCGTAACTGCGTGTTTACGGGAGTTTATGCTCTTTCGATTTATTCTTTGGGCGACTCATGCCAACTGGTATTTTCAAAAAAGAAAACTGCTTTCCAGAAAAATCGTGAACCTCTTTCCTTTCCACAAGTAAACATATCTGTCTTTGTGCCTTCGTTCTGCGCCATTTGGTGGTCATTAATCGCTTCTTTAGTAAATTTCTTCCTCAACTCTTGAAGTTGCTTTGACGCCATTTCTTCTGGCTTCATGCTGGCTAGTTTTTCGGCGGAGATGATGCCGCTCATGACCGAGTCGCGCAGCTCCGGGTTTTTGGCATCTTTGAGGTTGGAGTAGCGAGATCGGATTTTGTTTCGGTACTTCGTGTCTGAGCTTGAACAGCCGTGGAAGGTGAAGATTGCCTCTGAAATCAAGAATAAGGACTCAAAGAACCCGTCTACCGGGTAGAGTCTACCCTCAATCTAAGGATCAGTCGAATACCTTCAATTTTAGCGGCCATTAGGCTAACAAACTGCGGTTGGTATTTATCCTTATCAACCATAAGGGCTTTTTGAAGAAGTTCTCTGCATTTGTTTCTGCTCGGATCCGAAGTGGGTTGAATAGAAGCGCCGAGATTTGGAGAAGAATCATTCGCGACAGGCAGCTTTTCCTTTTCTTTTTCGCGTTTCTGTGAGCTGCTCTCTGTCTTCTGTACTTTCGGCGTTCCCCCATTGTCCGCGTTTTGAGCCATTTGCGCTTTCCATTGTTTGATCAGAGCTAGAAAGGAAAAACTTAAACGTAAATTCCTGACATAGGAATTTCTCAAAAAGCGTCTCTGTTTTGAATTCAAGAATAAAATCGATGCGCAATTGAAAATTGGCAATTCACAATTGAGGATTGATATTTATTCTGGCGAGTAGCTGTAAATCTTTATTTCACTTGACTCTTTATGTTTCGATTTCAGCGGGCAAATAAGGGAGTTTCCCTCCTAAGACATAAATAAATCAATTTAAAATCTCATAAATATAGATACATGAAGTGAATCACTTCTTTTCCAGAGCAATTTTTATGTTTATATATAAATATACATTTTTATATAATCAAAATCTACATTTCGATTGAGCAGCGATTTCCGTGTGTCCAGCATTTTGTGCCCCCTTTCTCAGTGCATTGACGACATGACCGATTTTCGAGCTTTCGAGCAGTTCTTTTGTGATTTTTTCTTCCTTCAACGCATTGAGTAGCTGACCGGCATCGCCATATTTTTCCTTGTCGCAGAGTTTTTTGACTTGTGACGCGTATCGTTTCAGCTCTTCCAGCGGCATTTTTCTTGCTTTTCGAACTTTTGTTCTGAAAACAAAAATTTTCCTCCGGGGAAATAATTATGGACAAGCATCGAAATAAATTGAAAGTGAAGTTGTTTGACAGTTGATTTTTTCTTTCTGTTAGTGAAGACCACAACTTGTTTTTTAAGAATAATGGATATTTAATAAATTGATTTTCCGCTATACGAGACTAATTACTTTGATTCATACTTCGTATCGTAGACAATAAGACTCATAACTAAAGCCAGGTACTTTTAATACATGATAAAATGATTTCCAGATAACATTCTCTACTAAATTCATGTTTTCGTGTCTTCTCGTTATCTCTCAACACTTTTTTCAACTCAAAAAACCTAAAGAGTGTCAGAATTGACAGCTGATTATTGTTCTCTTGAGAATAAATGCATAAAAAATTGCGGCTCAATCTCTCGGTCGGGAGCGCCGCTGGCCAATAAGCGCGCATGTTCCGCCCGATTTTCTCTTTTCAAATCTCCAATTTTCAAGAGTTTCTCCTGCTGATCCCGACTTTTTAAGAAAATGACTGAACAGATCGAACGAGAAAGGAGTAATCACAGAGGAAATCACCGAAGAGGAAGAGGTCGAGGAAGAGGAGGCCGTGGAGGGAGCAGAAATCACAATAATTCAAAAAGGGATGGAAATTTCAAAAAGCCAGAGCAAGTGAAAACGATAGAAGTTGAAGTCAAGCCGGTGAAGATCTGCGTGGAATGCAAGGAAAGAGTAATTCAATCAATTTTAATCCTCTTCTTTATCGAAAATCACCTTTTTCTCACATTTTCAAATTAAAATATCCGATTTTTTTCAACTCTTTGAAAGATAGAAAGCCCAAAGTACAGATGCCCTGCCTGCCTGTCAAATTACTGTAAAGTGGAATGCTACAAGATCCACAAAACAACTTGTGTCCCGAGAAAGCGCAAACCCGCCAAGAAACCTGGATTGAAGGTGGTTTTCCCTTCCACTTTTCAAACATTCTAATCAGCCCTTTCTTCAGGAAATCGACTCTGTAATATCTCAAGACAAAGTAGAAGGCCACCGACTGGAACGATTGAACACAGACTTGATCAAACGGCACTTGTACAATCCCCACTTGCGGCCAATGCTAGAAGAGATTGTTTCAGAGCGAAGCTCGACGGATATTCGATTCTTGCTTGACCAGGCGATGCAAGAGCCAATTTTTGCCGAGTTTGCGAGAGATGCAGTTGGAACGATGTTCCCTGAAGAAATCGAAAAGCAGAATGAACAGCCAGAACTAGAATTTTTGAAAAAAATTTCAGAATAAAGCTCAAAAACGATTTTCCCTAATTTTCTAGGTCAGGGCGCGAGAGCATAAAATTTTTATCGATTCTTGTCTGTTTTTGCCATTCAAGTGTGAACTACTCCCATTTTCAAATCGAAACGCCGGCAGAAAATACGGCAGTAAAAACTCAATTTCGTTTTTTAGAGAAATCGTAACTGAATGTAAAAATGAAATTTCTTTCGGCATTTTTTCTTGGAAATGCGCTAACGAATGCAGCTGATAGATTTCTGCCGCCGTGGCAGTACGATGGCACGGTTTGGCCTTTGCCGCAGAGTATGGCGGTGACGCAGGAATTTCAAATTTTAGGTGAGTTTTAAAAGCAATCAAGCCCTTACACTAACGGAATGTATTCAATCACTCAATTTCTCTTCAGATGCAAATATCCAGTTTGTTCTGACTCCTGAGTCGCCCCAATGCGACATTATCCCCGACATCTTCCAGCGATACCAAGATCTGATCCGTTCCCACTTCAAAATCGCCAGTTCTAGTTCCAAAAAGCTCAAGTTCTCAGCCTCCTCTGCCGCTGGAATCATCGACACAATCGAGGTCAAAATCATCAACTGCGAAAACTACCCTTCTCAAAATATGAACGAATCGTACACCCTTCAAGTCGGCTCTCCAACGCCCGAGAAAGTTGAATTGACAGCCAGTGCCGAGTGGGGAGTAATTCATGGACTGGAGAGCTTCACGCAGATGATTCACAATATTGACTACCGACCGAGTGTAAACTCGACCATGATTACCGACTGGCCGAGATTTCCCTTCAGAGGATTTTTAATTGACACTTCCCGACATTATCTTCCTATTTCCGTCATCAAAGCTCAGATCACGTGAGTCCTAAAATATAGATTTTGCAATAACTCGCATTTTCTAGCGCTCTTTCTTGGAATAAGATGAATATTCTTCACTGGCATATTGTCGACCTGCAAAGCTTCCCTTATGAATCGCAAGTGTTGCCCGAACTCAGCTTCCTTGGATCTTACACGCCACTCCATGTCTACACCATTCACGAAATCAAAGACATCATCGAATTCGCCCGCCTAAGAGGTAAATTCTATCAGCGAGAAGCAACCATTAAATCATCTTCTAGGAGTCCGAGTTGTTCCAGAGTTCGACACTCCCGGTCATACCGACGCTTGGGGACCCGGCGGTGGCCCGAAATTCTTGACTCCTTGCTACCGCAATGGCGAGCCCGACGGAAGCCACGGGCCAATCAACCCCATCTACCAAGAAAACTACGATCTCATGCGAAAACTATTCACCGAAGTCAACGAAGTCTTTCGCGATAGCTACCTGCATCTCGGCGGCGATGAAGTTCCATTTGGCTGCTGGAAGTCTAACCCAGATATAACTGCGTATATGGCGAAGAATAATTTGACTACATATGCTCAGCTAGAACAAGTTTGGGTCCAAGGTAAGAAAATATAGAAGTCAAATTCTAGTTTATTTATTTGCTAGGAATGGTTGACATTGCACATGACTTGAAGAAGAACTACGTTGTTTGGGAAGAAGTATTTGTCAATGGCGTGAAAATCTCAAATGAAACCGTCGTTGAAGTTTGGAAGGGAAGATCTGGAACATGGAAGGACACCATGAATGCTGTCACGAAATCTGGCCACAAAGCCATTCTCGCCTCCCCTTGGTATCTCAATATCATCTCATACGGTGTTGATTGGGAAGGATACTACGTTATCGAACCAACTGACTTCAACGGCACCGCTGAGCAGAACAAACTTGTCATGGGCGGTTCAGCGGCGATGTGGGGCGAATTCGTCGACGGAACGAACATTCTTCAGCGAATCTGGCCCCGCGCTAGCGCTGTCGGTAAGTTGTCCTCAATCTCTTCCGATTCTAAGGGTTTTGTTAGCCGAGCGGCTTTGGAGCGACAAGTCAGTGAACCAGCCCGGCCCAGCGCGATGGCGATTGAACGAGTGGCGCTGCAAAATGCTCGCCCGAGGTCTTCCTGCTCAGCCAGCGATTCAGAATCCAAACGTCAATCCTAATTTCGGATACTGCCCTTATCCATTTGATCCTTTCAACAATGCCCATTACCTTTTCTAAAGGCCTTCAACTAAACAGTTGTCTCAGTTCCACAATAAATTCATCATCATTCAATCTTCAGCATCAACTTGAGAAGTTTCTTGTGAAAAAATGCAGTGTATCTTATTTATTGTATGCTATAATATTTTTCTAGTGGTATGTCTACTAAGACTTTGTCCGCAAGTAAAAAAAAAATCAAGAAACCATAAGCTAAATATTCGTTTTATCTTGGCAAAATTATTTTTGCATTAACTCCTCAGGCGATGATGAAAAACTTAACCAACTCAGTTAGACTTCACCGGTCCCTGGCTGACAATTTGGTCCGTGTTAATGAGTCAAAAAAAACCTTACAAAGAAGAACGCGTTCAACCACTTATCGACGGGGAGAATATTTATTTACAGTAACGAAATTTCGAGATTTCTATCTCACTGAAGTTCAGGCAGGTACGAGGTACTCTTATCTTCATATTCTTCTTTTGATCGTACAAACTTGTAACCGAATTCTTCCATAAGCTCACTACATCCCTTCTGAATCCCGTCAACTATCTCAAACGGGAGTTTGCTTGGCCATGTCTCCAAAACCGTCGCCGAGTTTCTATACGTGCCAAAGGGATTTCTCGCTTCGAGAATTTGATTGTGGACGACGGTCCTCTTTCTGTCGGGTGAGTTGACTTCTTCGACGATTATTTTCGACATGTCGGGCATGCTGTTTTGAAGGAGCATATCTTGAGTTTCTTTGACCTTGAACTTCGTTTTCGTGTAGTTATGTCCAGCGTTGTCTTCGTACAGAATCACCTCTTTGTCATCGATCATGGTTCGTTTTGCGACGTGGAAATCTTTGAGATCGAGAGATTCTCGCCGTACCCTAAACATTATTAAAGATTTGCATTTCTATCAGATCTAACCTTGAAGCGCCTGTATTTTGTCGGATCCAGCCTTTCACTTTCGGATGAAAGGTCAAACCGACGAAATCATAAATTTCTTGAGCCTTTTCAAACGGCAATCGATTCAGGTCTTCATAAAGAACCGTTGAGTAGTCATCGCTTCCAAAGTATTTTTCATAGGTCAGCATCTGTTGTTTGCACAAGTCAGTAACATTTTTGACGATCTCTGCTTCTGTAATTGGGTCGTCAGGGATTGATAGTCTGGACTTGGCGATGGCTCGCGGGTCGCGAATGAGATGGACGACTTTGAGAGACATTGACTTAGAAATCGAGTCTAGCCAGGACCCGTTGCATATTCGAATCGTTTTCACAACCGTCATTTCTTTCTCCCTGCAGAGGTCGTCCGTCAGTTCCAAATTTAGAGGCCCACAACTCGAGCATTTCAATTCTCCACCGGGCATTGGCGGGCACAGCCGCGGATCGCAAAGACTAAGGGAGTTGAAACGAAAACATGCACCAGTCAAGAGGCAGAGCCTTGAGTTGTAAAGGTTTGGGTTGAAGTGTTGAATCTTTTGGGTGAGATTTCGCATGTTCGGCATGTCACATGACAGTATTCTCTCAAGATTTTCGATTTTCTCTTTCTACAAAAAATTAGAAAACATAAGCGGATTTTTTTACCTTGAAAGCAGGAGAATCAGACGAACAATCCCTCGAGTACGGAAAGAGCGGCTCAAAGTGGTAAAACACATCAGGATGTTGATTGAAAAGCTGTCCAAGAAAACTTGACCCGGAACGGTAGTACGTCAGCAGAACTGTCCCCTTCGTTTGCTTCCGTAATCCACTGCCGTGCTTTATCGCAAAGTCGTTATAGGATTTCTGCAGAGACGGGCTTTTCAAGAACATTGACGGGATATAGTCAAATACGTAAGGGACTTTCCCAGATCTTTGTTCTTCGTTGTAATTTGAAAGTAATTTTGAGTAATTTGGCTTCTGCGCTTCAGATTCTACCGGAGCGACAGGATTTTCTCCCTCCCACATGAAGAATTTTGCTTTCTTTGCGTCTGTGTATTCTCCATCAATCTTAATTTTTAGCCTCATGATATATAATCATGTTATGAACTTACTGTATTTGAATTTGGCAAGTAACGATGCGAAAGACTCTCTGAATAAGCTTTTGAAGAAACCATTTTCCATCCTGTCCAGAAACATAATGTGTACCAAATTAAATACTTGTATTTCTCTACTACTGTAAAGCTTTTGACGAAAAATCTTAACGAGCTTAAAAATAGCTCCATATTTTAATAAGTCGGACGGAGAAATATAATAGATGCAAAGATGCTCCTCCACCGCCCCGAGGCATCGGAGAACTGACGGAGCGTAAAATTCGTCAGTTGGTGGAGTTCAACGATCGCGATGGGAAACGCCTGTGCTACACCAACAGTAGTTTTCAGACAATGCAAAGTGCGCTCTTATGATCGCATGTGGTTTCGCCTCTCACATGGTGGCGTAAAATTTTATTGCCCTTCTCTGATGAGCTACTGCTACAGGCGAACATGACATTTACAGTATCTGGAAAAGGAGTTGGATCAACACAAATTGACTTTCCGAGCAAATAATCTGCTGATGGGCGCCTATCGCTCCCACTTGAATCTAAATCAAAAATGCAATACGACCTAAGAAGTCCGTCGAAAACCGAGAGAAACTATCAAAAATCTAAGGAGCAAGAAAAGAAACGAACCTTCATCGGTAAGAAAGATACAGTACAAATTTTAAAGTGTATCGACCTATGCAAATTTGCTCAGGGATTAACGCAATTTTGAAGAGTTCGCACGTAAAAATGTCAAGCTGAGCTTAGATATGACTTTTTTGATAAAAAAAACAGTTTCTCTTGAGTTTGAGCCATACAAGAAATGTCTATTTTTAAAGATAAGCAAAAGACTTTTTATAGACAAGACAAACGTGGGTGCCAGTTATCAAGAAAATAACTAGTTATAATTTTCTAAAAATATTTGTAAGCACATGTAAAAAACGATCGGTTACGACGGCAATTAGATGAGACGGTTTTCGGCAGCGGCGGTTTTCATGACGCACATAAAGGAACAGTATTGACTCTATCTTGAAAGTTGAGAGCAATTATTAGCTGATCTGTTAATTTGTAAATACTGCTTGGGAGCTAAACTAAGGCACCTTGGCAGTAGAAGCTTGATAGTCGGACAGGAAATGGTTTTTATCTGCCATCGTTGCCATAGCTTTTTTGACCTATCGAATTTCGAAAATTTGAAGTTTCTCAATCGAAAAAGATAACCCGTTCTAAAGAGCGTCAACTATCTTGAGTTGGAGCGACAACGCATCGATCATGAACGACGAAGTGCTTCCAACTTCCGCAGTCTGCCACAAAGGCGGCGGAAAAACTTGAAGTCAATTGAAGACATAAAGGAACAAATCCAAACGAAAGAAATGCGCCGCCTGCTGAGGAACTTCCGCGAGAAATTTGTTGGTATTAATCTGCAAATATCCGGTTATGTACTAACCTTCTTGATAAGAAAAGCCCCAACACAAATATCATTTACTTATTCCAACGGTGGCGCCGGTCATCCTTGACCCAGACGAATACGACGAAAGTCACGATCAAGACTCCGACAAAGCTATCATCGGTTTGACATGGCGGAAACACCCGTTGACTATTCTCGTATTTCAGAAAAGTTCAATTTGATCAAAAGACAGTTGCCAAAACTAGCTGACCAGGCGAAACTGAAAGAAGAAACGGCCGAACGAGAAAGACTACGTAGAAAAAGTAGAAATGCTGGATCAGGTAATGATTTAAATTAGCATTTTACAAATCAAAAAAACTTGAAGTGAAACTTCTTCGATATGTCCGATCTGACAAGCCACGTAAATATGAAATCGAACTTACAAACATGTTTGAAGATCAAAGCACTTCTTTAATGCCTGTTTCTATGAAATAAAATTTGTGAAGAAAAATAAAACCAATGTTCCGATCGATCCAAGGGCCCGAGAATCAGCTGGCCTTGCACCCGGCCTTTTCGAGAAAAAGCGCCATCTGCAGCTATGAATTAGCACCAGCTGTATCAAACCCACCGCGCGCTATAAATACCGAGCAATCTGACTTTTGAAATTCATAATTGAATTCGCCCCTAGGCATTACTAGAAAATAAAACCAGTACACTAATTGTACCTCTACTTGCGAATTATGCCAGCTACCGAGAAAATCAACTTTGAGCCAAAGAAGACCAGTGAGTCGAGAAAGCGGAAATCAGATGATATTTTCAACTTGCCAGCGAATAAGATAAAACCAGCTGAAGAGTCAAGCCCGTTAGGACTGGATACGCGACTCAAAGAACTCTTGAAAGAATCAAGCAGCAACTCTCCCCTCGATGGCCGCCCAAAAACCGCGGATCCTCCTGCAGCTTCTACTCAAGAACGAATGATCTACAAAGCCCTGTTCCAGCTCCACACGATTATCGGGCACCACGACGATGATGGAAGGCCAAACCCGATTCTTCGGAACGCAGAGGCGAAAGATTGGGAAACTGACAAGAAACTCAAGCGCTACAGCCGACAAGTACAGGAAGCAAAGAAACTTCTGCCATTTATTCGAGGACATCTGAAGAAACTCGAACGCAAACAATCTCCAAAGTAACTCTTCTGTGCACTTTTCTCCTTTTCTGTAAATTCAAATAAATTTTGAACTTGATTTTTTGTCTTTTATTAAAAAAGTGTTAGATACAAATTACAAATTAGTTATCCTTCAAAGTGACGGCGAATATTGTAGCTTCCATCTTTTCGATGTTTGTACAAGTTCACGAAAGGACCTTGAAAACAATTATTTTCTTTTATAATGTTTTACCGAAATACCCGAATTCTCGTCCATATTTCTTCCGGAAAATTTGCCACTGAATTTTGGAATCTTAATCCATGCGCTTTGAGGAGGCCTATTCAAAGATTCATAGTATTAATTTTGACGACTGGGTATTGTACCTTTGATTTGTACTCCAGTTATTAGACGAGTGAGGACGACTGTTTGTTGGCGTGTGACTTGGGCGACCGTATGGTCGGTTTTGAGAGGCATTCGGATGATTATGAGCGATATTGTTTACGCCTTGTTGCCAGCTAGCAGGGCCCGGAATATTGTTAATGGATGACCAGGAGGACGAAAATCTTGGTCGAGCACGCGCTAGCCCGGTTTCTAAGAAAATGATTTGGTAAATAAAAAAATTTAATTTTGATGAATTTCAATTTGTCTTACCCGAAGTTTCTTCCGATGAGAACGATGCTTTCTTAAACCCAGGGCAGGCCAAATTCAATTCATTACAGGACTGAGTAACAACTGCGTTAATCCTGTTCATTCTTTTCAGAAGTTTGTCTTTTTTCGCCGAAGTGCACTTGGCAAAGTACTCATCGATCACAGGGCCAAAGATCGCTCCAAATTGCTCGTTGACTTGAATGTTAGCCACTTGAGTCAAAAGCTCCGTGCTTTCATTAAATTTTTAAAAAGACTTTTTTTTCTCACATTTAATTTTTTCACATGCATTGAAATTCTTTTCCTGACTGGTTCGGTAATATCAACTGTGGTGCAATCGTTTGTTTCGATGCTTTTGATCAGCTCGGAAGTTCTAAATTTGACTCGATCGAGAATCTTCTTGATATTTGGGCTGTGAGGGATCTTGGTCATTGCCCACTCTAGCGACAGGTCTGCGTTTTGTAGCAAAAGACCCTTAATTGTCGGCTCATAGTCTTTGTCCGGGTTATCCAGCGAAACTGAAAGCTCAAGAATTATATTTAGACAGTCGGTTTCCCCTTCCTTGCGCTAACTTGGACCTTATCTGCAGGAGGCCACGTGATAACGCCGAGAAATCGACACAAGTGGGACAGTCGCAAGTGTTCGACTGAGAAGAACGGCATTGGCCATGAGCATGATTACAGCAACTGGACGAGTTACTGTCAGAGGAACAAATGGCAAAACCTGCTGATTTACCACATTTCAGGTCGTTGCGGACTTCTCCAATTTGTGATGAAACTTAAAAATAGATATTCAAGGCTCTCAGAATATTTCTTCGTAAGAACTGCTCTATCTACGTTTCCTGAAGCGAGAACGACTGACGTAAGAATCTTCATATTTACGATTCTCTTGTTTATTCCACTTTATCAGTGGAAAAAATTTATTAAATAGCAGACAACCAAAAACCGAAAACAAAAAAGAACCTCAAATGAATTGCCCGAAGTTTCTTGACATTTGATCAAATTCAGCAGCTCGTGTGCTTCCTTTAAACTTTCCTGATCAAAAACTGCGTCTCAGAAATAACAGAAGATCTTTTTTGTAAAAATATATTTCTTAGTTACAGTTTCGAGCATGTACAGTTCATTCATTTAAATAGGATTGACGAAGAGCTTGTTGTTCCGTATCACGACCTAAAATATTATTTTTTTTGTGGAAAGTATAATTTTCTGACGTTATGAACTGATGCTTTCGTAAGATTTCGTTTTCTGAACTTCTTTCTATCCAGAATTTCTTCATAGCTTCTTCCTATCTGAGGAATATTGTTTCGACTTAGTACGTTGCCATTGAAGCAGTTGTGATTCTTTACTTTTCCTCCGTAGAATTGAATGATTGCTAGAATTTTTTAAGAACGTTTATAAATGAAGCTGAACGTACGATATTTTTGAAGATTGAGGCCTTCAACAACAATGAGTTTTGAAAAACGATCTTCTAAATCTTCTGGGCTACGTTTTGAATGAAGCACAACAAAAGTATTGCCACGGTAGAAGTTCCAATATTCCAAATTCCAAGTCTAAATTAAACAATTATCGGAGACCGGAGCTCATTTTACAACCTGTATGTTGAATGAATTACTGCCCTGAAAATCCATTGAAATCGAGAAATCAAGAAGATTTGCAGGAACTTTTATTTCAACCGCGAATCCAAATTTGTCGTGCCTCATCCATGCGTCCACATATTGCGCTGATATCAACCCTTCTAAGGTTTTACAGGGCCCTGTTTCACGTTCATATATTGTCGAAAATCAAAAGTAGGAAAATTAATCGAGAACGAAACCTGAAGTCGTGCTTGCAGGGCCATTTGTTGGCGTGAAAGGATTCGCAGTGGGACGGAAAAATATAAATTTTCGGTTTTGACAAAACATCGTAAACGTAATATTTTCGAAAATCTAAAAGTGCAGTTATGTCAAGCTTGAACTGCCATTCAAGAATCTTGAAAAAAAATTTTGGTTTTTACGATTCTAGTGCCCAGGCGGCGAGATCTAAGAAAAAGTTACGAACTCGCCTAGGGACCAGGGGTACTTATTTTTTCGGATTTTTTTTGGGCTCAATTATTCTCTATGATCCGAGGATTGTCATGATTGCTTCAGATCGAAAATTACTCATCGCAATCCGAAGATATGATCAAAACAAATTTTTACTAGAAAAATGATAAAAGTCGCATTTTTACTAAATTTCAACGCTTTATGGATGGTAATACTAATTCAAATAAAGTTTTTTATCTGACTGAACGAAAATTCGACTTCCGGTTTTGATTATCTTTGATTCTAGAGCCAAGATTTCGATTTTTGATCGGAATTTTTGACAGATTTTAAATAAAATTCTTTTAAATGAGCATCTTATTTATAAAAATAATGATTTTTATCATAAATTTGAACAAGGATAATGATAGTCTTTACTGATTATCTGTAAATTCACCGTTTGTTTCCCGCCCGCGGCGAGCGCTCTCCTCCTAGAGCGCCCTCTTTTTGAAAGATTTAAGAAGTTGAGAGTCCTTTTGATTATTAAAACTCAAGAATAATTTTTCTTTTACGAAGACAATAAAACCCAGGGGTTTTTTTATCGACATTTTTGACGCTTTCAGTCAAAGTTCAAAATAACTTATTGGAGGGACTCTGGCTCAAAATGCTGAAAATGTCAATAAAGAAACCCCTGATAAAAATGGAAGATCGTGATAAACTATCCAGAGTAGAGATGAAAGAGAAAATAGTTGCGCTTCTTGTTTTCCTCAGCTTTATTGCTTTTGTCGTCTTCTTTTCAGGTAAAAATCAAAAAAAGAAATCTGCTCGCTTGGTGTCGCTAATTCGGACTTTCGTTTTCGGGGCAATTATCAAAAGTCATCAGTTGACAATTGATAAAAATCTTAGAGTTGAACTTGAAATGATGAAAATCTTTATTTTGTTTAGTTCTACCAGGAGATGAGCCAACCACGACAACAACGACCACCACGACAACAACGACCACTACTACGACAACGACCACTACTACGACAACGACTTCTTCGACGGCACTTTCGACAACATCAACGATTTTTATTTGTGGAATGCGCTATCACCGTCGTTTTCATTACCGATTTGCTGATAGATATTGTTAAATAAATATATATATATATCTATCTTTTGCCGAGTTTTGTTAGAATTGTTTTAGAAAAGTCACCCCAGCAGGAAATCACAGCATGTCGCGTTTTAAAAAGCGGAGTTGATTAAGGGGCCAGCCACGATAATGATCAGATGATCAGTAGCAACTTGTGCTTGGTGCATCTTGATTGCACGTTCGTCTTTTAACAGTTACTGTGGGAAGCCACGTGATGGAATTCTAATTAAGTCGAAATTGGGAAGTCACAAAGAGTCGCTTTAAAAACGTCGCAACTTTTCGCAGGAAAATCGGTTTAACTTGAGTTTGGCAAGGCGGAATTACGATAAAGAGTTCTTCTAGATTATGAAAGATCGGCCAACTCGCACAAGGCTGGCAAAGAGATCGCCCATTCCTAGGGAAACTCGATGAAAAATGAGCTTTTTTCTGGGCTTAGTAGAGAGGGAGTATAATACAGATTTAGAAAGCCCAGAAGCTGAGGATCATTTTTCATCGAGTTTCCCTACCCATTCCCATGTCTTGAGCACGATTTTGTAATTTTCTCTTTTATATATACTGAATTTAAATCGGATAGATGCAGGTTTGGGAATCAGTTACAGAAAAAATGCAGACAATCATCATTTCACAATTTTACAAAATTGAAAGTTGAGTCGCAGCGGCGCTAACGCACGAAGGAACCAGATTTCCTATCATCATTTCTGGGATAAAGAAAGTACTTTAGTCGCTAGAAAAGAGGATTAAAACGTACTTGGCTCTGTTTAAAACAGCTCTGACGCTCCCAACAGAGAACTTCGACGTGCCGTCATCCATTTTTGGAATTTTCGATTTAACGGGCTCTTTTTGGCCGAGTTTTTCAAGCCGCTTGTCACCAGGGCTTCCAGCTTTTTTACCAGGCATTTTTTCAGGGGAGGACTTTTCTGTCATCGTTTTCGCTGTCTTTTTGGGGGATTTTTTCAGCGGCTGATCTTGATCTTCAACGGCGCTTTTGTTCGGCGTTTTCGCCTTCCAGAAGTCGGTGATTTTTCCCTGGCTTTTTGGCGACTCTTTTACAGGGCCATTTTTGGCCATCGGAAAGGTTTGAGCGTCAGTTTGGAAGTTTGTGGCATGTTTTGGATACATTTGGTAAGTAAACTTTTCCAGGTTAATAAAAATAGGCTTCACGGTAGCTACTAGCGCTGAGTGCGTAAAAACAAGCGGCAGTGAAGAACTGGTGCATCTATTTTTGTGTTTCTGCTTGTGTTTTTGCTCGTTTTTGGCTCTCGGCAAGGTTCATGCTCTTTTTGGCGAGCTCTGGGGCTTTTGGCGAGTTGAGTGAATATTCTTTGAACGGAGGTCGAATAATATCGCCCTGGGACGGAACTTCTTGCCTTCTAGCGAGCTCGAGGGTCGCTTTCTGGCCGTTTTCAAAGCTCAGCTGGACGTTCGTCCGCGATGGGTCGCAGAGCATCTCCGCCAGACCCTTGGCTGTCTTTTGCTCGTCGGACAGCGTCTCTTCTTCATTTTTATTTAAGAAGCGGCGTTTCGACAAATTACTCTTACTTGGCGAGGATTCTGAGGTGGAACTCGGTGAACAGCTTCGCGAATTTTTCCATCTTCTCTTATGGCGGCATAAATATCGTTCGAAAGTGCCAGCTTCCGGCCTGAAAAGAGGGGTTAAAAATTATAAAAAAGGGTCAAATCATAGTCAAATTTCAAAAGGGCTCGCTTGGCTCGAAAACCTGTGTGGAAACCTGACTCAGGGTTTGAAAGAGCTGTTTGGCTCTTTATTAAAGCTTTTTCTAATCCTGACTAAGGTTTGCTACCGCAAAACGGTGTCCCATAGACAGAAAACTAACAGGTAGGGACCCTGACTCAGGGTTAGAGCAAGTACACCTGTTTCCTGTCTATTTCTTATCTTCTAGGGCCAGTTGATTTATTTTTATCGGAAACCAGAGCCCGAAACGACACAAATACCAGTCTGCTCAAGCAAAAGCGTACAGGCTTGAATTAGTAAGATCAAAAGAGTGCATTCCCTCGACGATTCCCTGCTGAATCTTTTTTGCTTCGATCTCGAGTGACTTTTTAAACTTCGTTCACTCTTCTTCGAGAGCTGCATCTTTCTTATCGTACTCTTTTGCCTGTTTAACTTCTTCGTTAGTCCAATCAGACTCCCTTTTTATCTGGATCATCCATGAATGCAGGTTTTGGGACATCGATTTTGAGGACATCTTCTGATTTCACTTCCAACACGCCATCCATTATTTCAATCATTTCGCGCGCGTTATCACATTTACTGGCTTTTCTTGCTTCTTCTAAGCGTCTTCTTCCAAAAGCGCTTGCTGTTCTTCAATGAGTACTTGCTCGACCTCGACTTCTTCATCTTCGACATCAGAGACGAGCTCAGTTTTCTCGCTATCGTCAAACTGCGGCTGAAGAAGCTCAAACTCGACGCCAGGGCTTCTTTTTCTGTCTTTGCGTTTTCATAAAACCCAGAGAATTCTTGAGTTGTTGGCCGGATCTCAAAATTCTTGACAGCGATCGGCACGTAAAATGCTTTGAGACATCGCCAGCTTCCATATTCTTCCAGCAATTATCACTGATCGAGTCAAATAACTTTCCGTAATCTTCGATTTTGCCGGAGATTTCTTTTCGCAACGATTCGATATCAGAGATTTCTTTCATCGCCATTTCTTCAACCAGTTCTTTATCCAAGTTAAGAGAGTTGGGAAAGGGATGATTGAAAATCTTGGCGACTTGTGTTGCGGAATAAAGCAGGTGTTCTTGATAAAAATCTACCTTTCAAAGGTACAATTTTACTGACAAAATGATTTCAATCTGATGCATATCTGTCAGTTGTTTACTGGTAAATTTAACTTCGAATTCGTTCAATTTATCATAAAAATGAAAAATCAGGGCAAAAAAGAGCAAGAGCGACAAGAGAGAGAGAAGGAACTTAGAGAGCTTTACGGTGTTAGAAAGACGAGAGGGATTCCCCATCATCTTTTACAAAGATTACATAATTTAAAAATTGATAAGAAGTATTTTAGTTTATACTATCTTTCGGAAAATTTTCCCAATTTCATTTCATCCGTTAAACGGATAAATATTCAACCTAGATTTAAAACAAAATTAATATTAATTGCACGTGATGTATGTAATAAACACCTCTCTGAGATTAACAAAGCTGACTCTCTTATGGAACAACCGGTTCTTTTGCCCGATTTTCGAATCAAAAGAGAGTTCCAAGCGCCTTTTCAAGCTGCCAAATTCGAAAAAAACTCACGACGAAACTTTCAAATGGAACAGAACTTTAATGACGATAGATTCAAACTTGACAAAGAAACACCGGAATCAATTCAAAGGTAAAAATATTGATGGTTTATTAAGGAACTCGCCCCCTTCATAAGATTTAGGGGGTGAAATGAAAAAAAAATGAAAAGAAAATGACCATTTTTGGTGCATTTTCGCGATAATGCCCCTACTATGATGGGATTTTTGACCGATTTTTTTTGGCCAAAATTTTTTCTAGTTTTCGCCGCCTGATTTTGTCAACCCTTTTCTATCCACCATTAGACTCAGATTTTCGTTTTTTATAAAAAAAATGAATTTAAAGAGGGGTATACCCTTAAATTTTATTAAAAAAGAGCGAAATAAAGTTTTTCATGAATAAAAATATGCAAATTTTCAATTTTTGATGTCAATTTTTGTCAAAATATTCTATTGAACCAAAAAAATTGTCAGTGCAAATAAAGTGTGAAATACAAGCATCGTACATCCAAGTTCTTGAATATACAACTTTCTACGCGTTAATGCACATAATTATTATCCTTTTATTGACCAAAATTTTTGAGGGACTTGACATCTTTTTCAGGCAGAAATTAATGATCAACGAACATAAATTGAATATATTTGATAATTTTTTTAGTTAAATGTTTGAACTTGCTATTGGAGACTGGGTTCGGCAACCTGTGTAAAAATCTGAGTCCGGGTTTGTAAAACTACCATTCTTGCTTATTTTTGAATTCTGGCGAAACCGCTTTGCGGCTTTGTTTTTGAAAAAGCCGACACGCGGCTTTTATGGATATTGTTTCAGAACTCTGAGTCAGGTTACTTAATGTCAGTCCCCCCAAAGAAACAGTACAAGCGTACAATAAGCTACTGTAGATACTATCGGAAAAGCGCGGGCGACGCACACTTTGGCAGTTCGTAAGAGAGCTCAAAAAATGTCAGCCACTGTAAAATCTTTATAAATTCACTTCAAATTGCTTCAAGAGTCCTTTAATTCTTGTCAATAGTTAACAGCTTCAGAAGTTCAACACAAAGAGCTTTGTTCTTGTTTTGGCTTTGCTGCATTTCGACGGCGTTTTTGCGCTGGATGAAGGCGCTCAAGACATATTTTTGCACTGATCATCTTAAGCTTAGAAAATCCGCCTGAATCAATCGGTGAAACAACAGATTTCAAATAGCGCAATTCAAGAAAAAATATTCTGTTTGACAAAAAGGCTTTTGTACTTCCCTCTCTTTTTATTTCCTATTTCAGTCCTTATGGGGACATTCAAACGAATCGCAACCAAAACCGCTACTCTGCGCCGTCGCTAAACAACCCCCGCGCACGCTACTCGACCGAGTATGACCACCGCTTCTCGACCGAGATCCCAGTGAACGCAGCCCACCCGCAAAATGACTCGGCCTATAAGTTGGAACGTATCCGCCAGAACATCGGCGGCTCAAATGGAGCGGCTCTCAACCGTTATTCTCAAGGATCAACAGATGCTCTTTGCTCGCCAAAAACGGACAAGGAGAAGGAAAATGCGAAAAATGTTGTGACTCGAGCTGTTTCGCAAAAAATGCCCAGGTAAATAAGTTTGATTTTTAAAAATTTGACACTTCAAGATTAATTCAAGACAATTTTTAAAAAAAAATCGAAAAATGCTAACGTTTTGAACACAGTTTTTTGGATGAGAATTATAATCTGAAGAGAAAAAATTCAGATTCGAAAAATCGAAAAATCGTTGGGGAGCCCCTTAAGGACCCCTCCGTCATGTGAAAACAACTTTTTCAAACAGTAATTTTGGAGTGACCCCCTTAAGATTTTCGAAAAATTTTGGTCCTATAGTATAGCCCGATAGTTGGTCTAGGGCACCAGAAGTACAGGCACCCTCGTCCACTTCTTAAGGGTGTCTTGAGAGTAGGTTAAAGTTTCAAACATCGATTTTTCTGGGAGAACCTTAAGTTATAAAATTTTTTTAAAAAGAAAAATAAAGCTTGGGTCAACCTTGAGGGCACCACGCTGTTATTTTTGAAATTCATAGAAAGTTTCACTTGAAAAATAATAATTTATGTTAATTTATTAATAAAAATATGCTTTCCAATAATGAAATTAGCAAAAATCCGTGATTTACACATTTTCCGTGAAAATGTTACTCGCGCCTAGTACGCTCTCAGCGCATCACCATTACGATTTTCAAAACTTTAACTCAAATTTTCAGGGTGTTAGAGTGGAGATAGAGCGACAAAAAATGAAGCGAAAAAATAGTTTTTCGGCATGAGGAACTCGAATCCGAGGTCAAAATTTCAAAATTCGTTATTTCCAAATCTTGACGGGGGGGTCCGTAAAATGTGAAAATTGCCCTGTTCTGACGGGTTTTTAGACTGACTTTATGTGGCCAATTTTTTTTCATTCTCGCCGTCTCATTTCTTAGACCTAGAGTCGCAATTTTTTCTCTATTTTGCTGAGCTAAACTGAGCTGCGCGGAAAATTCTCTGAGCTGAGCTGAGCTGAGCTGCCTTTCGCAGAGATCATTGAGCAGAGCTTAGCTAGTAGACTATTTAAAATCAGTGAGCTGAGCTGAGCAGAGCTGATCATATTCTAAAATAATTGTGCTGAGCTGAGCTAAGGAGAACTGATCATATTCAAAAATAATTGTGCTGAGCTGAGCTGAGCTGAGCTGAGCCGAGTGATAATTGTGTAAGTTGCGCTAGGCAGGTCACATCATTTTTTAAAATCACTGAGCTAAGCTGAGTTGAGCCACTGCTAGAAATTTTTTGAATTGGCTGAGCGGCCATTCTGGTTTTTTTTTGCTGCGGCCCTGGCTTAATCTAAAAAAAATTTAAAATAATATCTAAGTGATCCCTTTCCGAAATTCACCGATGAGATGAGTCAATTTGTCAAATCCTCATTGGCGGGAAAGAATGCAAATGACATCGTTTCGGAGATACCGCAAATGTTTGTCACCAAATCCGACATGGAGACCTTAAATGAATCCACTTGGATTGATGGAGAGGTAATTGCCAAAAATAAGCAACTAAGAATATGTTTCACTTCCCTTTAGGTGATCAATTTTTACTTAAAATTGATCGAGATGCGATCCCAAACACTTTCAACGATGCCTCGGATCAAATCGTTGAGTAGCTTCTTCTACACCAAGCTTAAAGAACACGGACCCAACTCTGTGAAGCGATGGACGAAAAAATTCAACATTTTTCAATCCGATTTAGTCTTCTTTCCGATAAATATGATTGTTCCCACTCCAAGTGAGCCTTTTCCTAAGAAACCAAATCATTGGACTCTTGCTTATGCAGATATGAGAAGAAAAAGACTTTGCTACCTTGATTCATTAGGGGCATACAATACTGAGTGCGTAACGACTCTTTTTGAATACTTAAAGGTATTTTTATTGAACTTTATGTTTTGATCGAATTCCTTTATAAAGGCCGAGCATCTGCTAAAACAAGAAAAACCTCTCAGTCAGGACTGGAAGATAGAATCAATCGCCGAAAACATCCCTCGACAGATGAATAATTTCGGTTTGTTTATGCAAAATTTCATAAATTTAAATATATTCAAGATTGTGGAATTTTCGCTATGACATTCGCAGAATACCTTTCGCGCGATGCTGTCTTCGCCTTTACCCAAAAGCACGCGTCAACCTTGAGAAAATTGATAGCGTATCAAATTCTTCAAAAAAAACTTCTGCTTTAATTCTCTTGTTCCTTTGAATTTTTAATAACTTCTCATTACAATAAAAAGACTAAGGACATTCACCTCATCGATCTATTGATTAAATATTTATTCAAAATATGCAGTTTTTTCATATTTCTTATTGATCCATGATTTGAGATGCATTTGCCGCAGATTTAAAATGTCAGCAGGAGTAAATTTATATGGCGATTTCATGAAATTGAAATTTTTAGTGGACAGAATTTCAGTATTTAAAATACAATGAGGTCCACAGTCATCAGCATTCTGGGGCATCGTCTCTGGAATGAAGATGTCAAAATTATCTCCCCATAAATGACTGTATATTTTGGTGACAACTTCGCCAACTGAAGAAAATTGTTTTATTTTTTCATAATAATAATTACTTACCATAATTCCAATAATCATCTTTATAAGCATTCTCGTGATCATAAAGAATAATTTTTTTCTCGTCTTTTAACAAACCAACGACGACATAATGTCCCTTACGTCTCCCAATTCCAATAAAAGATTTTGCCCTGAAGGACTGATCATTCAGCAGAAAGGTGAAGACGATTCGATTGATGCTTTCTATGTCGCAGTCATAGAAATGTAACAATTTCGGCAGGAAATTATTAATGTCATTCTTTGCTTCTTCAAGAATTGCAGAAGTTTTGTTTGGATCGACAACGAGACAATTTTGAGGAATTTCGGTTTGCATTAAATTAATTATATGCGCCAAAAGGTCCAAATGATACGGTTTATTCGCTTTGAAGGCATTTCGACGATCATTGATTTCTTTCTTGTAATCTGAACTCTTTTCTTTTGTCATTTCTTTTATCGCTTCTTTCAACATTCCATTATCGATATTTGTTTCGGGTAAAGAGAGTTTTGGAGAAATTCGTAATATGTCTTCTTCTCCTTTCTTCGGATCGATGATTTTTGGAAGGGGTTGTATAATCTTTTTTGCAATTATTTCATCGTCATCAATTGTTATTTCGACGCTATCATCATTGGCTGAAATCGTCGAACTCTTCCAAACCTGACTATCACGTTGAGTTTGCACTTTGCTCTGGCTTTGGCTTTGACTCCTGTTTTGAGAAGAATTCTTTTTCTTCTTTTCTCTTTCCCGAGGTTCAGCGTGTCTCACAGATCGCTCAAGTACCTCACGAGTCGTTGTTTCGCAATGATAAAAGTCACCAGAAGCGCAGGGAATACAGTTTGCAGGGCAAATCGTATTTGTAAAAAGAATTTTTGATCGATCCTCCGAATAACAAGCCATCCGCACTCTTCGGCAGTGAAAAGGCGAAGGAAACACTTCTCTGCGCTCCAATCCCTCGTAGTCATCCAGATTTACGAAAATGCGCTCGAAGTATCTTTCGTACGGTCTTTCAGCTCTTAATCGATCCTCTTCAATTTTCAGTTTCTCAATTAACTCCGGTACATCTAATCCTTCATCAATGCAATTGTACTTGTCAGCTACACTTGGAATAAAACCATGATAACCATCAATAAGAGACTTGAAGCGAATAAGCATTTGCAATTATTTTTTTTTGAAATTCTTGATTCAAAATAAAATCAGCATAAATTGCTTATCCTAGCTTGCCATGACTCGGACATTTAAACCGTAAGCACGTAGGACGAAGACTTTCCAAGATTGAAAGGCTGAAGCGATTCTTAAGGGGGAGGTCGACGAGAATCGGGATTTCTGTCTCAGAAATGCGGAAAAACCCAAAAAATTTCAATAAACGGTCAAAGTTGGGGTATCTCGTAACCGAAAAATCTCGAAAACCAAACGTTATTTTTTCTCGTCGACCCTTTCCTTAAATTCGCCACCAGAATTATCGCTGACAGCAAGAATTTTTCGACCAGTAAGGTCAACACCCCGGCTAGCCGCTCTCTCGAATGCTTGGTCTTCAAGAATCTTGATGCTTGATATATCTTTCTCATAGGATAGCCCGTGGAAGACGTATCTAAACCATTCTTCTTCATCAAAATCGTAGGCAGAAAAAACGTAAGTCAGGCTAGCAACTGTTTGACTATTCTAAAAAAATATATATAAGGATTCGATATCGAAATTTAAATCCTTACCAGAAACTGTCCTTGGGTTCTTCTTGATGGCAGTATACCAAAACTTTTTCCATAATCGAACTATTGCATATTTAACTAAATAAATCAAAATGTAAGCAAACCTCAACATAAATTTGATTTCGATCGAGCTCGACTTCACCGGCGTTACATTTGATGCGTTTTTCGTGCGACAGTTTTCTGTCGAAATGATGAGCATGCATTTTTTTAAGGCTCTGAGAACAAAATTCAACAGCTTCTTCGTAAGTCATAACAGCGGTTTCGGAACCTTGAGGTACCCAAATGATTTCCTTGCTGTCTTGAACCTTAAGACATGTCAATTATTATTTAGTTCTGCTTATTTTCTACCTTAAAGTGGGGTATTCGATAATGTTTCGATCCCTTTTTATTTGATAAAAGATCCTTTATAATGTCTTCGACAGCGCTCGCGTCGCAAACGTGATTGCATCGTTCACAAGATTTATCGTACTTCAGGTGACGGAAGCATTCTTTAAATGGTGTCAATAAATGAATCAAAAAAAAACTTACGATTATGTTTTTTAATATCTGCGCAGTGGAAATTGTCGAAAATTGAAGCACCACAAACAGTTTTCTTGAAAAAATTCTCCAGTGTCACCCATTCATATGATTTTCTTTCTTCCTCTAACAAACATTCTCGTCGAACTTTGTTAATAAAGTTAATCGCAGATTCGCCATTCGTACAGTTCTCGCATTGACATTGAAGACCCCAGTAATTATCACTGTTCCTCACAACAACGTTTTTTGGACGAAATTTATTCAGAAGATGTTCCGAAACAAAGTATCCCAACTTCACACGTGCAAGCGCATAAACTTCATGCGTTGTCGTCGACAAAATAAATTTTTGCACCTTAACAATCTCTTCGTCGCCTTTCTTGAACTTCTTCGTTTCGTAAAAAGCACCAATTTCATTATAAATTTGAAGCCAAAAATCCTCGACTTTTGATTTTCTCAAGTTCATCGTTGAGCGATTTTTCGAAACGATAGGACATGAATTCTCCAACCACGTTTTCGCTATTTTTCTTTTTTCGTCAACAGTCAGTAACTCACTTCGGTTTTTTCGGACAGATTGATGAGCCAAAATTTTCGGTCGATCGCTAATTGCGGTGAGTGTTGAATGTTTACTAACATTTATTTTGCTCAAAGATTTGACAATGTATGGGATAGAAGATTCATCAGGATTCGTTGGAACAAGAGCAGCAAGAAAAGATCTCTTTGCATCTGATGATATTTCTCCAAATCGATTTACGAAATCCTTGCATAAACGAATGTCAAGTAGTCCCAGCGAGAAGAACACAGATGAAATCGTCGTCTCATCTAGAGACTTGAGTATTTCTTCGATTCTTGTTGCCGCTAGCTTGATAGTCTTCTCTGAAGATGGATTTTGTCGTAGAATTTTCCGATTGATGAATTTTTCTTCTTCACTTATTTCTTTATTAAGTTTAGTTTCTTCATATCGTCGTTTTCTGTCTTCTTTTGAATATTTTTTTTTCGGATCATCGAGATTGACATCATTTTCGAATATCTCCAAAATCTCGTCCATTGTTTTGTCGGATTTGCGATCTTTACGAAAGTTAAGCGTGCAAAGCTTTGCGTGAGATGGAAAAACGGATGCAGGAATACTCATAAGACAGCATCTGCATTTTATTCCATTGCATTCTTCTTTATGATTTTTGTAAAATTCTGTCTTTGCGATGTTTTGTAAGCAAAAGACACATTGTATTCGTTTATTTCGCTGACTGAGTCGACCTTATAAAAGATTAAATATCAATGGAAAATATGATTTATCGTACCAGGTTGAGGCATTTTTTTTGGCACAGTTAACTCCTGAGGTGAATCATAATAACGTCTGTATCTGCACTTTCCATAAAGATGTTCATTGTATTCGTCAGGAAATGGAAAAACAATGCCGCAACTAACACATTTGGTTCCTTTAAAAATATATTATTTTTTTTAGTTAACATGTCATTACCAGTGCACGTATTTTCATGATCATCAATAGAGCATTTTTTGAAGAAATTTGCGCATTTTGAACACTGTTTAAATTCGGAAAATTCTAAATTTTTTTCATGACTGTGTTTGACAAAAAATTACCTGTCATGTCTTTCATAATAACGAGAGGACCAACAATTAATCTTGCTGGATCATTTTTTCCTTGGACATGAGTCATTAGAACAAAGGACGTTAAGAAGATCGCTACAAGAGTTCCAATAAGAACATAAAACAAGATCATTCTTAAACAAGAAAGTTTATAATCGAACGTCATATTTATTTCATTATATATTTGTCATACAGAAATTCGGCGAAAAATATGAAAAAGACAAAGCAAACGTATTTGTAATTTTTCTTAGCAAACTTTAAGAGATAGGCAAAGAAAATAATTTGAAAGAGTCTTGGACTTATAAGCAGATGATAAAGGTGGCGCTGAAGACCAATCATCGTCATTTCGAAGCCATTAAGTTCGATCTCGCCGATTGGAGCAGCATAACTATAAAAGTGACGTTGAAAGAACAAATGTGTTATCTACCTGACGGTGAACAAACAAGTCAAAATCATGTCTTTGTTTCTGAGGACCAATCTTAATTTTTATAATATAATTTCAATTCATATCAATACTTTTATTCTCTATAATTTTGTAATACAAATTGAAAAATGAACAAGAACGAGAAGATAATCATGACAACAATCAGAAAGAGCTTAATGTCACTTTTTAAAATGTCGAAAAAAGATATAACAGAATTAATAGGACTTTTTCGTGAACTTGACATGAAAGTATCAATCTTTTCGTAAGTTAACGAAGAAAGATTGAGACCATTTGCGAAAAGCGTCAAGGCACTATGGGACCAAGAATAAGTCTCTTGGGTCAAAGAAGAGAACTGATACAAATCATTCAAGCTATCGGGAGTCAAAGTAATTGATGCAATTTTTTGGAATAATAAAGGTTCTTGATTTAATTTCGGCTGTGTAGGTTCGGAATTTGCGGTTCAAACAGATGATTCCAGCTTAAATAATGTCAATATTTTTCAAAAGCTCTATTTTTACCTTGGCTTCTTATTTTTTCAATGCCTTCTTCCTTTTTTATAACAGCAAAAGATTGCTTTCCCGATTCTATACAGACTCGATTCGTGTGGTAGTGTGTGCGACCGAATTCAAAAGGTGATTGAGAGATTCGCATGTACTGAAACATCCCGAATCCTGGTTTTGAAGAAGCCAATGGACAGAGATAAGCCTCTCCGATTCCCTGTTGACAACTAGGAGCATTTTAATTAAATTTCAAAATTTCTCATACAACTTGTTTCTCGGGAAAGATCTGAAACTATTTTCATTATTTGAATATTCGCGAACGATGATGACGTCGTTCAAATCAGGAACTTCGTACGAATCGAAATTTATACGTCCTCTTGATTCAACTTTGACTTCATGGTATCGTCTTATAACAGATGGCATTTTTACTTCCACTAAACAAAATAATAGAAAATCTTGAATAGTCTTTCAGATTACTTGTTACTCGTAGTCCAATAAAGGTCTGATTGTCTTTGTAGAGACTTACATGCGGCTCATCGATTGCGTATAAATAATTTCCGACTTTAATATAATTAATGAAGATAAGGTTACTCAAGCTTACCAATAAGTTCGCATGAATTTTCTATCTCTAACTGAGCCGCGACAGTCGTATTTTGATTTTGGCTACCTCGACAGAGCGCCTTCAAATAACCTTGCGAGTGATAGTCTAAAAAAGATAAATTGAACGAAGCTATTGGTTAAAAATACCTATATCAGCGCATGGCTGACTTTTTGTCAAGATACATCTCACAAAGTTTGAAAGTTTTTTGTAGCGTTGACGATGATCCTCAAGGGCATCCATCAGCTCAATGGAATTACTTCTTGCCTGAAGTAATAGAGACTCGTCGTTTTTCAATGCTTCTGCCCGTATTTTTCCAACAGCTAAAGCGATGCTCTTTTCATTTCCCTCAATTTCCGTTAGAGCAGAACTTATTCGGCGCTCGAGATCATCGGTCTGTTTATGCGCTACAATATGATTATTTGATGCTTAATCTTAAAAATTACCTCGATAAGAACCAAAGTATGGCAAACTATAGCTGAGCTCATCGATAGACTTGCGAAAATCGAATGAGCGTCTTCCCTTTCCTCCAGACTCATCGTCTATGTCATCAGACATGTCGTGACTCATGTAATCGAAAATCGACGATGATTTAATCGAATCTTTAAGGGTATCCAAGAAAGACGAAGCCAATCGTAATTCAAGAAGCTTTTCTTCTCTACAAAAACGAATTCTCCATCCATTATTCTTTCATTGAAGGTTTTGGATCCCTCAGCGCGCTGATGTTTATTAAGCTTGAAGTTTTTCGAAGTGAAAAAGTCTTTCTTTTTCATCAGAAGAGAAACTAACGATAAAGTTTCTCATCATTAACTGTCGAAGCAAATTGTCTTCTCTGTCCAGTGAAGAACGAAAAACGATGAACCTTTGAAAAGATGCAATAAGAATGTCGATACAAGTATCTTTTATTGGCTCGCTCGTTTGTCGAGATCTTTATAGGAGGCTCAAAATTATTCAATTTCAATACAGTAAATAATCAATCTAGCTTCCGCTCCTTAAAGATAATTGAAAAAGTTGGCGCCGAGTGCAGCCGTCTGACGATATTATTTGACTCGTGATCGAATTTAAGTATTTTCGCAACTCAGGATTCATTAGCTCGATATCTTCTGCAGTTTCGCTTTCAACATTCAGGTTGAAAAAGTTTCAACAATCAAATAGATGTTTCGAGAGAGCAAATGAGCTTCAACAAAGTGACAATTTGTGTTTATGGCTATATTAAAAATAAAATTATGTCACCGATCCTAGAAATATGCCACAAGAAAGATCGGCTGGATTTTTCTCATTGTTCACCGAATCCGAAAACTCAATATTCATTGGTGATGGCGCAGGATATTTCATCTCCAGTGTGTACGATATCATTTTTTGTTGACTTATGACCAAATTATTTGAATCATGTATCCTTAAATGTGGTATAAGCTTGGTAAATCATAAAGACAACTTCTATTATCTTTGACATTTATTCAAAGAATCATCAACTTTAAAATTTTGGATCACGGTGACTAACTCATGATATCCAACATGTAAATCGAGCGTGGTGTTGACTGAAATTTTGAATAAATTAATTATATAATTATTTTTCAACTCAAGAGAACGCATTATACTCATATGAGATCCACTTTAAGCCGAGAGGTATAATTTTAATTGCCTATTAATTTCTAGGATGGCCAATTTCTTTCAAAAATTGAATGAAGATCTATTTTTTAATGATTTGAAAGTTATTCGTAGTATCAATTTATTAAAGATCATGGTGACTAACTTATGATGACCAAAATGTCAAATATATATATTTTAAATTTACAATAATTCAAATAAACAAACAAAATAATCAACTATAATTGGAATTGATGATGCTTTTATTGCTTTCTTTTGTCATTTATTAAGAGGATTATTAAAATATTAATTTTGGATCACGGTGACTAGCTCATGAATACCAAAATATCTAAAGAGCTAAGAGGCTTGAAATGTCATCTGAATAAAGAGACAAAAAGAAAAGCTTCAATTAAGTTTATGTAGCGCTATTCAAATTTTTGACTCTGATTAAGAATAACTGTATGTAAAATAAGATCCATCTTCGAAATTAATTTGCAAAACACAAAATAGAAAAATTAAATTGCTCAACTTGGATATTTATAACATATTCTGGATTTTTTTGCTTCATTTTCTGTTACTTTTGACACTCCATATATTCAATTCAGTAGTGTCAAGTATGGCGCCAGCTGAGTGCCTTTCTGGTCTGTTTCAGTCTGCCCTCCTCTTTGACTACAAAATCAATAAAATGGATGCCAAAAATATTAAGGTATTTCTGTTACTTATTCAGAGCAAGTGCGTCATCGGCTCTTCCATTCTGGGTCACGGTGACTAACTCATGAGCGCCAGAAGTAGTTTTCCGAATCTATCAGCTTGACTGATCCCCCAAATAAAATTAATGTTAACGTACGTCGTTAAAAAATTGTCTTCAACGTTGAATGACAATTTTCTATGGTCGACTTCCTCTTGTTCAGCAGACCGACGTTCTCTAGTTGCTGTCGCATTCTCAGTTGACGTCTCTGTACCAAAAAACCATTTAAACGTTTCAGTTATTTCTTTTTTGTTGTCTTTTAAGCAGTCATTTACAAAATTGGCCACTATAAAAGCGAGAACAAACTGAAGAAAAACTGAAAGTTTCATGTTGTTGTTGAAATTACTGGTCCACAACTTGATTAAATATGCCTTGAACAACTGATAAAAGCAGCTGATAGTAGTACGGCACGATCCCGAAGACTTTTATTTTCTCACCTCCAATCCTCTGAAGAAGTCGGCACAGCAAGACATCGCGCGACTTAGTTTCCATTTTAACACCTCTTTATCTTCATGCATGCAAGAAGAGAATGAGTTTTGATTGAGTTTTTAGGCAATTGGCATAAGTTTATCAGAAAGGAAACATATTTTATATTGGTCTTCCAGTTGTTTGTTGTCCAGCAAGAGGGTCCTCCAAGAGGCCCTCCGGCATTGTATGGCCTAAGTCGACCCAAATTGGCAATTAAGGGCTTACCACGGCTATTTATATTATTTTTCTAATTTTGGTCTTCAAGCAGTTCTTCTTCCAGCAAAAGTGTCTTCCGGGACATCTTCCAGCAGAAAGTGACTAAAGATATCCGAAAATGGCAATAGATGGCCCTTCAGGGCTTTTTGTTGATTTTCAGAATATTGATCTTCCAGCAGTTAGTTTTCAACCAGGGTGGTCCTCGAGGAAGTCCTCCGGCCAAACTCGACCGAATTCGGCATAAAGTGGACATATAACGGCCGAGCATGGCCATATATTCAATATAATTTGCATTGGTTTTATAATTTAATAGATTATATGAGAAAATAATAAATTGCGCAATATTTCAGGATTGCGATGAGTAATTTTCGATCTGAAGCAATCATGACAATCCTCGGATCATAGAGAATAATTGAGCCCAAAAAAAATCCGAAAAAATAAGTACCCCTGGTCCCTAGGCGAGTTCGTAACTTTTTCTTAGATCTCGCCGCCTGGGCACTAGAATCGTAAAAACCAAAATTTTTTCAAGATTCTTGAATGGCAGTTCAAGCTTGACATAACTGCACTTTTAGATTTTCGAAAATATTACGTTTACGATGTTTTGTCAAAACCGAAAATTTATATTTTTCCGTCCCAGTAGAAATAGGCGGCCTAAAAGTTGTCTCTGGATCAGTTGGCAAGTCTCCATCGCAGCTATTTGAACAACATGTGCATTCGGCTTTTGGCTTGAGCTCTCCATTATCGCAATTGAAGGTGCCCCTGTATTTGCTCCCAAGCAGAAGCCCTGATGGCAATTTACCAGAAACAAATCGGCAAATTGCGTTACAAATCCATTCGGAACATCGAGGCATTGATTCAGTTGTCTTTGTTTCTCTTGTTTTCGTTTGAGCCGCTTTTCTTTCTTCGGGTTCAGTTTATCATCTGGATAGAATAGTCTCTTGAGTTCGAAATTAAAACCGCCGAAAATCTCGCCAAAGAACAAAAAATATTTGAAAAGAAGCATTTCCTTTCTAAGTTTTCTGGGCGATAAAGTGTTGAACTGGCTGAGTACAGCATCGTACCTTATCAGAAGAGCACCACTTGAGGGCGTCACGGTCAACTGCGGCCACTAGACGAAATTTTGAGACATGAAATTCAGTGAAACTAAATTCTAGCTTGTCTTGCCTTTGAATGCGAGGCTTTAATTGCTGAACATTTACAGAACTCCATGTTAAATGAACTCTTCGAGAATGTTTGATTTACATAATATTAACTGCCAAAAAACATGGCCTCACTGCTTTTGGAAAGCTTCTAAATGACCTTTTGGAAAACGGCTGACACTATTTTTATAACCAGTAGATCTGAATAGGTTGCGGTAAGCCTTCATGGCATCGCCCCGTCAAATGTGGAATTTACCTATTTCGCATGTTGTGCCGGATCAGCCACCGCTGAGGATAGCCATTTTGCAAAAAGGTCGATTCTGCAAAGACACGCTCACATAACACATTCCAGCGCTATAAATTCGACCGCAGGTGTAATACTGAGAATTTTACCAGCTATTGATTTCTCGGAAACAATCGGCTAATGAATCGTAAAAAAATATATTTACAGAAAATATACAGTGAAAGAAAGTTTTTATCCGCAAACCGGAGCTTCTTCTAGAGCTGGCTCGAACTTCCTCTTTCCCCGATGGCAAATGACAGAATCAAAAACTTCTCCTTTTCTTTTCGGTCTGGTTCCATCGGGACAGTATAAATCGCATTGCTCGTATTTTTCTCTTCTTCCAGAGCAAATAGCAGTTATGTCCGATTTCTTGTACCAAGGGTAGAAGTCCTCTAAAGCGCCGCATTTGAGACTTTCTTCTCTTGCTCGAAGAGAAGGGTTGACACAGGCGATGTTGATTGACTTCTTGATATTCCAAATATTCCTCACAGAATTTCTACAGATGACTTCTTTCGTCCAGCGAGGAAGAGTGTTGACTTTGGTTTCAGGGCAACTGATCCAACATCGATTCTTGTTGCAGTCGATATTGACGCCGGAATCAAAGTCGACTTCGAAATGGCGCGTTATTGGGCCACACTTTGTCTGATGTTCTGGTCTGGCGCAACCGACAGAGCCAGTTCTTTTGGTTTTGGCTCCCATTTCTTGCGCTTTTCATTTTTACACGTTGCTCTTGCGATGGTTGGGATTTGTCCAACAGTGGAGCATGAAAATTCACACGAATTAGTTGTATTCTCGCAGGTTGTTATGACATCGTCAGGGACAATATCGTATGTTTCCTCGACATTTTCACACGTTCGAAGATTCGTTGCAGATTCTTTTCCGAGTCTAAGAACTCATTTTAGGTCTAGTTCACTTACGTCAAAATAATTAAAAGATAAATACTTGTTCTTTGGGTTTTAGAAGCTGTCTTCTCAGGCTTCGATTTTTCTTGGATCCGCGACTTTCATAGTCCTGAAAATCCTCCGCAGTTTCCTCGCCGTCCACCTCCGTGTAATCATACTGATACTCATATGTCACCATAACGTTTTCTTCCGGAGCAATTTGCGGCTTTCTAAAAAAGATAATCAGGCATTTAATTTGCATCCCCAATGAATGAACTTGCCGACGCCCCATGAATAATGATTGAATGAAGGGATTGTCGTCTTCTTCAGAAACTTGTTGAGATCTGATTTTTCGATGGCGGCGGTGATGGTTTTTCGCGATTGTTGAAGACTCATGAACTGGATTGACTCGGTATCCAGGTAGAATGAGACCAGTCGGTTGCCGCAGATGATAGGAACACTATTAGGAGTTATGGCAAATTCATTGAAGAATTTTTTTACCTTAGCATGTTCGTAATCAACCTGGAAGGAATATTATCAAAGCAAGTTGTTTCAGCACTGCCGGCTGGACAGGGCGACGTCCGGTAAAAATTCGGGAAGTATTCTGAATCAAGTGAGAGGCATTCTTCATTCGTACCTGGTGTTGACTCGCTGACGCACATTTGCACTTCTAAAGTTTCCACTGTTTCTACCATTGCCAAGCTCCCTTGAAAAAGAAACGATGACGACAATTGGTTGGTTTGATTTTTACCGTAATCATCGTATAAAATTTTCTTGATGGTCAATTCATCGTAGACGGAGAAAATCTTGAGTAATTTTTCGTCAGTAACGCAGTCGATCGCAAAAATGACAAAATTTTCGCTAATAACAGTTCCAAAGCATTTCGTATCACCACTAGTTACTAAAATAGTTGACGCTTCTGTCCTCGAGCTCATTTCCGTGGCTCCGATGTTTTTGGATCCGCAGTTGTTGGGCTTGTATTGGTCGTAAATGCTTCGCCAGTTGTTATCGTAAATTTGCTGGTGAATCCATTCTGTGTAACTAACGACATTTGAGTAAACGCCTGGGTAATTCGGCCGCGCGCATCCTTTGCCAAAGCTGACAATTCCGACGAGAACCGGTTGGTTATCTCTGTCGAGGCAGACAAGAGGTCCACCTGAATCATTCTGACAGGCATCAGTCCGCCCGCCGAGCATGTGACCCGCGCAGATATGCACTTGCGGGTTGAATAAAGTCCCGTATGACGTTCCACGTGCGCACACTTCAAAGGGGTTAGGTCCGGTTATCTTGCGCATTCGAAAATACACACTTCACAATTTGCTTCAGTAAAATTTCGAGCTCAACCCCTTTCCTTCTCCAGAAAGCAGCGGCACTCGAGCCTCCATCAGCTGACTTGAAACGACTCCTCTCTTGTGACTTTCGTCCTGGGCGCCCCAGCCGGCGATAAAGCAATCTGTTCCAGGTTGAAATTCTTGCTTGTAAGGTAAGCAAACGGGTGAAATATTGGAAGAATATGCGATTGGCCTTGGTAGTTTTATTAGAGCAATGTCATTTTGACCGGTCGTTGGAGAATATCTTGGGTGAATGATGAATTCGGCTGTTTCTAGAGATTTCGAGGGAAACCATAATAAAGTCAAAATAACCTCGGAATAATTATTTTCCTCGTGATTAAAAAATTAGTGTGAAGATGTTCACAATTCGCATTATATACAAACAGTAACTGTCTACAGCCGTATATGATGCGCACTATAGCACTATAATCTGCTTATTTTTAGACGCTCCAGCTGGAGCAGTTTCCTCTCAAACTCCTTCCTGAATCCATAGAAAGCTCTCTCGTCTCTTTTTCATGTAAAACTTGGTCGCCAAAAGTCAGGGTTACTTTTTTATCATGAGCAACGCAATGAGCCGCCGTAATGACATATTCAGGGTTGATAATTGACGCTCCACAGTAAGATCTGTTCTTTTGAATTTTTATTCGAACGATAAAAGGCCAGTTCCAATCAGCTCGCTGACCATTGATGATGCGAGAGGATTGCTGATAGCGATTTTGCTGTGAAATCGGGAGGGGTCTCTTAGTTCTTACGTAATTGGAAGGGAAGGAAATTATGATCATACCTTGCATTGGAGATTTTTCGGTAGAGTTGGATTGAAATTTCTTAGTTTCACTCTTTGTATATCTTCGCCGTATATTAAAGCAGCCGCTGGATCTGTCCACCAGAAAAGTAGAAAAAATAGAATCATTTGAAGTCTCGCAAAAAATTTTGCTAGATATTTAATTCTGAAACTAAATGGGCGTCTTTGAAATTTTTGAGAAAGGGATCTGTCCAAAGCTTGACCACATTTGGACAGTTGGAAGGGTCGTGATTTTGCAACGCGCCAAGCCAAATTGTCTGTGATCATCTAATTTCTTGCGCAATTTGCATAATCAATCATTTGATTCCATTTTCGCCAAAGTTGGTGGGAATAACACACGTGTTCGTGCCCAAAAGCTCCCCGCGGTCATCTTCTAAAGTCACATTTGCGTCAGGAAGAGCTAGTTAGTCCTTTGCAATTATGGTCAAGATTCTCGGTTTAGTTGGCTCGGCTTTGGCTGTTCCAAGTTTCAAGAGCCCACGATACGACACCAATGCTCCCAGAATTATTGGAGGCTCCGAGGTACACTTATAAGCTCAAAGAGACTGTTAGTAAATAAACTGTTAGGCTGCTGAAGGTCAGTTCCCCTGGCAAATCTCCCAGCGACGAATCCAACTCGGCCAGCCTGGCTCTCACATGTGCGGTGGTTCAATCGGTGGCTCCAAATACATCATCTCCGCAGCTCACTGCGTTCTTGACGCCACCCGAGTCATCGTTGCCTATGGTACCAACGACTGGCGAAGCAACGATAACCTCGCCGAGGTAGAGGTTTTCCGAGGACACCCCAACTATGATGCCCGAGCCATCGATTACGATTACTCCTACATGATCCTCAAGGAGGCTCTTTCTTTCAGTGAGACTGTTCAGCCAATCCAGCTTGTTCCCGCTAACTCTGCTTCGCAAAACAACAATCTGCTCTACGGAGAAACTGCTACTACTTCTGGATGGGGCTATTCTGCCCACGATTCCAAGTAAGCTGCACCTTTCTAAATAACTTCTTTTACGACTTCTTAGCGGCGATCCAATCAACATTCCCAACCGAATGCAATTTGTCGAGCTTCCACTTAACAGCTGGGATACCTGCGTCGGATTCTGGGGCGACCCAACCATCAACCCTATCCTCGGCAAATACACCCCACGAATGCAGTGCTGCGGCGGTCAGGGCTCTACTAGCTGCATGGGTGATTCTGGTGGACCCTTGGTCGTCAAGGATCCAGAGAGCGGTGACAACCTTCTTCTCGGTGCTGTTTCATGGGGAAGCGGCAAATGCGACGTCAATATTGCGGGAGTCTACACCAACATCGCTTTCCCAGAAGGACGCCAGTGGTACACTGATGAGATCGGCCTTTAAATTTTATTTGTCATGTCTTGGAATAAATTTCTCTACTCAATGTCTATTTGTAATGACCACAGTCACCGAATCGGTATTTCAATGCAGATAACTTTTTGCTGTTGATATTAGTTCCTATAAATATCACACCTGACATAGCGGTTTAGAACTCTTGTCACAGCGGTTATATTCCGCCTCTAGATGGCATTTAATGATATAAAAAGCAACTCCAGCTTGCAAAAGTAAGAGTTGTCAACTTTGTTAATTGTCTTCCTTCAAAAGAAAAAAAAACTATCAGAGGTACAAGCACTTGATTATCGAAAAAGAGATTCCTGAAATGAAGAACAACGAAGATTTTTTCATATAATTTAGATTTTATTCGTCAACATAAAATTTATTTTGAATAAATATTAGAAAACCTCTTTTGAATTAAACTATAATTATTTTTTAACAAAATAATATTAACGTACTTATTCAGGATACTTTAAAAGAACATTTTTAGGTGAAACCAGCTGATAGAATAGACGATGAAGTTCAACTTATTATTCTTCGTCACAGCGGCGCTTGGCCAGAACTTATGTAAGTTAAAACGATAAACTGGACTTTAGATAATTCTTTCAGTCGGAGGAGGTGCTCCAGCTGAACAGCAGGCCCCACCAGAGCAAGGAAATGCATTCGATTTCAACTCAATGTTCGCAAACTTGTTTGGAGGCGGAGGAGATATTTTCTCCATGTTTGGTGGACCTGGTGCTGGAGGACCAGCCGTAGGAGGACTACCAGCCCCAGCTGCACCAGTAGCCCCAGCAGCCCCTGCCGCCCCTGCTTCTCCTATTAATTTCGCTGCTCCATCTGACCCATTCGCGAATTTCGGAGGCGGGGCTCCTGCTGCTGCAACAAACACACAAGGAAACAACGCAGATATTCAAATTCCTTCTTCGAATAAGGCACCCAATAAGAAGGGAAAGAAGAATAAGAAAAATAAAAACAAAAAAGAAACAACAGAGGCTCCAACAACAACAAGCACTACAACAACCAGTACGACTACTACTACAACAACAACTACAACAACAACTACGACTACAACGACGACAACAACTACTACCACAACTACAACTACAACTACAACAACTACTACGACGACAACAACTACAACCACAACTACCACTACCACAACAACGACAACGACGACAACTACTACTACCACAACTACTACCACAACGACGACTACAACTACAACAACGACTACAACTACAACAACGACTACAACGACAACTACCACGACGACAACAACAACTACTACAACAACTACAACCACAACTACAACAACGACTACGAGTACAACGACCACGACGACAACAACAACTACTACAACAACAACGACTACGACTACAACTACCACGACGACAACAACTACTACCACAACTACTACCACAACTACTACTACAACTACTACCACAACGACGACTACAACTACAACTACGACTACAACGACAACTACAACGACGACAACAACAACTACAACCACAACGACTACGACTACAACTACCACGACAACAACAACTACCACCACAACTACTACAACAACTACTACCACAACGACGACTACAACTACAACTACGACTACAACCACAACTACGACAACGACTACAACTACCACGACCACAACAACTACTACTACAACTACCACGACTACCACAACTACTACGACCACAACTCAACCTCCTCCACCACCACCTGCAGCACCAGCTGCCGGAGCTGATTTCGATTTCAACACAATGTTTGCCAGTCTTTTCGGAAACAGTGATAATGGACCAGCTGACATCTTCAGTATGTTTGGCGCGCCAGCTCCTCAGCAACAGCAAGAAATAAACATTGCCCCGGCTGAACCTGAAGAAACGACCACAACATCCACTACTACAACTACAACCACCACCACGACTACAACAACCACTACTACAACCACCACCACAACCACCACCACAACCACCACCACAACCACCACCACAACCACTACCACCACGACAACCACCACAACAACCACCACCACCACCACCACCACCACCACCACCACCACCACAACGACAACGACAACGACAACCACCACCACCACCACCACAACGACAACGACAACCACAACTACAACCACCACCACAACTACAACAACAACGACAACTACTACTACGACAACGACAACTACTACGACAACGACAACTACAACTACGACTACAACCACATCAACAACAGAAGCCCAGATCCTTGACCTCAATAATCTTTCCGATCTCAACTCGGTTTTCAATAACCTTGGACAATTTGACTTGAATGCACTTTTCGGTGGAAATGCTCCAGTCGTTACTGAGGCACCCGTCATTGTCACAACAACCTCCACTACTACCTCAACCACGACCTCAACCACCACAACTACAACTACAACGCCAGAGCCTATCAGAAACAGATTCATGCGAAACGACATTGAATTCCTTGCCGAGCTCAAATCATCCGAGGACGCTTTCAAGCAAGAAGTTCAGCAGCGAATGCAATCTGGACCACTTGATATCAAGGGAATGCAAGTCGCTGTTGAACCGCTACGACGACGAAGACGAGACGTCGACCCTACTCACCGAGTTAAGATTACTCTTATCCACTTATTGACCGGTGACGTTCCAGAGCCATCCGGCGATGAAATTGTTGGCCCACTTTTCGAAGGCCTCTTGTCTACCGCTAACGTCGACTACAATACGATGAACGTCAAGACTAACCTCCGAGATCAAGTTATTACCCTTGTCCCACCAACCACCACCACGACAACAACCACAACAACTACAACAACTACTACGACTACTACAACCACGACCACAACCACAACAACAGAGGAAGAAGTCGTCGACTTCTCTAACTTGGACAGTATTCAATCTGCCCTCGGCTCTCTCGGCACTCTCGACCTCACCTCAATCTTTGGATCAGCCCCAGCACCAAGCAATAATCGACCAAACATCATCGGAGGTGCCTCTGCTGTTGCATCTGACCAGGTTGATGATGACTTACGAGAAAGCTCTCAGGTAAAATGTACTGCTGCTATTGAATCTATAATTCCTTTAAGTCTGTCGGTAACCGACCAGGTGCTTCAGAAGACGAAGAAATCAAAAACGCTGGTTTGCCATTCATTGCTCTCGCAGGAACTACTCTTGGAAGCGCAAGATGGTGCCCACTTTGCCACAATACCGATAGTCTTGCAGCATGTACCCAGGTTCAACTGTGTCCTAAGGGTGACTATTGGGATTGCTACGTTAAATACGAGTTCACTTCAAGGAACGGTTGAAAAGCTATTTTTCTTGTAAAAAATGTTTTGTTTTCTAAGATAAATTCATACTTGACCCGAAAAAAGCGGCAGAGAGGTCGTCAACGCTGGCTGCAAACAACATCGAGCTTGTACCGCTGAGAAGGAGCAGAACTTCCAGATTTCCAATATCCCACAAAGTAAGGAATGAAATTCGAGATATTTATATTAATCTAAATTTAGAAATCTCCCGATTTGACAAATGCAAAGCCAACTGGGTAACAGCTTCTCAACTTCGAGCAGGAGCCGCATACGGCCGAAGCTTGAGATCCGACATGTCCTCAGTTTGTACTAACTGCTTTGCTTCATATGAGAGCGCATCGGAACCTGCTACCAGCGTGTTTACTGATGTAAATGGCAAACTTCAAATGTATGATGATCAGCAAAATACATTCAGTATTGTTGAGTCAGCATGGGCTACCGACTTGGACTGGTGGAGGGTAAGAACGAAAAATTCTTGCAGATAATTTCCTTTAAAACTTAGGCAACTACTGATCATACTGGCCTCGAAGATCCTACAACCGGAAACGAAGTTTTCCAAGCCTAAGAAACTAAGTTACGAAAAGAAGAATGAAACGCGTCACTGAACCACATTTGACAAGAATTTTTATATTTTGTAAAGTTCAGTCGCGAGCTGTGAATAAAAACTTGCCCCCAATCTAAGTTAAATTAACGTTATTTATTTACAAGTATAAAGCAAAGATCAGTAAACTGATAGATGAAATAGCCGATGGTAATAATGCAGAGTTTTTATCCTTGTCGATCATATCTTGCACCGAGCAAACTTCATCGACAGCGCAAAAAACCTCTTCGGGCTCTTCTTTGCAGTAGGTATTCTATAAATATTTGAAAAGAGATTGATCTGGAGTCACTGACATTATAGAACTCCGAGGGCGAATTTCGGCAGTCCGTCATCAATCGCAATAAATCGCTGTCGCAAGCAATTTCCTTCGGCAAACACCTCGCTTGAGAGTACTCTGTCACCGATTTCGAATGACTATGGACGCATAAAGCTGAGAAAAAACGATTATTACTGTACCAGTAGAAAAAGGAAGGATCAGGACAGCACTTTTTCTTCGATGTACAATTTGAAGTATCCTCGCACACGAGGTCCGGATCGTCGACGCCTAGTTGTAATAGAATCAAATGATTAAGGATTTCCTTCGCTTGAATTATTCAGCAGAGAAAACGTACCTTTGCACTGGCAATCCGTTGACTCCTTAAAATTCGCACATTCATCGATAGTGCTAGCGATGCAGGGCTCTTCAAGTAGATCATAAACTTCCGCCGGGCAATTTATTTCATCTTTGTTATTAGGGCAATCCTTTTAAACGCGTTTTTAAATAATTTTCAGCTTATTAAAAGGGAATGCGTCAGAGGCTGTCCGAACTCCCTTTTCTTGTAAAATTAATTAACACGTTCCTTCTTACAATCGCACACCGATCGCATATCAACGCACGTTCGGCTTTCAGCAGTGTTATCATCTTGACAGCTTTAAATTTATTTTAATAAAGCCTCAAACACAACCAATATTAGCCCTGTCTTTTCTTTTTTCATTTGGCTGGATTGCAAAATCCGCCGCTGAGCTTCGAACCTGAACTGTGACGATGTGCAACCTAAGTAATCAGCTGTAATCTCTGCAAGAGAAGCGAAGACAATAGAATCATTTTCCAGCTCATTTCTTCTTTTAAAACCTCTGTAAGTAAAAAGATGCAATTTATATTCAAAGGAAGTATATCTGAAATCTGAGATGCTGTGGAAGATTACGACTTGAGTAGTTTAATTGTCGCGGAAACGTCATGATTACGAGTTTAGCTAATAAAAATAATGCTCACACAATAAGCGCAAGTTTTCTTTGTGTTATCATCAGCGAAAATTTTACAAAGCATCATAATATTGCTCTGAAATTCTGAATTAGCATATATTATCTGCGTAGACAGCAAATCATTAAATCATAATTTTGTCTAGTCAACAGTAAGATCCTTCGAAAGCAAGATTATCCGGTAATCATCAGATCGAGATCAATACGGTTATTGTTCCCTCCAGTCCAATTAAAAATTGTTTCTGATTCTCATAGATGTCAATTTCGGAATTGATTCGAGTCTTATAACAATTTATAGCATAAATTTGCAAGCTGCTGAATGCTAGGCTCAGATGGACACCAGTAGTGCCAAGATTTGGGATTTTAATTTGAAACTCTCGAGGGACCCACACAGCACTGTGCGACAACGGACAACGATTTCAATCGCCAAGAAGATTCAAGAGAAAATATATAGAAGAGACGGATCAACATTGAAGATTGATGTTTCATTACTTAATTTATTTTGGATTGTTGAAATCAACGGCAGGAATTCACGAGGTAAGGACTTCTTAGAGCCTTTAAAATAATTTGATGAAAAGGGAGATGAGTTTTGCAATACAGACAGAAAACTACCACATGCTTCGAGAAGTCGGAGATATTTAGAATCCGATCAAAAGTGGACTGGAGACCAAATAACGTATTCAATTTTAAATTTTACGCCAAGACTTGGCTTGAATTTGACAAGGAAGGTTCTGATTGAAATCATGGAAGAGAGATTCCAATTTCAATAGAAGCGGATCTTGAGCGAGTTGTCAATCTTTCATGCAGAATATTAAGATGCTAAATCGATCAGTCATTCAAAAAGCCAAGAATGATATTAGAACCTGCACAGGACAGCGATCAATTCTGCGATATCACATTGGAAGAAATATTTGCCGATCCCTCTAGTTCGGGATCATTTTGCTTGGCTAAAGAGCGCAGAAATAATTCGCAGCGTAAATTTTTAATTCGCTTTATATTTGCGTGGAATGTTTTATGAGGAATGACCCCTTCTGTCAGTGGAGATACAGGATGAGCAGTGGAAGGATTCCGCTGATATACGCATCAAATTCGTCAATTCGAGTAAGTGGCTCAGTCTTTTTAAAATCTAATTAGAAATGAAGGTCACGGTGATAATTCGCCATTTGATGGACCTGGAAACTATCTCGCGCACGCGTTCTATCCAGGCCCAGGCCTTGGTGGAGACACTCACTTTGACGCTGAGGAACCGTGGACTTATCTCGGTCACCCCGAAAAGAAAGGTGAGCGGGGTTAATCCATGGAAGAAGCTTTTATCGGGATCCTTGTAGCATTACGTTGGACGCATTATTGCCAAGTTCAATTTTCCGGCTAATAGGGTGTCCCTTGGGATGAACCCAGGATAGGCCATCTTTGGGGCTGAATCCTTGATAGTTAATTCAGAAGAATTGATTTTCCATCATCATAAAATCATTATGCAGGGTAGCCACCTGTTCTGATTGTTCATTTACAGTGATAATTTACTGATAAATTATGTTGACCGACATCGGCGAATAGAATTGGACTCGTGTTTTCAGGCAACGATCTATTTCTTGTTTCCATACACGAACTTGGCCATGCACTTGGACTTGCTCATTCGACTGACCCGAGTTCCATAATGTTTGCAACTTATCAAAGTCACAATACGAAGAACTTTCAACTTCCAATGGATGACATTTTAGGAAAAGGAAGGAGATTCTCTTCTTTTATTTCAAAAAAACAGTAACGCGGCGAAAATAATTCATCCGCAGTTGTGCATGAATAAAAGATGAGCATTCATCACATTATGAGCTTCTCATCCCTTTTCCAAGGCATTCACAAAATATATGGTAAGAAGCCTTCAACGACGCTTAATTCCACGGCGCTTATGTATAAGCCAAAGAAGTCCTTCAAGACCGACAGCTCAATGGATGAAAGCATTCGAGTAAACATGTGTCTGGAGCGAGTTGTCGGCGTTGCTGATACTGACGAAGAGCTAATTGTCTTTTCTCGAACGCGCTTCTCTATTTTATACAGAGACTACTCGAATGAACAATTTCTCAGGCTAAATTCTTCTCAGTCAGAATTGCTCGTCTTAGGAACTGTTTGTTATTTCTCGTAAAAAAAAACCATTTTCTTCGAATTTCCGAACATCAAAAAGTCTCTCAGCGGTGGTCAAAACAGCGTCAAATCTCCTCTGTCGTCTATGACAAGAACCAGCGAATCTTCATATTTCTGCATCAAAACATAATTTCGGTTTACAATGGCTATCGCTTTTCATTTCAAACGGAAATGTCGACAATTCATGTGGATGCTCGGCAATGCACAAGGCTCTTTATGGATCCAACGGATAGTTCTATGACTTTCAAAATTACTTGTGAAAAGTTGTTTCCTTCTCATAAAATCATATCTATTTTACTTTCTAGTGACCGGGTTTTCGGAATCAAACTGTCAAGAATCACCGTGTTAGAAGTTGGAGAAGAAGATCTTAATCGATATGCAAATATTTTTCCAACAATAAATTCTGTCGAAGCATCTTGGGAAGGGTAAGTGTTAAAATGTTTTTTTTTGATTTCTATTACCTGATTAAAAATAAACCGCTATGTTTAGACGGTGCATAGAGCCCAGTCGACAGAAAGACAGGTGTTTTCACTACATCCTCGATGGAGATTACTTTTCGACCTCAACCAAAAACGAACTCGAAGCTTTGTCAAGTTCACCTGGATTTTTCAAAGCGGTTTTTCTCAACTGCCCACTGCTCAACTTATATTGGCAAAAGTACACGCAGTTCATTTTAGCATTTTTGTGCTTGCTTTGTTCCTTTCTTCTCGGTAAAGCTCTCCTCGAATTCCGCTAATAACAGTTAACCAAAGGACTTTTACTGGCACTGCTGAAGCTCCGAAGAACTTTTTCAACCTCCGCCGCCGCCAAGAATGAGCTGCTTTAGTCTACTTCAAAACTATCGAATTCTTCAATTTTCATTTTCTTCATTTTTCATTTATTTTAATTGCTTCTAATCCCCCACTGCCATATCCCTTTATTTATTCATTTGCCTGTGTACGCTGTCCGTTCGAAAGGGATTATTTCTTTATCGAAATTAAAGAGTGAAAAGATAGATCAAAAAAGGTGTAAAATAAAACCGCAAAATAATCGAGAGACATGTTCGGCATATCTATATTTAATAAGCCAGGAGAGTCAAATTGGCAATGTGGCGCGCTGCCACTCGCTTGGAGCGGGGGCCGGAGAATGAAAAAATCAATCCCTATTTCTCAGACCAGAGAAAGGCCAACCATACCATACCAGCACAACGACGTACTCATATTTCTGCTAGAATTTTCAGTTGAGCTCAGAAATCATTGAAATCAACGAAGAGAATTGATGAAAAGAAGACCATGTTTTCAGAAGAAGAATTGCTCAGCAGAATTGAGGAGCTAGAACTCACCATTGACGAAATAAGAGATGAACATGAACTCCAACTGGAGAAAATAACGAAACAGCTGAAAGAAGAGGAAAATATAAGGTAGGAGAAGTGATTCTTGGGCACAAATTTGACAGCTTAGATTTAGAAAATATGAGCTCATCGAAAAGAAGATCCACCGAGTAGCGATGATTTGTGAGAAAAATAGGTAATTTCTTATTAATAATAAGTTTGTATTATGACATTGTCAATAACAGAACAATCCGGGTTTTACTGAACTGCTTTTAGGCAAGATTACTGTCAGGCAAGAGAAAGCTACACACAAGAAAGAAAACGCGCAGAAGAGCTAGGTACAGTATAAAATTGTGGTACAGTTAATTGAATTACCCGGGCTCATCAGAAGGGAATGACAGTGGATTAAATGACCCCAGAGGCCAACAAGATTGAAGGATCTTGTATTGAATCAATTAAGACCGGACTGATCTGTAATCAATAGAAAATCTATAGAATATGGATATTTACATCATTTTAGAATTATTTTATAGCTGGATATACGTTAATAAATATCCCGTATAACGTTTCATATATTTAACCTCGTAATATATACGGTACAGGATAGATATACACTGTATATTATACAGTATATATCTTGCTATTTGACCGTAAAATCTAAGTGCGATCCAATATGTTCTCATCAATACTAAATGACAAGATAATTTAAACATCTGGCCGACAGGGAATGTAATGTCCAGAATTATCCCCTCAAAAACACTCATTTTGAATGTGGACGCGTAATAGAACCGACATTATTGGAGAGCGTTGACATTAATTATTCAAATGTTACTAAAATACACCGTTGTCAATGAAAAAATGTCCCCTTCAGGGTCATGTCTGTAGGACAAGGTTGATAATGTCTAATTCAGAGCAGAAGAACAAGGAACTGATGAAGCGTCTCTCAGGTGTGCTAAAAACCGCGGAGACGCTGTACAACGAGCGAACAGTGCTTCAAAACGAGCTGAAGAACAGTCTTACTCGATCGCAAACAATGATTGAACATTCCACTGCCGCAATCTCGAGCAAATCATCAACGCGAAGAACTTCCATGGCAAACTCAGATGCTACAATCACATCGGAAACATTCCGCTCTAGGACAGATTCAGCAATTCAGATTCTTTCTATACAAAATTACAATAATCAGGTTTTGAGCTTCTAACTCGATCTTCATGAGATCAAAAATCACGTGATATAGCAAGGTAATCACATTGCCTTTTGTTGAGTCTTCAAAAAGAACACTGTCGAGAAGTTCAGATGTTTCTCGCCTATCACGTGCTTCGACGACGAGGCGAAAGCCAACCTACTTTAGACTTTCTACCGTCAATGCCCTCAATTCAAACTCTGCTTCTACTCATCTATAGAATATCACTTTAATTAATAATTTCCTCTAAACTGCTGAAAATTAAACTGCCAACGACTTTCAAATTAAAAATCGAGATGAAAAGAACTGTCACTCTATTTTCATGCAGTCTTCGAAATGAGGTCCTATAAACAAGCCCTAAGGCTCTAGAAGTACCACGACTCCGCAAAATCATCTGATGACTCAATCTTCAAGCCTGACCGCCCTGAGTGCGCTTTCCCTTTAGATTGTCACAAACTAAATATAACGAATTCTGTCACTGTTTTGCGAAGAGACCCGTATTTACAGAGTACGTAATGGAGCGTCGAGTTAAAAATTAACCTAACATCTATTAAAGGCAATCTTCTTTCTTTCAAAATTAAAGATCAAAAGATCAAGGAGAAAGGAAGCTACAAGATGTCCGATTTCAAATTCGTGTTCCAAATGCTCAAGCATTTGAGGGGGAATCAATGTTTTTCACCCGTTAATATTTCACATGCGCTCGGAATGGTGATGCTTGGCACCACGGACGAGACCAGAGACGAGTTGGCAACTGTTCTCGGTCGAGGCGATCATGCTCAGACGCATTCAGTCCTACAGAAGGCTCTTGACTCGATGAAATCTAAAGGTACAGCGTCGAATCAATCATACTGCATCAGTTAGAAATAGTTGACTGAATGTAACTTTTTTAATTATGTACCGAATTCAGAAGTGGCTAACGTTGCTGCCAAACTCTTTATCCAGCGAGGATTTGAAGTCAAAACGCCATTCCAAGACGCATGCCTCGAAAAATACGGTGCCGGAGCTGAGAAAGTCGATTTCGCCGACCCAGAAGCATCAGTTGGAACGTAAGTCGGTCAGAATATGGCTAAAAATTACCGTCAGAATATGTGATTTATGCAGATTTATGCTCAAATATTTGAGTCTCTCAGCGGGTAAATAACGATAATGATTATAGAATTAACAAATGGGTCGCTGGGGAGACAAAAGAAATGATCAAAGATTTGCTTTCTGCTTCTGACGTCGATGCGAACACCATGATTGCACTTTGCTCCGCTCTTCACTTCAAGGGATCTTGGGAGAATCCCTTCGATGCTCCTTTTGAAGATGACTTCCATCTCTCTGAGAGCGAAACAGTTAAGACTCAGCTGATGCAGAAAAAGGTAAGAATGCCCGTCGTTATTTTTATAAATTTCTTTCCAGCATAAATTTGCGTTCAACTACTCCGGAGAACTGGAAGCGCAAGTCGTCGAGCTTCCATATTCAAATGGAGCTTCAATGCTTCTCGTCGTCCCACAATACATTGGTGGACTCGACGGAATCGAAGCAAAGATCACTCCCGAAGTCGTCGATGATCTTGTCAAAAATCTCGACAGATCTGGCGGAGATGAAGTTCTGGTGAAAATGCCAAAGTTCGAGCTTGAAGTTGGCATGAACTTGAAGGACACTCTTGAGAAATGCGGACTCACGGTAAGAGGACAATTATTTCTTTGAGGTCGTAAATTCTCTCTAGCGAATCTTCAACCCCGAGGTGAACCCACTTTCTGAAATGACGCACGCGGGACTTCACATTGGCGCCGCCGTTCACAAAGTTAAAATCATCGTCGACGAGCAAGGAACAGAAGCTGCTGCTGCCACTGGGATGATCGGCATGATGAGAATGATGCCGATGATGCCAATCCTAATCGAAGCCAACAAACCATTCCTATTTTTCATCCGATACGAAGGAGAGACCGTTTTTGCTGGACGATTCTCCTCGCCTAATTAGATGATAATAGCCTGACTTTCTTCCTTTTCAAATAAAAACATTATTAGATAATTTTAACTGACTCTATTTTCGATAAAAACGCAGCAGATAGAAGTTTAACTGAACTATTGTGGATGTCAGGGTAAAAATGGGGGAATGGCAAGCTAGATTGGTACAAGCATGTACAAAAATACAGGGATTAATCCCAGTCTTCATCATTCGACTCAGCCGAGAACTCAGAAGATTCGCTACCGCTGAATTCGTACTTGACCTAAATATGAATAATTAGGAACAAAACCAGAAGGTCATCAAAATACCGGTTTGGCTGGGGCAGCTTTAGCGCGGCGAGAGCTTCTCTCTCGTGGAATAACTGTCTTTGCGACTTGCTGCTTCAACTTCTTCGTCAACTTTGCTGGCGGAGAGTCGTCATCTGATTCATCGGAGCTGTCAGACGAGGCTTCGGGCTCTTCGTTTTCAGACTCGATCGATTCAATTGTATCGTCATCGACGATCTTGACCTTGTTTCGTCCGCGCCCGCTTGATTTCGTTGGAGCGCGTTTTTTAGTCGTTGCGGAGGCCTTTTTCTCCAGTTTTTCAATCTCTTCATCGGATGATTCGTCCTTAAACGAAGTTAGCTTTCTACGATCAGCGTATTCAATTACCTCGAGATCCATCTTTCGACGCTGGCCCTTCATAATAACTCGTTCAAGTTGAGGATCAACTTCTCGTCCAGCGAAGAGTCGTTCAACCTTTTTTTTCGCGAAATAAAGAGCGAGTAGCTTTCGCCAGTTCTTCTTCGCCCGACTGCGAGATTTCTGTCGAGCGCGTTCTTCCGAAATACCGGCAGCTTCAACATATGCATCTCGCACTGTCTGCTCGTACTCCTTGCAAATGACGTAGCCGCCGATCTTAGGGTATCCCTTCTTCCCATCGAATCCGACAACGGCCTTTGCTGCGTCGATTCCAAGCTTTCTGCAGACTCGAGAGCACACCCCGAAGTCGTCCAAATCCTCGAGAAAAACTGTACCAATTGGAAGCATGCACATCTGATACAAATCAACATTTCCGAAATCGTTTCTTGGTACAAGACCATCTTTCGCAATTGGAGCTTTGTACCAATCAGTTTGCCACTCGCCGAAAAGAGGTGAGTTCTTAGCACCAGCGTCGTTGCCAGCCTTTTTATTTTGCATCCAGCTGGCAACCATTTTCATTGGAACTTCTCCATCGCGTACGACTCGAGCATTTTGGAGCCATGTTCCTCTGGTGTGAAGCTTTTTGACGGCTTTTCGAGGGAAGATGTCTTCGTATGTGATTTCTCCCTTTGATTTCAATTCGATCTGTCCGACAGGTGTTGTGTCTTCGGGATAGATGCATTCGTATTTGAGGACATGACGACGTAAGACGTAGAGAGGATGACCTTTGAGGGCAGAAATCGTCTTCGGGATTGGCGCAGACTTGAGATTCTTGTTCATCTCTTTTGTCTCTGCAGTTTCCAAGTGCTTATTTCGCGAGGGGAACATGTCACATGTTTCCTTCCAGTAGTTGGTGTTTTTCTCCACATATTTGATGCGAAGCTTCTTGGTGTCTTCCAGCCACTTTGATGCGTATCGCGCAGTAACATCCCGAACACCTCCGTCGAAGCCCATGCAATACTTCACTGGCCAGTAGAGGAACCCTTCCACGTTTTTCGTCTCCACAACTGCGAATCTGTTCTCCTTGATAATGACCGGAAGCCAGGTTTCTCCGATGAAAACTTCGCACCAGCTGTTGAGAATGACGGAGGACTCGTGTTTGGAAACCATTCGGCGGATTTCTTCATTCTTCTTTTTCCCTCCTTGAGCTGTTTTTCGGACTGCGGCTTGTGGTGATGAATTCGTCCGTCGATGACAAGACGAGCGATTCCACCGACAGATCGTACCGCAGCGACGAAGAGGCAAGTTCGGAGGAAGTACTGATAGGTGATCGATTTGTTCTTCCACCAAGGGTCTTCGCAATTGTATCGCTGAAGAGCTCGGTCGAGAAGGAGAAGTCCGCCGTGGGGGCTAGGGATGCCGGAATCGGCTGGAGCGGCGGGAAAATGGAAGGAGCTGTTCATCGCGACTGTGAGTCGGCGGAGGTCAGCTTCAGAATCGACGTTGGCGTCAATGGGCAGCATGGATAGGATGTTCGCCTGGAAGGAAATGGTTAAATATATATTGATGGAAATAAAGTAACCTGAAGAAATTTGCAATCAATGTGTTTGTCCCAGCTGAGACCGAGCCACAAGTGGACCAAAAGATCGATTCGGTGTCGTTCTTGAGAGTGCTCTCGCTTCTCACGATTAATAATCGACCTCATGTAGGCTGCCCACTCGCGCTGCTGTCGCTCTTCCGGAGTTTCTTTGTATTCTTCAATGAAGCGGTTTTTCTTCGCCTCTGTTATTTCAATTTGAAGAGTTCCGTCGTCGAGATAGGTGCCTTCGACGTGTGGGCCTTTGGGAGCTTCGTCTTCTTTCTCCTCTGCTTCTTTCTTAGCACCTCTTTTCTTTGCTTTAGCCTTTGGTTTGGGCTTTTCTTCTTCCTTGTCGGATTCCGACCAGTCCGACTCATTTTCTTCCTTCACCTTCTTTCTCTTCGGCGCGGGTTTCTTTCGCCCCTTCGCTGCTTTTTTAGGAGCAGGAGCTTCTTCATCGCTTTCTTCTGGCTGAGGAGTGTCATTCTGATTGTCGTCAGCTTCGGCCTTGAAGTATTTCGATTTGACCTCTTTTGTGGCTTTGGCTTTCTTCGACTTTGATTCTTTCTTTGGAGCTTCTGCAGCCTTCGCGCGACCGGCTCTAGTTCTCTTCTTCATCGGCGACCGTGGTTCTTCATCTTCCTCGGAAACTTGCTCCTTGACTGTCTTTTTCTTCTTAGGCTTGGGTTCTGCTTTGGAAGCAGTCTTTCCACGAGCCTTGGTTTTGACTGGATCTTGAGCTTTAGCCTTGGTGGCTCGAGTGGAGCGCTTTGGTGGAGGAGGAGCTTCGTCCTCCGAATCGCTCCAGTCTGAGCCCACGGAGCGTTTTGGAAAAGATGGAGGAGTGTTTTCTTTGTTGAGATTTTCTCCAGCCATGAGCAGGGCATCGAGATCGACAGATTCCTAAAAAAATACAGACGAGCGAACAAAGTTGACTGAAATTATTTGAGAAAACAGTTTTGAATGGCTTACCTCTTTCTTGGTGACCTTCGACTTTTTCTTCTGGCGAGAATTGCCGACATCGTCTTCGGTGATTTGATCAAGGCGGATACTCATACTTTTTCTCTTCTCAATTTTTGCTTCCAGGATCGAGGAAATTTTCAGAATTTCAGGGGTTCAAAAATTTCGAGAAGAGCACGTGAGAGAGAAATGTTGACTTCCAAATCGGTTACTCCGAAAATCGACGGGAACATTCGCTGATGAGGCAAAATGACGTAACATGGTTCGGTCTGGAGAGTTTCTGGCGCGCGGGCTCAACACCCAATCAGGGGCTGTGGAAGTTTGTTACGCTTCAAATCTAGCGAAAAGTCCTATTTTCGCCTTTATTTGTGGCTTCACGGCGGAAATAATTGCAAAAAGGGACTTTTTGTTTTGAAAAATTGATATGTAATTCGTCCAAATGAGCATCCTTCGCTTAGCGTCATACCGCGTAGAATAAACCAGTTCTCGTCCGATCACTGAAGTCAAACTACGACGGGCGGGGTTAGTACACATGGGTGACCGGTTGGGAATACCTCGTGCGCTAAGCATTTTGTTTTTTGGGACTTAGTTTTCAGTTTCAAGAAATTTTGGTCGACTTTACATTCCATAAGGAGCAATATTCATGGAGATAAAATGGGCCAAAGTTTCTCGAAAACTGAAATCTGACTCCGAAAAAAGCAAAATGCTTAGCGCACGAGGTATTCCCAACCGGTCACCCATGTAAGTACTAACCCCGCCCGTCGTAGTTTGACTTCAGTGATCGGACGAGAACTGGTTTATTCTACGCGGTATGACGCTAAGCGAAGGTTCTTCATTTTGTGAAGTTTATAAAGCAAACTCGCATAAGCGTTTAATCGCAAGTTATAGAATTCTAAGTACTAAAACTACTCTTTGTGACTATAATAACACCATGCGGTCAGTAGTTGAAGTCGTAGAGTTCGAAAATCTTTCGATTCATTCAAATTCTGGTAATGGTAGTCATCCAATCGAGCCTTTTGAATAAACGAGTTTGAATAATAACTTGTTGCTCATATTTGAACACGTTGAGCGGATTCCACAGGCGAGCCAATGTCACAATGCGCTGTGGCCTTCAGAATTGGTCGAATATTTTTGAGAAATTTTGGCGACATTTCTGAACACATTTCACGAATACAGCCGACATTCCCACATCACCAGCAGCCATTCCTGAGCTGCGGGTGGAACGCGACTCCCTTATCACCACGTTATTTAGATACCACAAGAAGACACAAAGCCTCCGACGCTGACAATGGGTTGCATACTCCTTCAACATCGGAATTTTTCAACAACGGAACAAATCTCAAAAATCTGAAAATCAAAGGCATCAATTTGTATTAAACAATATAATTTAAACTAAAATTTATTCAAAACTTAAGTAAAGATGAAATATCTAACTACCGATTTTGAAACAGTTTCATTTTATGTAAGAGTCATTCAGTCAAGATTCCTGACTTAGGAAGTCCTCTATTTAAAAAAATAAAAATCAATGTAATATTTGGCCATTGTATGAAAAGATAGAATAGAGTTTCATTTTCAAAAAATTGTTTTGAATAATATGCAAAGCCTTCATTTTTCCCATTTATGATTGTCCGGGTCCAACTGAGGGCGCAACACTGATGGTTTCTCAGCGGGAGATATCAGACATGGCGGGAAGATGTATCGTAAAGATTATCACTAAAGTTGTGTCTAATTTTTCACTGTGTAAATTCTTACCAAAGTGCAGCAACGCTGTGGTTGAACCGGTTGAGGCGGTTGAATCGAAGTTATGCAGGCGGTTCAGGGATTTACGATTTGAATCATGCCAATTTCGCTTGTGCAGGTAATGCGCAGGACGAAGAATGCCCCGTCGGAATTCGAGGTAGAAAACAACGCACACAGAAAAACCTAGAAGTGGAGCCACAAAAGGTACGCAGCTCTCCGGCCAAAATCGCGAATCACGATCGGCATTCCGCGCAGCAAAATAATTGCCAACGACCGCACTGCCGGATTCTAATGGCAAACTCTTCGAGGAAGACACAAATGCCGATCGTGCCCCGGCTGAGGCAAAAATTAAACCCGAATGTTGCACAGGAGCCAAATAAATACCATTGTGGTTGGGCGATCCTCAGTATGTCTGGCACGCTCGGGCCGGAAAATCTTCTTCGTACTGAACCAAGCTCACCTTTTCCATTTTTCTTGTATTCAAACAAGCTTTCCTAAATTCAAAAGTCTTTCCTGAAGATTTCTGCGCATTAACACCCTCAAAACTAGAAAAATTCTCGTCTCTTGCAACAAACCCGGATGGTGCTCACAAAGTGCCAAAGAAAAGCACTCCTCCCAGCTCAACGGAAAGCGGCTCTTAGTAAAACACCAGTCGCGCCTCAAAGAGGGAAGTGCTATCCCCGTATTAACGGATATCTCTATGCTGCAGCGAGTTATCAGCTCTTTACTTTTTACGGTCGCAGTAAGAGGCATTCAAGATAAGGGAACTTCCGAAGAGAGAAATTTTTCCAAAAACCGAACTTCCGCATTCCGATTCCTTCAAAGTATTTCATTCGAGCTCTCACCTGCGGTCTACCGTTGCCCACAATATACACATTCAAGCCAGAGACTGATCCAATTCAAGACCAGAATATGCATAGGTGGAATTCTGAAGCTCATTAGAGAACATTTTTGAAGCCGAACATCAACCAAATTGTTGCAAAAAAAAACTCTTTTTTCTTCTCTATTTTTCTTGTTTCCAATTACCTCTTACTGCTGGGTGCTTTGTTTGATTCTAAAATCGGAATTTCCCTTCGTCCTGGGGAATGCAGCCAGATCCAGTAAAGGATATACAAAACCACGCGGAGATATACAATAACGAATCTTTGATGGTGCTCTGTCTCCCACCGCGCTGCCCGACCGGTTGCGGCGCGCATTCCTGCCGAAGAGCCGCTCACTTTCATAATTTGGCTGTAGGTTTCCATGCGTTCTTTTTTAGCGCAAAAGCTCACCGGCTGTTTCTGCTATCCGATGTAGTTAGCAAGTCTAATCCTCTGGGAGTCTCCCAGAGTTAAACGTAACCTCCCAATTAGCTGATAATGATAGCACTCGTAGACAAATGAAAGCAAATATTTACACGTGCTAAGTGATTAAAAACAACTGAAGACGTGATCTCATAATTGTCTGAAAATAAACTGTGCATTTTACGTAATGAGATGGAGAAAAAACCTGATTTCAAACTATCCCCTATCTTTGAAAATTGACGCATTTTTAAAGTCACGAATTGAGATTCAGGAATTTGAGCGTGGGTCAGCCAGCGGTCGCCGAATTATCACAACTGATAAAATTGTGGCGTATATTTTTTGGCGCACGGATTCATCCTTTTTTTTCAAGATAGGAAGGGAGCAGGGAGTGAAAGGTCACCGACACCACTTGTGCTCGCTCTCTCGGGCAAAAAGTCTGCTTCCCACGGTCGATAATTATCAGCTAATTAGAGTTGATTGCGCTTGGAGCTAACAGTTTGTAAACAAAATAAACTTACAACTCTACAATGCACTTACTTATTAAATTTCGAGGATTAACTATCAATGATGGTCTATCATATAATCGAATTCAGCTTCAAAAACCTCCACAAAGAGTGAGTAGTGGCTAAATACTTAGGGGATGGAATTCAGAGCCCATTCCTTCACGATGGGGCTTGACATCGCTGAGGTCACTGAAGCTTGAACCCTCGAGAGCTCACCCACTCCATGATAAGATAGTACTACTCCTGCTCCTTCTTTTCAACCCTTGCGCGTTTATCTTCATCACGTGTTTACAAGTTGCACAAAATAAGATCGAGCTGTTTATTTTTTCCAATGAGCGTTTATTTTATTTTTTGAGGAGCAGTGACAAATAGCTTTACATTGATTTATGTACAGTTCGTCCGAATCGTCAGATCGTTTCTTTCGATATTGAAATTGGCTTCATTTTCAGTAGCTCCGGAATCCTATAGAGTTTAATTAGATTAAATAAATGGCTTAAGTCTGAAATTCTGAATAGTAAATTTTTGAGAGACTGTTTTAAAGAAGATGAAACGTACCAGCTGCTGCGGCTTGAAAAGGCGACTGATTTGCTCCAAGTTGATCGAGTCCTGTTGCTGCTGTTGGTCCAGTCGAAGGGAAAAGACTGCTCTGATTGTAAGTACCGACTCCTGCCGTCAGATTGAGGGAAGAATTGTAGCTCGCTGATGGAGAATATGAAGGATTTTGGTTGAATGAAGATGCATAATTCGCAGCGTACTGGCTCCAGTAGGGACTCGCCGCCTGATTGGTTGGGGAGAAGGAGTGCGAGGTGGTCGGTGTGGCGCTGGTGTGCGGAGAGAAAGACGTTGGACCCGTGCCATAGCCAGGGAATCCACTGTAATGACCGTACGGTGGCGTGGTCGACAGTGATGAAGATGTGAGACTGCCGATGCCGGAGCTTGGGCGGCCGGGGAGGTCTGTTGCTGGTAGTACGATGCGGGGAAGATGAGTCCTAAAATCATCAGTTAGAAAATTTGTTTCGGCTTGCCAAAAGTGCAAAGCAAGGAATTCTAAAATCTTGAGCAATTGTTCTTTGCCAGGTGGGGACGGAGGATGGATTCGATGCCCCTGTGAACGATGATTGACAAATTAATTCTAGCGTTGTTGTCTACCCCGCGCTAGCAACACCGGCAATTATCATTCCTGCTGTCAGTCTTAGTCTCCAAGGCTTGCGTATCTGGTATTGTCCCTGGTACTCAAAATGGCGCGTGTTGACAAACAGCCAAAGTAAAACGGTATTTTGGACATTCCAAAGAACAGAAAAATCGAGTAGTTTATATAAAAGCGTAATTGGCAGGGCCAGCCGGGCTTTGTGAAGAGAGGGGCTCACTGGTTGCGGGCGAGCGGCATTTGCGAATTGTTGCGGCCGTTTTGAGACGGTGCTCGGCGCATTTTTGAAACATTCCACGCCGGACACATAGAGCGCTCAGGCCAAATCGGACCCTTTTGTATTGAAAAAGTAAATTATCATTCACACAAGGAATGTACCACGCCGCCATAATCACCAACAAGTGGGCTCTTCAAATAAACCGCGCGGTCCGAAGCGCCTTCCAATTAAGACTTACAAATCTAATCATCATTTATGAAACTCCTAAATTCGTATTCAAAAATGAGTATCCACGCTGATTTGAGATTTTATGCACTTAGTATTGTTTAATAGCTATCAAAGCGCCGCCGCCGCAAATATTGAAATGAACCGACCGGTTTCTACTAAGTGGGGCGCCTCCTCCACCCAAAAAATGACAAATTGGTTTCGTTTCCGCCTTCCGAAGTTCAAAAGATCCATTTGAATATGATCTCTTACCTCTTCTTGTTTTCGTTTCTGACTGTGACTTCTTGAAATGTTCATCGAGCTCTTCTTCGATATCTTTTTCGTAAAAACTCTCTACCAGCGGTTCCATCGCATTCGGCCGGGGTGGAGTCATTGGCAGACTCTGCTCTTGCGTTGGTTGATTTGGCGAGGTCGAGGCAGGGGTACTGTGGCCTGTAGGAGCTACTGGCAACTGTGGTTCTAGTTTCGTGATAGCAGCGTTCAAATGACCGAGTTGAGTGGCTGGGTCGAGGACTGAAGGAGCGCTGACGGATACTGGATTCATTGTGGAAAGACTTTCATGTGCGGAAACTGATGGAGTATCGTGAAGACCCGGTCCGGATTGATGGTAGCCGTTAGCAAAGTTCAGTCGCTGAAGAGAAATGGTTAGGATAAGGTTTTGAAGGGCCTTTTGAAAGAAAGTGGAACGGAATTTTCACGCCTTGAATCTTGTTCAAAGGCGACTTTGACTGGCCAATTTCTTATTTGTTGATAGTCAAGGGGCGTCAAAAGAGTTCAGAGTGGCGCTGCCTGCTTCAAGGGTGTTTGTTGTTCGCAAGGTTGCTGAGCGGTGGGTCGTGGTCGGTCGATTTCCGCCAGCCTTGGTTAAATTGGTGGAATGCTCGGCGGCCCCTGCCGGGACAAATTGAGCAGACATGGGCGGATCAAAGGCGCTATACATGCAGGAGCGAATACCCAAAAATGAGCGATGTGTATTCGAAAAAATCTCCTTTGCCTCAGACGAATAAATTTTCCATAGATGTTTGGAATCCGAGAGTCATTTGTACTCGCGCAAGATTTGAATATTTAAATGTAAATATAACTTGAACCGATCAATAAATTAATTTCGAAATAGTTCGAAATAATTTTTTTACTCATACTTTGAGTCATGTTCAAAACTTATCATAAAAACTTATCGAACTCAAAGTCGACCACAAGAGAGAGCTTTCCCGGCGGAAGTACACGAGCTTTTTGCATTTCGTATTCTTGTGTTCCGTTTGCCTGATAACACGTGATAAGCTCGTCCCCTCAGTGGCTCTCCCGCGGTGATCAAAGGCGGCGGATACTGGTAGTTTAGGGGTAGGTAGCCAGTTTCACCAGATCCCATGGTCCCCTTTACGACAGGGGCACACACTGCGAATTACAAATTCTGACACGCCGCGCTGTCTAGCTCCTTCAAAAATCATCGTTTCTGGTGAAATTTAGGCTCATGAAATCAAACCGCAGTGGGTTCTGTAAAAATTAACAGTGATACCCTTAGTTTGTGAAATCTGTGAATTTGCTAAAAACATTGTTTATGCAACTTGAATTTTTTCGCAGTTTTCATTTCCTGCTGTCAAAAAGAGAAGAATCTGATTTGATTGATGATTGCAGATCCAGTTGAGTGAATTTTGATGTTAATTATTTTGGGTTCATATTTTCAGAAGCGGAAATTGTGAAATTTTCGTGTGAGGGGGGAATTTTCAGTGGAAATTGTTGCATCTAGTGAGATATGCGGATCCACATAAGGCGAATACTTTCGGGTTGTCGGGAGAACATTCATTTGGCTTTCTTAGAGCGCAAGAATTTGGAGACCCAGGCGCTTGGCATTTTTTGAGTAATTTTGCTCATTACAATCTTTTTCATAAATTCCTAGTTTGAAAACTTTTTCTAAGCCTCTTGAACTAAATTTTTAATGAAATAGCAAGAAAGCTCTAAAATTCTAGCTTTCAGTTGCAAATGTTTACGAAGATAGAACGCTCACGATTTCGCAAATTCTTGCAGAGCTTACTTATCACCTTCGAGTTCAACCCGGCAGTTGCCAAAACAGAACAAAGGGACAATTTGGTGGTGCGAATTATGTGATGAATCAACAACGATCCTTTCAAATTGGGTGGGCCCCCAACGTAGAAGTCCGATAACAACTTCTTTTGAGCATCATCAGTGTCAACGACTGATGATTCATTTGCCTTATCAAATGATGATCGGGCTGAATCGGATGCTCAACCTGGTGATTGGAATATTCAAGCGGAAAAACCCTTTTATCTTAGTTTGAGAATATGGGGAGCTTATCGGCAGATGATAATTTCTCAAGAAAATTTTGCTAACTCGCCTTTCTGATCTTTGATTTTCGCCTTCGAAACTCAACGATGTTCGGCTTATTACGATGAAAATTACAGGAGTTTAGTTTTCAAGGGTTCTTTTTCGAATAAATTCACCCACATGTGACAGCCCTTCGACTTTTTCACATAAAATCTTAGGATAAAATCCGCCAAAAATGAATCTGAAGAGTTTATTCTATTCAAGGTACTGAATCAGTAATACTGATCCCAAGCCCAAAATAACTACCTCCACCAAGTGCGGTCCGGCCTCTTGAGTGCCGAGTACATTTTTTAATTTCAGCAAATTCGCCTTTTATTAAAATTCAGACTCTCTTCAATATAGATCCGATCTCAAATATTACCTGTTGCTGATATTGGGCAGCGTAGTTGAGGTACTGGAAACTTTGCATCGTCTGTGGCATCACTTCTGGAGCGCTCATCATATCTTTTTTATCTCGCTCTTGTTAAAAGGTTGAGCTTTTATTTTCAATCTTTTTGGCAATCTCTGGTGGTGACTGTTAGTAAGGATATCTGTATGTTTGCGAAAGGATGATCAAAAAAAAAAACAATTTTGTTTGAATTTAAAAGATTTGAGGAATCTGTAGAGGAGAATTGTGGTGAGGGCGGCTGGAGCCTACTGTTGGATGGGGACGCCGCGCCGAGAGGTGGCGCTGTCCACGAAACGGAGTCAGGCAAGAAAAGGGGTTGACGATTCGACGCCGCTCGGTGGGGTCACTGAGCGAAGTTCGTAGTCGTCATCAGAGTCTAATGAAGGTGATTATAACTTTTTTTTTATTGGAACTACTGTTTAGCTTCGGAAGAGTATTTCATGAAATAATATATAATTTAGCGACACACTGAAAAGAAGACGATTTTTAAAAGGTTGATAATTATTGATAAGAGTTGAATATATGGGGAGGAAACATTAATTTTAAGTCAGTTCAATGGATTATTTTTACAGTTATAATTTATTTTAACTTTCATCGAGACTGATTGAATCATAACTTCGTTGGTGGGCGCCGAGTCTGGCTAGTTCTGCGAAAATCACCCGCCAAATCGGAGAAACTACCCAGTAGCTCAACCCTTCCTCCAATTATTCCATCACGGAGAGTAAGTAAAAGAGATGTATTACAGTTGGTGCGAATTCTGGCTGCTCAGCCGAATGGTTGGTCGCCAGCAGCTGCATGCGCGTCCAGCGCCATCCATCATTTTTCGCATCTGAGCGAGCTCAACATTTACGAAAAGGAGGGATGATCGATTCCCGCTCATTATCGGCCGTGCGAAATTCTCAGGGCTGATAGAAAGAAGGAAGGCGCAAAAGCAGCGGTGAAATATATTTAACGCCTTGCGCAAAAATAATAATTTGAGCGGATTCCAGGTGTCAATCTTGGTGCATAACTTGGCGGGTGGATTACGATTGACCTTGGATGCGCTTGCACGTAGAATGCGCACCAATTGCATGCCAGAATGTCTCACAATGTGAAGAAAAATTTTGCGAAATTTCCCAAAAATTTCTCATGAACCCGCTTACACACGCAGAGGAATTTCATTAACGACTTCTAAAGGCACTAATTGGGGGTTAGCAGATAGTATTGCCCAAAAAACGCGCCCTGACAAGGGGCCTGCTTCGGAGACAGAAGAATTCTCGTGAACTTCAAGTGAAGACAAATATTATTTTTCTTATAATTTTAGCTTGAATTTATAGCCCTAAAAAGGGCTAAATAGAATACTTTGACCGGTCAGGAGGATAGGATAAGTTTGATGTGTATCCAGTCGGTTTTTGTTCCTTCTTCATTTTGTAATTGAAAATTGGGAGCAGCTTGGTCAGGTAAGCAGGCGCGGTTTCTTCGTTGGATGTTTCGAACCACTCTTGGTGGACATCGTCTGTCCGGAATGAGGAAAAAATTTTTTCGGGGCTTTATATAGGGATTGGTGGGAACAAAACACTGCGGGCTTCTAGAGAAGAGGATGAAAAGGAAGTTTTAGATTTTCAAGTCCTAAAAGCGATCGAATTTTATACGGATTGCTGGGAAGAAAACAGTTCTGCTCTAGAGATTTCCACAAGATGTTTAGCACATGAATTTGTGAAGAGTACCAGTGGTAGTTTCAACTTGAAACTTTCAAGGCCGTCAAATTGACTGTTGATCCGTAGTTTTACCAAGAAAAGTGTGAATACACCAGTCATCACATGACAATAACAGTCTTGAATCTGTTTAGAGCTGAAAATTGGCGTTTTGGGTGGTTACCACATCAAGCAACAAATTGGCAAAGTTCAGAAACGGAGCGTTTCGGAGAAGATACCATCAGAAAACCAAAATTACAGATCTCTTACCGACGCAAGGGGAGGAATTCGAACATTATTTGGAAAAGAGACATTGACAAACTAGCTTTCAAGTTCTCAATACTAATAAATAGGCAAACTGTTGGAAAAAATAGGTAGAAGTAGAGCGCTAAAGAAAAACTTAGCTCCCTAAGGACTTTAGGCTGAGGTATTTCTACAAAAATAGTCCTGCAGCTCATTTCTATCTGGGTCAGGTACCGGTAGTCATAAAATCTCGTCACTTAGAGGCCGTGGTCTGGACGAATTTTGATGGATAGGGAGAGGCGCGTGTCGTAAGAAAGCGATGTCTGCGGCAGGTCGGTATGCTTTTGGGAATTCTGAGCGAGATTCCAGTTCCGAACTCCTAAATAAATGGCATTCCACGTTCAATGCAACGCCCGGTGCACATGTGCTCCAAATTTTTTCACATTTTTTCTCATAACCAGCCAAATGCCAAGATTTTCTGAAACACGTTGAGGGTCAGTTTTGGCGCTTCCGATGGATAAATAGTTCCGTCAAGGTATTCAAGATAACATTGCCAGGGAAGGCTCAATGTGACTAATTGCATTCTTTGTCAGATAAATCTTGTAAGAAGGTAAACTTGATCTGCCAAAGGTTAGTAATTCTGAAGATTAATTTACGCTTGTTTGATTTAGGCTAGGAAATGTGGTATATATTAAATTGCGGAGGTAGTAAAATGTTCATAAAAACAAGTCTTTTCTGATAAATATGCATTAAAAAGACCATAAAAACCTCCAGCAAAAATGCCAAGAATAAGTCTCAAAAGCTTTGAGATGCAAATTTGAAATTCAACAAACTTTTCTTTTGTCGAAGGAATTCTCGATGGTCCTCTAAAACCTGTTTTCTGAATCCGGCTACAAATTCGCCCCTTTTTTGCCTTTGAAACTCGCCGCCGACTTCCTTATGAGAAAGTGGAAGTGTTTTTATTTATCGTTTTCCAAGCTCGACAATGTCATAATATTTGGGCCCTTGTTGCAATTTCTGATTGTGTTTACCGCTCTTGCACCTCGAGTGCGCGATTTCAATCAGCGCGAAAAAGGTGTCAAGCCCGGATGTCGACTCATTCCGAAGAAGCACTCTTTTGTTATAAATTAATTGAATATTTTTTTCATGAGCGTTTTGCTTCAAATTAAAAGAAACAGGTTTCGTAAAGAAAACAGAAGTTGAACTCTGATTTATTATTGTGATTTTGGCAGAAGATCGCAGCTGCTCAGAGCGAAACGTCACCAGCTTGAACGGCGGTCGCGTTGTTCGCTTCGCCTTCGATGGAGCTTTCTTCGCCAAAATCGAAGCTTTGTTCTTCGTCAATCTCGATCGACATGAGAACAAGCTTGTCACCCTTCGCGATCGACGGCGTCTTCGGGAGATCACCGAGACGCGGGGCGCGTTTCTGAGAATAATTTGAACCACTGCTTTTGAGATGGACGTTTTGGTACTTACATTGGCCGGTGTAAATTTTCTTTCGACCGGACTAGCGTTGCCAAAGGTGAAGCTGTTGTCTTCGTCGACATCAGTCGACATGAAGATTTCACCTAGAAAGAATTTACGAAAAAGTCCTCATATCAACTATTACCTTTTTCGGCCTCTCTCTTCTTCAGCTCTCCTAGTTTCGGAGCTCGTTCGCTCTTGCTGTTGAAAGCAGGGGCGAGACCATCACCACCCTTTTCAACGCTGCCATCTCGGAGCATGACAGGGGTGGATCGGCGGGCGTGCTCAGCGTTGCTCATCTCTCGAAATGCTATTCTCAAAATATTCTTGCAGAATAAGTCACCGTTCGGTGAAAAGCGATTAATACGGCAGCGAAATTGTCGCCAAAGAGATGGGTCCTCCAAGTTTGCTCTGTCTATCGGACGATCTTTTGCCGTTTGATTGTGTTTTCGTAGAAATGACAATAATTCTCGCTGCCGTTTATAAGAAAAAGTGATCGATCTACAAGTAGAAGTTTGAGTCGGTATTCTTTTTTGATCTTTGAAAAGTCACCACCACCAACCGGAGATGAATTTTATCGCCTAGATTCAAATCAAGCCAAATTGTCGATAAGCTGTGCCTGGAAAATCGGCAGGTTATTCCGCCCACAGCGGATATTCCATTTCGCAAAGTAACTTTCCCCCGGCGAAGTTCAATCGTTTTTTACTCAAAGCGATAAGCTCCTGCTGAGCCCATCGGTATTCTAATCAGTCGTACAGTACGCGCCATGGCTGGCTGCTCATTGGCGGAGCAAAGAGCGCCACTGCACAATGGAATGCACCACCACCACGCAGGCAAGCACCAGCCCGAGAATCGCCAGTACGCCAAAGCATTTGTAATTACGGGCCAAGAAATTGCTCTACCGTAACAAACCAATTTGAAAATTACTAGCACTGTTCCTGTAGTTTCTTGATTGATATAAAAATATAAAGTTGAAAAAGTCAAATTTTAATAAAATCTAATTCTTTTACTAAAGTTCTTCGCTTTTAACGGATGGTCTTTTATCATCTTCGTGGTATAAAAATCTACCCTGCTAATAAAGAAAGCCACAAGAATGTCCCAGTACAAGTTCACCAGTACAAATCCTCGTACAATCTCATATGAGGAGAAGGCCTAATTGGTTCATCTGTGGAATTCTTGAGGCGGTGGCGAATTTGAATTAAAAGAAGGCGACGTCAAGTGCCTGGTCGCCGTTGGAATGTCCAAAACCATCTCAAACAATACAAACCGACCGGGCCTCAACACACTCGACCCACTGCTTCAAAAGAGGGGACAGGTTCAGGTGACTCGAGTTTACAAAGCGTTTTGTTGAGGAGTTTATTTATATGGAAGATCCTGAATTTCTTCCGGTTCCGTTTTTGCGGACTAGACTCCTTTGTTACTGTATAATCTTTTTACTTCCTTTTACTGAAAACTTTAACATCTGAGAAAAACAAGTTGAAATATCATAATCCCTAGTAATCCCTTCAATTAGCGGGCGATCCGGTGGCGCCATGAAGGCCTGGTTTGCGCTGTACGCATCGCGGTCGAGATTGTAGTCGACGGAGTGGCGGCGGTGGAACACGCGAAATTGGTGCAAACATACCAAGCAAGCGATTTTGCACATTTTCAGTGTTGAAATTAGCGCCCAAGCCAGAATTAGACGGGAGTCTTGTTTTTGGCAGCCGGACAAACACTGACATGCACATGTCGCGCTAGTATTCATCCTTTTGGGTATTCAAATTGCTCGAAACAAATATGCATGAAGCATTTAGCATTTTCTGTGATTATTTCGAACGAAACAAGGGGATTTCTCATTTTGTAGGAGGCCTGCATTCTTCAGTTGAAAATTCTTTTTATAATTGACTGACTAAAATATCAGGTTATT